AGCATTTTCTATTTAATGAGTTTTTAACTACAATACCAAATATGCAGATCAATCAAGACTTTTTTAATTTACAGCCCATTATCAAATGCTGTCACCCTCAAAAATTATTCTTTATCTCTGTCACATACCTCTGCACATGGTCCCCTTCAGCACATTCTAGACGTCAATAAAACCAGCCTGTTTCAAGCCTCAAAAGAAGTATATTTGATCTTGTATTTTTCAGGAAAAAAAATAAATTCTTGGTTCTATCATGAGAGAGTATCAGCAGCTGTGCTGACTGCTGCTTTGCTGAGATACTGGAGAGAGGGGTGTGCTCTCTCTAATCAGCTGCTTCCAAACAATTAAGGATTTTAATAGTCATTTGTTTCGCAGGGCACTGGTAACTGCTGTGAGTCTGAGAGCACAGGGGTCAATGAGCTGTCTGCAGATACAGAATCACAGAATATGATGCATTGCAATGTAGAATCACAGGCTGGTTTGGGTTGGAAAGAACCTTCAAGACCATTTTGTTCCAACCCCCTGCCATGGGAAGGGACTCCTCCCACTAGACTGGAGCTGCATCCAAACTGGCACTGAGCACTTGCATGGATGGGGTGAAAAATTAAGTCTTTACATGGATAAAAATAATAATATTATTAAGGTAGACTTGTAATTGCTTCAAATCAAATAAGTTCAGTTATGTACAGAGGTAGGATGAGTGAACAGGTGACTTGTATTTAACATTCCCCAAAGTTCTAATTCTCTGTTTAATGGCACAGCATTGAATCTCAGTGCTAGAAGAGTCTCTCTGCCTCTGCCTCGTGTTCTCAGGCACTTCAGGAACATAGATGTTCCTGGCACCCTCAGAAATCCTTCCCATGACCTTTGTCCTGTATGCTCCCAGCTGACATGGACTATTTCTTCAGATCTTTTAATCTGTTCCATTAATTTCTTGGTGTTCATGATTTAATTTTTAAATAAAATTTTTTATTTTTTAAATCTCCTATTAGATGCAGCTGGTTTGGTTTAGTGCTTCATCAGAGTGTGACTTTTTAAGACAAAACTTTGTGAGGTTCAGTAAAAACAGTGATTTCAGTGATTTCAGTTCTCATCCTAAGAAAGTTTTATATTTATGTGGCATGTTTTAAAAGTTTAGAAAAACTCTTCAGTATTTTCCAGGGTGTTTAACAAGTTAATAATCAATGCACACATCTACCTATCTCATTTGCTTTAGAAGAAAAAAAAGTCTGAAAAAATTCAGAATATATTTAAGTTACTCTATTCAGAAACATATTTAATAACTATAGAAAGAAATATGTGTGTTCAATACAGACAATTTTTTGTGAATGATGTTGTCTCAGATTCCTACTGCTTTGCTGGAATGCTGGGAGGAATTGTTTGTGAAGGCTGACATTTTAATTTTGGGTATTTTAGTATGCCAGTGCAGAGTAACTTTATTTCTTGGCTGTTCTTTAGCTTGGTACTTAACCTTCCCATTTTTTAGTGTTCCATTTCCTGTCTCTCACTGGCAGTGCTGTTGCAATTGGAGAACCCTTTTGTAAATCAACACATGGAAAATAGAGTTTGTATCAGTCATCAAGCTATGGTTAATCTTAAATATTGTCACGTTTAGTGGGAAAACCAGGCATGGTCTGATGGGAATATTGGACCAGGCCATTTGTCACAGAGTAATGAATTTCATGGCCCATGGTGAGGAAAAGTAGGGTTTGGACAGTATTTACTATAAAGTTATTTTATCTTTTCGGTGTCTCACCTTTTTCTCCTCTCCAGATTAAATACCTGGAAGGTGCAGATGTTTGTTACAACACACTTGTGTAATTTATGCACATAGGAAGGTGGCAGAATATTACTGAAGAGGATGTTATGTTAAATAGATTTTATTTCTTTTTGAATGCTTTCACAGAATTCCCAACATGTGAGCCCCTAACTCAGTTTATCTGCAGAAATGGAAGATGCATTAGCAGCAAATGGCTCTGTGATTCAGGCAAGTATCAGCTCCTCTATATCTGAAATGATTATGAGGGATGTCACATAAATATTGCTTTGATGTTCTTTTTTTCTGAGACTCATATTGTCAGTTTGGCTTGTAAGTGGTCAGAGAATAAAGCATTTTTAAATTACTGACCTGACCTAGAAATCACCAACACTGAAAGTGCAGATAAGGAATGAGGCACTGGATATTGTAATAGGTACAAATACAAAATTTTAAAATATTTTCTGTTCTTAGAAAATAACATGGATATTTCATGTTTCACATATATTTCAGTGACAAATATATCTGATTTTCTGTTTTTTGTGGACAAGTTCAGTTAAATAAATAGCATCCCTGAAGAGTGAAGGCCAGCAAGAATTCACAATGTATTTAGTTCTTTTGACTGGAAAAGTGCACATTTGAATGTTAAAATTAATCTCCTCTCAGAGTTTATGGTGTGGGAATAATGTTGCTCCAGTCCTAATAACATTGGTTTGTTCCAAAGCATTTGGTGTTTCTATAATTTTGTTTGTCTGACAGGAATTTTTAGCTGTAAATGGACAAATTCCCGAAATTATCACAGTGTGCTGATGAATTTCTGTGCATGGAGACTCTTTAGAGTGTACCTAACATATTTATCTCCTTCCTCCCTTGATGACCACAATCAAATTACAGGAATTGCCTTTAGACTTGTAATGACTACAACATTAGAGTAATGAGAAACTGCAGTCCATGGTTATTTATGTGCTTTCTTCACTTTGCACTCTTATAAACACACAGAAACAAAGTTTAATACTATTGAAAAGAAATTCATCAGGTTTTTATTTTAGTTTATACGAAGCTGTTTGTGTCTGTGATTAACTATCTTAGGTTTTCACAGAGAATAAAGTAAACTGACCGTGTTTGAAAGCCTGTGCAGTTGCACACAGCTAAAGAAATTAAGAAAATCTGCAGGTTTCTCATCCTTGCCGGTGTCTCTGATTACATAACTGAGTAAGGGGTTAAACAACCCAAAACTGGATAGCTTGATGGCACTCACAGACTTGAGTGCTGTTAGTAAATAAGATTTAAGGTATTATGTGCATTAGAAATAATTTGAAACAATTAGAAATAATTTGATGCCCATGGGCAGAAAACATACTATTTTATTTACTTTTTTTTGGTTTATTTTCTCTTTGAAAATTATTTTCCCTCCTTACATATTTCATTCAGGTGTTTTAAATTTTAAAATCTTTTCAAATGTGGCTGTTTGCAGATGATGACTGTGGTGATGGCAGTGACGAGCTGGGCTGTGTTCACTCGTGCTCTGCCGAGCAGTTCCGGTGTCAGAATGGCAGATGTATCCCAGGGCACTGGGCATGTGATGGTGACAACGACTGTGGGGATTTCAGTGATGAAACCAAAACAAACTGCAGCAGGGAAGGTTAGATTGATTTATTTTTTTCCCCCCTTCCAAATCTTTAATGCTTATAAACACAGAGAATAATTTGTTATAAATACCTGACCTTCAGCCAATGGAAAAAACGAAGATGCTTTTAACCTTGGTAAAGGCTGGAATGGGAAATATGTCAAGTGCAATGGGATAACACAGAAGTGTATCATGAAGAGGAATGCATTTGAAAACAGAACGGGTATTACAGAGAGATAAGTTTTATGGTTTACTTCAGTGAATTATGCTAGATGTGGTGTTTGTCTTATTGCAGAGGTGTGTGCTGTTTAGGTGAAGAGACTGTAAGAAGCATTCTTTAAGTGATTTTTGATATTTTCTGTTGTTTTTCTTTCATGCAGTGGAACAGTAATACTCTCATTTTTGTGTGATGCAAGTCTTTTAGTGTGAGGGGTTTTTTTTAATATAAAAGCATTTTAACAAACTACAGCCCTATTTAAATGCCATACATTGTATTTATTTGAGTGGGGAGAGAAAGGAGGGATGCTTATGGTAAAGGATAAAGAATAATCAGATCAGAATAAGGGAATATCTTTCATATTTTTCTCCTAATGTTTTTTTTTTTACAACAAAGTAATTGTACACAATGTTATTGGTCCCTTTTCATAACTTCATATTCTAAATCTAGTTGGATACCTCATCTAAATGCATGAATAATCAGAATGCTGGTACAAGTGAAGTCCTTATTTTCAATATTCACAAAAAACAATTTTTATCTATCTCAATCAAAATGATTAGTCTGGAACTGAACAACCCACTTTTACCCCTGTTCATTTCCATTTTGAAACTTAAAGCCTTGCTTTAAACTTTTACGACAGAATACAAGAATGTAGATTATGTAAGAAAAAAACCAACAAATCAATGTTAAATAAAAAAAATAAAATGTGTATTTATAAGCAGTGCTATAAGAATTTATTCAAATAATGCTTTCTGGTGAAAACAGGAAAGTATTAGCATGCCATTACTGTAAAATTCATGTTATTGTCATTAGTATATTATTAAATAATTGAAATAGAGTTGAAAAGCAAGAATGAAATAGAAAAGGCCATAAGCTAGAAAATACTTAGAGAATTATGTATGTGATGAATAATTAAAATCTCCCAGTAATTATTGTTTGAAGCAGTCAGCACTGATTCCAGGGCTGCACTGAGTGAAGCTCCTTGGAACAGCTCCAGCTGCTACAGCACAAACCAGGCACGAGTGGGGGCCTGTTAGACCTTTCAGGGTTTGTGCATCAGGAGATGGATCTTGTTGGGTAAACAAGAACAAGGAAGGATAAAGGAAACCAGCTCTAGGATTAAGCACGGGGTTTACAAAGCACCAGGGAAACTTCATCAGCTTTGGTCCTCCTTACACCTCCAAACTCCTTCCTGTCTGACAGATGTGAAACAAGGAAATAAAAACTGGTATTAAGCATGTGGTGGAGGGGGAGTGAAGAAAGTGAGGAGGATAAGAGAGTTTGTCTGAAGCTTGTGTTGGGGTGATGAGTTATAGGATGGAATAGGGCATTTTGGGGACTCTGATTTTGGCTTGGGTTAGGAAGAGGATTCTGAGTCAGTGTAGACTTGGAATGGGAAAAAAGGCATACGAGCAAATTCTTCAATGTTATTCTTATTTTTCTAAGAAACTCCCTCTCCTGGAAGGTGCAGTGGGAGGGAATTTCAGTGCAGTCCTGATGGGAACTGCGTTCCTGAGCTGTGGCGCTGTGATGGAGAAAAGGACTGTGAAGATGGGAGTGATGAGAAAGGCTGTAATGGAACTCTGAGAGTGTGTGATGACAAAACAAAGTTCTCCTGCAGGAGTACAGGTAGGCGCTTGCAGATGTACTTTCTTCCCACTTACTCTGTGTATGTGTGTGATTTTGTGTTGCTTGATCACATATCTACTCTTTAACTAATGCTTAATACTAATAAAGTGAGGTTACTCATTGTATTCCTACCTAGGAAAATAATATTGATTTACATGCTCTGTTTTCTGATTTACAACATAAAATGGATGGGTGTTGAGATGACTTGAAGTTGAAACCACACTCTGTGATGGTACATCACACCAAATACTTAAATAAAACATTTAATAGTACTCCAAAGTTCAGGTATTTTCTTCTATTTCTCTTTTATGGCCCTAGAAGTAAGTTGAATAAAATGGTATAAAATACCTTGAATACTTCGAAGAATTACAACAGCACTGGAAATTTTAAGTGTAGTAGTGGAAGAGAAATACATTCTTTGATTGTGGGGGTTTTTTTGTTTTTTTTTTTCTCTAAGTATAATTCACTAAAGGATGTGAAAAGAATGTGGCAATCATTGCATGAGGATGCAATTCACTAAAAGATGTAAAAAGAATGTGGCAATCATTGCATGAGGGTACACAAGGATATAAAAAGTAATGTTTAGATGGAACCTTTTTTTAATGGAAAGTCCAGTTAAGGAAAAGTTGAATATGTCAGCGCAGTATTAATATTTTTTGTCATTTTTATCAAAGCTTTGTGTCTTATTAGGGCTAAAATAACTTTCACAGCAATATTTAATGAATGCTACAAGAAGCAAGAATATTGTTGTCGCTATATTGAATATATATTGCTCAACTGAAAATATTGAAAGAAGGGAGAACCCATTCACATGTCTGTGTTACAGCTAAACACAATAAATGTGTCAGAGGAGTTGTGTGACCTCTGTCCAAAAGTATTTTACTTGCTCTTGGATTTTAAAGTTATAAAAATCATGATGTCTTGAAAAAGAAATATGGAATACTGAATTGTGTCTAAAAAAACCCATTTCCTTCTGTGTTCTTACTATTTCCCTAAAGACGTGTAGAATAAGCTGTTTTGAAACACTTTCTATAAGTAACAATTGATTATTCACTTCCAACAGTGTGTTGTGTTTCCTGAAGGTGATTGATAGAAACCCTGATACAGGAAATAGTCAGCACCAGGAGCAAATGTATTTCCCAGTACCTAAATGGGGAAAAGCTAACACCAGTCCAAGTGGCCAAAGCAGAATTATTAGTGGCAAGAAAGGTGAATAAATCTCAATAGATGATGTTTATTTTCATCAGCTGCATTTGGAAAGCTAATGAGACAAGATATTACTACTTTAGTCAAGAGAAAGCAGAGAGGTTAGAGGCAATGTGGAGTACAAGATAAGTGCAGATTTTAGTTAATAGGTTTTATTACTCTCAGAAAAGTTTGGTTCTTAGACTGGGTTATGGTTTTTTACTTGTCCTGAATGACTTTAGGTACAGAGAATGGAAACCCCTTTCTGGTGGTAAACTAAGATTTTTCCAAATACAGATGCCATAATAACAGGAAATAGCAAGGATTTAAATTCAACATAATTGTCTTAATGTCTTTTCATCGTCATTTTTTATGTCATTTAAATTTGAATTGTCTTTTCAACAGAGAACTAGAACCCCATTTCCAAGTCCTCAGTCCAAGCTACATTCCCTCCTGATGTACTTCCCTATGTTTGTATTCATGTAGTTGTGGTAAAGGAGGGAACTGTCTCAGTTTACTGGGTGACTTCTGACTTCTCTGGCTGCCACATAAAAATACAGCAAATCCAAAAATTTTCATCAACATATTGCTAAATTCAAAGGTATATGGTTTTGATTTGAAGGAAAATGCAATCATGCTTGTTTGTTGAGTGGAAACAGCACTGGAGCAACCAGTTATGGCAGTCATAATTTTCTCTCTTGCAATATTCCTTCCTCCTGGAAGGAGCAAAACTGCTGTTCTGGAGGAGGCATGTAGAAATGCACTATAGAAGAAAACAGCAAGGGCAAATTTTTATTTAGTTACTTTTCCAGTTGTTTTTTTCTTTTTTTTTTTCCATGTGGTTGGGCAACAGAGTAGTAATGGGTTCATGAGAAATAGTTACTGGAATGTTTCAGAAGAAATGTAATTTTCTCTGTGCATGATTCTAAAGAAATAATGCTGTCTGGATTGCACATTTATGGCAGAGGAGGCACTGGCTAATTGTCCCCTCAGAGATGCTGGGTGGTGACATCTGATACAGAATGGTCTGTGTAGGAACCATGTATGGAGGGAGCTGAAGCAGACAGTTCTTTGGGAGGGAAGTGGCAGCTGGTGAGAACAGCAATAGTGAGATGGTACTGCCCATTTTTTGTTTATTTCTTATCATTTTATGTCTGTAAATAGTAGCTGCAGGGTCTTTCCTTACTGGGCTTTTGTGGCTTTGGTTAATGTGTCACAATGCCACAGGCATGAGTGCCAAGCTACAAAACCAGAGTTTGTCAGCATTCAGCCAAAAGGGATATTTCTGCTAACAGGGATGGTGCTCTCAAGAACCCATCATACCCCATCCCTTTCCAAGATTCAGTTAAGAATCTATCATGGAGGGTGTTCTGTACCTATATGGACAGCCTTTTGTCATTTGCCTCTAGTAGTTAAATATTTTGTTCCTAACAAGTCATGTGACTCCTTCAGATATTGAGCAACTTGTGCCATATGGGTCCCTAAAAGCATTATTTGTTGAATAAACAAATACTTTCTTTTTCTCCCCTTGCATATCTTCCTTTTCTGTTTTATGTTTTTACACCTTTGTAGTTTTTGCTGGTCTCACTGTAACTCTCCAGCTTGGGCAGCCCTTGAGCTGTTGTACCCAAAGTCAGCCAAAATGCTGCAGGGTACTTGAGCTACCAGATTTCAGAATTGCTTTTCTAATTTTTATCAAAACCATCCCATGCTGGGTCCCAAAAACCATTTGTTTGTAGTGATGTGTGATGAAAAATATACTAGAGGCTTCACAGCAAGATGTGAGATGCAGTCATTCCTGATTGAGACTGACTACTCTTGGGTTGCTGCTAGCCAATTATTTTCTCGTTTTAAATTGGATTAGGCTTCTTTTAAATTAGACTAGATTAATTTAAATTGTACAAAGGCCCAACTTTCTATTTTAAATTCTGGTTCTGTCTTCTAAAAATTATTACAGGCATATACTTCAGCTCAATTTTATCTACTACATAACTTTATCCTTTTTTTTTCCATCTCCCTACTTTTCGGTTTTTAGTGCTGCACCAAGAGCAGAATCTGTGCAATGTAACTTTAAATGTCATCTAATTACTCTAATGATCATACTAAAGCACTTCTGTGAAGACAAATGCAAAAGGGACATGAATATTTCAGTTTAGTAAGCAGTACATCTGAGCTGGAATTTTATTCGTCATACTTGCTCTTTTTATTTTTTCAAGCAGCAGTTGATGGTATCCAACCATTTTTGATGCTACTCTTTGAACTATCTTTTCATACTTTCTATATTTTTTTTTTCCTTACATGTAATAATAAATTAGAGAGGAAAAAAGATTTTGAGGAAAGAAGTAGTATTGGTTTGGAATGGAAAATAAGGAATGTACACAGAAGAAATCAAATCAGTGGGCGCTGATCACAGTGATGCTGGAAGAATATAACAGCAGCAGCACTGGTTCTGTCTAAGTGGGGATTGTCAAAGTACAGATTAGATTTGGGACCAAAGAAGCTGGTGCTGAGGAAGGCTGGGAAGAAAAGATTTTCCAGAAAGTGATGAGGAAATTGGTAATATTTTTATCCTTCATTCATGGCAACATTGTTTTCTGTGGTAAAAGCTCTCTTCTTTAGGCTTGGTTTTTTCAGGTTTCTGATTTTCCTTTTTTTGTTTTGTTTTGTTTCTCTCCTGTTTTATCCAGGAGTCATTTATAAACATCTGCTTTCTACTGAAGTCTTTAGATTGAGTAATGACCACATTTTTGAAACAATGTGATTCAGTCTAAGGTCCCATGTGTGTACTACAGGACAAATGAGATCATTGACTGTCACAACGTTCTGTTAATTGTGTCAGATTGGAACACTCTGTAGTTGATGGGATTGAGATTGAGTCCATTCTGTAGTTTAGGAAGGTGTTACATTATAGCTTTAGGCAGTGAAAATTAGCTGTAAGAGGAAACGGTGCAATTAATGCTCCACCAAAACAGTTTTCCAATGGATGAAGATGTAATCAGTCAAAAAACCTCCTGGGATCATTATCCTGACAAAGATTCAAGGGGTGCATGAATAGTTAATTCTGTTGATAATATTTATAGGAAATAAAAACATTGGAGAAGCATTTGGATCAGGCTTTCCCACATAGTTGTTGCTCAAGCCTTCTGTCTCACAGTGTTACACAAAAGAGCCATGGAAAAGGGCAGATACAGCTATTGAGGCAATTAATTTATGATGGAATTTCACTAAAGAGGTTCCTGGAAACCAGAAGTGTGAGTTTCACTAAGGAGCAATAAAGGAAAAATACTTCAGTGAATTTTAAGTAATGATTTGAAGACAGTCATAATATTTCATTAAGTCCATCTCTTTAGAATCTTGGCAAAGATTAATTCCTTGAAAGAATATTCTACTTAAGACCATGTCATATCTATCATAATGAAAGATGAATCTTTCATTGTAAAACATATCTTCACTAAGGTACAAGAAAGGCAGGGAAACTGATTTTCTCTGCAAACATTTGAATGCATAAAAGATTAAAATAACAGATTAGGAGCACTACTGGAAGCAACTTCAATTTACTTTGGGTTATGGTTGGCTTGGTTCATGTTGGTATTTTCCATTAGCTTGCATTCTCCTGGTGTGTTATAGTAATATATAAAATCAGTGATCATTCAGGATAATAAAGAATAGGGACACTTTTTGGAAACGCTTGTAATGATAAACTGCGTACATATCATGCATACAATTTTGTTGCCTCATGTCTGTACAGTTCTGCCCATTCAGTATGGGATATTTGGGGCTTTGGCCAATAAAGAAAATGGTGGAAGTTTTTAATTCTAATTGTCAACCCTCCCCGTTTGTTTTCAAGTTGATTTTGCACTGGAAAAATGATGTTCTGTTGTTTAAACCCCACATTCAGTGTAGTTTGATCCTGAAGTTTCATTTCTTCATTTTCTTCACCAAAAGTGAAAACAGTCTCACATTTTCCTCCTGAGTGCTGCAGAGTCATGAGGCTTTTTTCAGCATTTTTATTCCACTGTCTTTTATCCCCTTGGCTTTCTGTGAGGACATCAGCATTTTTTGCATGAATAGAAAACTAAAATGTCAAACCAAATGCATTAATCCAATCTACAACAAATATTTGTTTTTAAGAAAATTTAAATCTGGTTTTGTATGAGCTTGGAAGGGTGGGCAGGAAGTTGTGTCAGTTCATTCTGAACAGGTTTGAATTTAGGAGTCTCAGGCTTTTCTGGTCAGTGCCTGGGCATCCACCAGAATTGCTGTCAATGGAACTAAACATTCCCAGGATCTTCCTTCTCGTCCAGCTCATTTTCTCTGCATGATTAATTCATGGATAAAAAAAAAACCCAAAAGTTTCTGGATCAGCTTCATTAACCGTTGTTCTATCTGTTCTCTATTGGAAAATAAAGTACATGACATTTCTGTTCAGTCACAGTGTTATCAAAATTTACAGCTAAATCCTCCTGGCTGTAGGTAGCAAGTAGAAAAATAGGCTGGGAGGGGAGCACACACACACACCTGTGTCAGAGGGGAGCACACACACACACCTGTGTCAGCATTCACAGTCTTGGCTCTTTTCATTAAAGTCCTTGCTCTTGTTGATTCTAATTTAATACCTGCATGACTTTAAAGATGAATTTTTTTTTTTTTTTCCTTAATCAAGAGGACTTCTTGCATTTCTAAACATTGATGGTCATCACAAATTCGTTTTTGTACTTTTGAGACAAGAGCTGAACGCTGGTTTGCCAAAACTGAAGTAATTTAAGAAACTTAATCTGCTGTAGTTATTTTGCTTAAAAGCTGATCATTTATCTGACATCACTGGGGAATGGGTTGTGTCTCCTTCCTAGAAAGACTTTTGCTTTGCAAACCCATGGTAACTAAGAGTTATATATTGAAACACTGCTCCCATGGAGGGCTGCTGCAGTAGAAGATAAAAGAAGAGAGATGAAGAAAAGCACAAATTAAAAATAATTAGAAAATTGTAGTATCATTTGGTGTATTTAACAGGTTTTGAAGTTGTGTCCTGCCTATATAGAGTTTTGTTCAGCTCACAAACAAGTGGAATTGGTGTTGTTTGGAAAATTAGATTGTTAAAAGAGCTGTGGAAGATGCATCAGAGTATAAGTGTGAGCGGGTTTCTTTCTGCTCATCAAAAAGGAAAGACATTTTAATAGAAAAGAGTGATAAAAAAAAAGAGAAAAAAATCTGTATATTGTTTTGAAGGTTTTTTTTTTCCTCCTAAAGTTTGCTTCCAGTCTGATTTCCTGTGTTTATTGTCTCTTTTCCCCAAGGGAGATGCATTAGCAAAGCGTGGCTATGTGATGGCGATATTGATTGTGAGGATCAGTCTGATGAGGATAATTGCGAGGGCTATTTGTGTGGACCACCAAAATACCCTTGTGCTAATGATACCTCCATCTGCCTACAGCCTGAGAAGCTCTGCAAACTGAAATTCTAGCACTAGATATGTGCTAGATATCCTCACTCCTATGTGAGGATTTTTGTTTAGTTAAAGTCATACTGAGTTTATGCTTGAAGTTTTAGTTTTCTTCAGATAACACAAAGAAGACAAGTCTTTCATTTTCAAACCCCTTAAAACATTCCTGGAGGTAAACAATTTAAAGGTCATCGATGTGTAGGAAAGGACTTCAGCTCATTTGCAGTTCTCTCCACCTACAAAAGCTTGAGTTCATACCGTAGAATGCTTTGGCTTGGAAGGCACCTTAAAGGTCATCTCGTTCCCACCTCCTGCTTAGGCAGGGACACTTCTGTTAGACCAGGTTACTCCAAGCCCTTTTCAACCTGGCCTTGGGCACTTCCAGGGATCCAGGGGCAGCCACAGCTTCTCTGGGCAACCTATGTCAGGGCCTCAGCACCCAAAAAGTCAAAAATTTCTTCCCAATGTCAAATCTAACCTGTCCTCTGTCAGTTTGAAGCCACTCATTGTCCTGTCACTGCAGGCCCTTGTCCCAAATCCAGCTCTCTTGGAGCCCCTTTAGGCCCTGGAAAGGACTCTGAGGTCTCCCTGGAGCCTTCTCTTCCCCAGGCTGAACACTCCCAGCTCTCAGCCTGTTCACGGAGCACAACTGCTCCAGCCTTCAGGGCATTTTGTGGTTTTCCCTGCTCCAAATTGTCCCCATTCTCCTCATGTTGGGGACCCCGGAGCTGCATTCAGTCCTTCAGCTGGGATCTCACAAGAACAGAGGGGATGAATCTCCTTCCTTTGAGACACAGCTTTATTTGCTGCACCTCAGGACACATTTGTCTTTCTGGGCTGCAAGCTCATGTTTCCAGGTCATGTTGTGCTTCTTATCTACCAACACCTCCACTTCCTCCTCCTCAGGGCTGCTTTCAATCCTTTATTTTCCCAGCCTGTATTTGTACTTGTGACTGCCCTGAGACAGTGCAGCTCCCTCTATTTGGCCTGACTGAACTTCAGATTGTTGGCACAGGCCTCACCTTCCAAGCCTGGAAAATCCCTCTGGATGGCTTCTTTTTCCTGCTGCATCACTCACACAACTCTGTCTCATCAAAAACTGGCTGAGGGTGCCCTCAACCCCACTGTCCATGTCATGATAAAGATTCTAAACAGTGTCAGTCCCAGCACTGACTCTTGATCACCACCTGGACATGAAGCTATGCTAAAATCTTCAAGGCTTGCAGTAAAGCTGCCAGATGAATGGTTGCATATCAGATAATTTGAAAAACAAGTATAGAGATCTGTTTAGAAAGATAAAATTTTGTTTGCCTATCTTGGAAGCTTTTGTAGGTGTTTTAGTTGACTGTATTATACACAACATAACTGACAGCTTTCGCAGCCCTTAATTGTTGTTTTTCCTCGTTATTTCAGACGAATGTTCACTTAACAATGGTGGGTGTAGCCATCAGTGTTCTGTGGTTCCTGGAGGAAGAATTGTGTGCTCCTGCCCTGCAGGATTCAATCTCACTTCGGACAACAAAACTTGTGAGATTATGGATTACTGCACCAAGCACCTGAAGTGTAGCCAAGTTTGTGAACAGCATAAAAACACTGTCAAGTGCTCGTGTTACGAAGGCTGGAAGCTCAGTAAGGATGGAGAGAGCTGTGTCAGTACTGGTAAGTTGGAATTTGGTGCATATCCAATATTCAGGATATTAATAGCTGTGATGGCCATCTACTGAGAGCCTCTTTCACTTCTTTTTTTTTTTCTATATAAGAAATACAGGCTGGGATTGTCCAAATGAGAGGTTGATCGCAATCTATGGATTTATTAAAATTGTCCCCATTCTTGATGTACAAAGGGATATTGAAATATTAGGCTGTTGCTAACCTAAGAATGCTAATTCCAGATGTTTCTAGGAATGTTAATATGGTATAATTCTGATTTATTTTTTTAATCAGTTTTTCATGTGCAGTTAATATGTATGGGTATGTATGTATTTACACAATTTTAGTTTCTATATGAGGGATTTACTATGTATTTTTAAGAAATGGATCAATCATGATATTGATGAGTATTGGCTGAGGGTTCAGAGGGTAATTTTGAATGTGCAATTATATGCTGCCTCCTAGCATACAATATTTAAGCTGTTTTTTTCCCCTAAGGCATTCTGGCACTTGTTTTTTGACAGCAGTAAGAGCCTGCTCAGCTCACTAATCAAGGTGAAAACCAACACGAGACAAAACAGGAGAAGGAAATGTATTCCCCTCGTTGTTCACCACCAATGAGTACTGAAGCATCATTTGGAAACTGTTGGGGTGTGTTTTTCAGGTGCAACATTGTGTGTAAAACAGAAACATGCTTGTGCAATATAAACTGTTATCACACCTTTACCTCCCTGGTATTTTTAAGTTCTGATAAGGACTTAAAAATAGTATTGAGTTTCGCTTCTAGAATTTCCTAATTCAGTTTTCTTTGATAATTTTATTCTATATTAACTCTGTTCTTTCGTAGAGTTTGCACAACTCTGAACAGAAATACTTCCCCATTGTCTTTTGTTTATCTGGATATTTCACAATTCAGTAAATGTGATTAGGATATTCTTTATTTATTCTTACTCTGCAGTGATTGCTGTTAAATTTCTTGTTTTATGTCAGGGCTTTGGTCTGGTTCTCAATGATTTTTGATCAATCTGATTTGTTATATTATAGACTGAAAAAAAGCGCATTTTTACTGGGTTAGAGAAAAGATTAAAAGGATTTAAGACAGTGTTAGCAATTCATATGAGGAAAGCTTGAAACAAACTTTAAACTAAATTAGGTAGAAATGACCAATATTTGGAAACTAAATGGAGAAAAGAAGTGAAGTATCCTCACTTGTGCTATTAAATAAGAAAAGTGAGACTAGAGTTTCTCATGTTTCTTAAGCCCATGAGATATTTCTGCTTAATGTTTACTGATGTTGGTGAGAATCTGAAGCTACAAATTGATTTCTCCTGATTTTTTTTCAAAGAATGTAATATTAAATATATGATCTGAGACCTGTGATGTCAGCTGATATAAAGAAAAATGATACTTTTCTTTACAAACTGTAATGATTCTACCCTAATGCCTTCAAAGCTGTGACAAAATTATTCCATATTAAATATGACATGTGCTTTTAGAGGCAGAAATCATCCTGGCCCTTTTCAGTTGATGTAATTCAAAAGGCACAGGAAGTTCTCTGGAGGACAGATCCTCTGACACTTCAGTTGTTGACTGTGTGAAGGGCATTTTAGGAAAGTGAGAACAATTTTGGTTCCTTTTGTGAATCTGTGAGATTCGAAATGTCCCCATCATTTAAGTCTCTGGGCATGAGATCTTGAATGAACTTAGAAAAGCAAAAACTTTTATATAATACTATTGCAAATAAAGTTCAAAGTGACCTTATGAAGATAAGCTGTCCCCCAAATGCCAAACTACTATTTCAGTAATTTCAGTTGTTATGGAGTAATTCTTAGAACAGCCATAGTGATTTCAGATGCCTTGAACTAGGAGTAGGTGTGTATTCTATTAGAACAGTAACTTATAATCTGTTTTTCCAGAAGAAAAAAAATAAATTACTCAGAAGAAAATGAGAATGTTGCCCTTTAGGCTTTGTTTTCCCTATCTGAAATAACATTTTCCTATGTATAAGAAACATTTCACAAGTACACAGCAATGACATGTAACGTTAGTATGCGACATGTTTTCAGAATATGGTAAAACTTTTATTTGTGAGCCCATTAGAATGGGAGGATGAGTGCTGAAAATCCAGGAATTATATAATTTTTCAGCTGAAAAACCTTTTTTTCAACTGAGCAGTTCTTCTCTTTCCATTTTCTTTTTCAAAGCCTTTTTTTAGTTTCCTCTGTTGTATCTCATTTCTACTTATGTTGTCTTCGTTTCTTGAGCATTTTAAGTGTTGTCTTTTTCTCCTCCAGAGTTTCTTCACTTCCCCTGTCTCTTGTTTTCATCTGTTTTGCTTGTTGATGTTCTGGCATTGTTACATTACTGACTTCCCAAACATTAAATGTTTCCTTAGATTTAAATTCGTATTGATTGAGCTAAGGATGTGTTACAGAGCTCCATTATTCAGATAGAAAGTCAATACAAATTACGTGTTTTCATATTTATGTTCCTGGTTTCTCTTGGAACACACTTCAAAATAAGTTGCATTTGGTCTTTAAAAAGATAATAAACATTCAGGAAAAAACAAAAAAATACTGCTCTTAAAAGATATTTAAATTTCATGTTTATATTCAACCTTTCAGACTTTGGTGTAATAAATGTTAGATGAGCTCAGAAACACTTAGTTTAAAATTGACAGTCAGCCTTTTCTAAGCAGTGGAAACTGTTATATCTCTTCATCTATATATCTATATCTATATCTTTAAAAAAAAAAAAAAAGAGTTTGAAGTGTCTGTCTGTTTGATCTGTCTTAGCTGGTTTGAAACTCAATTTTGTAATAATTTCCAGATACCTTTCAATACCAAAATGGAGAGGGGAATAGTTCAGTCCTTTCTGAGCTGCATCAAACTTTTCATGAAAGTTTTTTTCATAATCTTTATGAAGTTATTGGGTTTTTTTTGAGGTAATTTTCATAAAAACAGAGTGTAGATTCTTGTTGTGTTGCTGTTGATGCAGTAAGCTTCAATCAAACAATTAGGTTCAGTCAGAATTTTTCCTAAGAAAGAATTTTAAATTTAACCCACTAAAAAATGTGAAACATTATTCTTTATGGAGTCATTTGATGTCATTGTTTAGGCAGTTTTCTTCAGAGAGGTTTTTACTGTTTTTTATGTCATTTATACTTTGTTTGTATCATATATTTTATGCACTAACCTTTCTGGAGTAATGTTTGAGGTATTTACGAAATCAGGAAAATCATACATTTTCTGCACTTTCTCTAACAAATTGCTAACACTTAATTTTCCTGAAAGTTATAAAGAATATAGCCAATAACCACTATATTGATTTGAGACTTTGCAGAAATACTTTTAATCAATTTTCAGAATAAAAATATTTCCTTTCAATTTCTAGAAAATAAATCAGGAAAATAACATCAAATTTTGTGTTTATCAGGTGATGGAAGCATATTTGAAAAAAAAGAAATAAATATTTGATTGAGCCTGAAATTTCCAATTCATGGTAATGATGCTGATTTTATAGAGCCATGGAATGGTCAGGTTGGAATGAAGATCAAAGCCTGGCTAATACTGCTGCTGCTTATCTGCTGTCCAAGACCTTCAGGACATCCTCAGTGCTAAACTCCAAGTTTCCCAGGGGTGAAATGTTTTGTTGACTCACTCCCCTGTAGATTTTTTTTTGTTTTTATGGTCTTTCTGAGTATTCCTGGTCCAGTTTAAGCCTTTAATCCTTGCCCTACTTGTTATTGATACAGAAAACAGGATTTTTCCCGTTTTCAATTCACAAGCCTTTTATGTCTTAAGGGAATTTTATGTGCTTCCACTTATCATCTCATTCCATTTTTTCAGACTAAACAGTTCCAGATTGTTTGTTCTTCCCTTGCAGGCCATGATTTCTAGACCTTTTGGAGCACCTGTTCATTTCCTCTTGTATTTCTGTATTGATTCACACTCTTCTTTAACAGCTGTGTTCAGAGGAGGGTACGGTGTTGCAGGCTGTTGTCAGCCAAGCTTTGGGTTTTGTGGTGTTTATTTCAATTGTAAATCCTCTCAAGATTTCACTGAACTTGAATCCTTTTCATAAAGATAATTTGCACCGTAGGTTATTTATCTCAAACTGTTAATCCCTGCACTTCGAATGAAGAAAGCAATCCAACACAGCACTCATTTGTTAGGTTCCATTTTTTTTCCCATTGTGTTGTTAATTGCTGAGAAATAGCAAAAAAGCTACTGGTGAGAATTATGACTTGTGTTCTTATGCATTGGAATTGCCAAAAAAACCCAGAGATCAGTAGCCTCCTGCATAATAGCTGCCAATTTATCAGAATTTGGGAAGTGCCTTTGAAGTGTGTCTCAACTTCAGATAAGTGGTGCTTGTGAAACAGCCACTGATGTCAGTGATCCTGTTCTGCACTAAATTATTTAACCACTGCAGAGCTTTGAAAAATTTGCTTTGCAGAAAGTCATTCACTGCTTTAACAAACAGGAGGGTCATTTGGAAAGTTCAAGCCAGATTGTGAGCAAGTGCTACAAGAGCAGAAACACAGCTTTGCTGAGGTGCCTGATTAGCCCAAAACATGACAGATCATTTAGTCTGCAGTGGAGATTAGGAGAAGATGAGCTGCAGGAGGAAGTGAACAGTGAACAGTTCAAGTGAATGATCAAGAGAGAAACTCTTTCAGAGCCTCTCAGGAGCCCTGAGAAACAGGAGTATTGCCTATTGCCATAAACTACCAATAATCCTTTACATAAATAAGTTTAATTGTATGGAAAGCAAACCTCTCACCCAAGGAGAAGGAGCTCAGAGTGTTTTGGGGGAAACAACTAGCTCCTCACAGAAAAGGATTGCTGTGAAAAAATATCTTAATCAAAGTGAATATACTGAGTTGATTCAACAGTTTATAGAATCCAATTTTTTGTCTTGTTTGTTTTATTAATGCAGCTACTTCCTTGAAAAACCTTTCCTAATCTATATAAGAACTGTAATAAAAACAATCAATTTCATAGTATGCTTGACCAGTGCTGATTGTGTTTACACTTGGATATCAACTCACAGGCACAAATCATGTGGCATAAATTCATTTATACTGGAAGGAGAAAGTAATTCGTAACTGGATTTGTTGATGACATGTATCAGTAAACACATCAAATGCTCATTTTCTTGCTTGTTAGTTTGGCATGAAGGGGTTTTTATGCACTTCAATTGAAAACACAAGGTACACAGTAAATTCAAAAGGTACTTTATGTATTAGTAAATTGTTTCAGCTGATTGACCTTTAAAACAACGTATATTTTAATGGTTTCTTTTTTCTGAACCTTTTGAGCAGAAGATTTTAAATTTGATAATGTGACTTTTTAAAGCTCTAATTATGGACTCGTTCTGCTAGAGCTACAAAATACAGTTCAATGATTGAGTCTGATATTCCCAAATTTAATGTCTAATATCTCTAGTTTGGATCAAAGATAATGCTAGAAGGGAGAATTAAGAAGTCTGTTGGACTTAAAAAGTAATTGAAAAACTCCTTATCAAAAGATGAATTGTTTTAATCATCTCTTTCTCCTGATAAAGTATTCTGTTGTTCACCTTCTGCTTGTCATTTATACCAATTTGTAGCAATATCTTTTTTTATTATTCCTTTGAAATGTTTAATCTTTTTCTTCCAGATCCTTTTGAGGCTTTCATAATTTTTTCTATTCGACACGAGATCAGAAAAATTGATCTTCACAAGCGTGACTACAGCCTCTTAGTTCCTGGCTTAAGAAATACAATAGCCCTGGATTTTCATTTCAGCCAGAGTTTACTCTACTGGACAGATGTGGTGGAGGACAAAATTTACAGAGGCAAGCTCTCTGATACTGGAGGTATGGACTGAATCTTTATTCTCTTAACAGTGAGAACAGCTGCAGTTACAGGGTGTTAGACCTGATCAGTCCTAACTGAGCTGCCCTTCACAGAATCACAATTTATGATGGCATTCTGCCTTTGAAAGGGGGTAGATCAAGGTCGTACTTCATTTCCAGGCAGAAAAAAGTCTTTGAGAACAGAAGTTTCCTTTTGCAGTATGCTCTAGGGGGAAGAAAATGGCAAATGCAAAGGACTGGTGTTTCTTCCTGGTCCAATGAGTGCCATATTGATTTATTTATTTTTTTTTATTTAATTATTTTTGCAGTGAATCTTCACCTTATTAAAAAAGTATAAGAATTTCTCAGATGTCTGATAAATTATCTCCTCTCACTAAGAAGAAGATTCTGCTTCAAAATTTTATAGCATCCAGAAAGACTTTTTCTTTGCTCTGGTGACATAACGACGGGCTATAATTCAATATAATCTCATAATATATACAAAATAGTTTCTACAAAATGTTCTTTGTTGAACTGTATGTTCTAGTGCTTTCATCTAAAAGGCAAACCCCAAATAATCCAGAATTCACTCCAAAAACATCGATAAAATTGTATATCCATGTTCACTCTACCAGTCTCTACATTAATTATTTAAAAATCTCTTTTTTTCGTTTTCTTTCTTATTTTTTAATTTTTTTAATTTTTCTTGAAGGCGTTAGTGCCATTGAGGTTGTGGTACAACACGGCCTGGCCACTCCTGAAGGTCTGACTGTAGATTGGATAGCAGGAAACATTTACTGGATAGACAGCAATTTGGACCAAATTGAAGTAGCAAAACTCGATGGCACTTTGAGAACAACATTAATAGCTGGAGCTATGGAGCACCCAAGGGCCATTGCTTTGGATCCCAGATATGGGTAATTATAAATTATAAAAACATTATTATTCCTTGTTGCAAAGTATTTTAAAGATGTTGAAATGTGATATTTGTTTAATTTCCTTTTTTGCTCTCTTATAGATTCTAATTTATCTTTGACAGTTCTTGAAAGTATATTTTGATTGATAAAGAATCCATTATTAGTGTGTTTTTTTCTAAGTAAAAAGAGTTAAAAAATGGTAAATGAGGAGATACAGGGATCCTTTTGCTGGCAAATTACTTACTTTTCTATTTTGTTTAATTTTTTTTTTTTCAATGTGGATGATAATTGTACTGTCTGTAATTTCTGTGTGGTTAATGGACAGATTTAGGCAATTCTTGTCACTTAGAGACCAATTGTTTGGTTTTTTTCTGGGGTTTGTTTGTTTGGGGGGTTTTTTTGGTGTTTTTTGCTTTGTCTAGTTTAGCTTTTGTTTTTTTTTTTTGTTGTTTTGTTTGGATTTTTGGTGTTGTTTTTGTTTTTTGTGGGAGTATAAAAATACTGCTTAGACGTTACTGGAAGCCTAATGGCTGAGTGAGGTAATTCCATGTTTTGTGTTTGGTTTTCATCTCTAAAGTGGAGACAGTGCTTGCCAGCTCCTGTCAGTATTTCTTCTAACTATTCATTAGGGGTATGCTATAAAGCAGAATATAATGTATATTCAGTAGCTTCTCTTCCCAAAATTATTGCTCTTTCACAGAGGGGGAAAAAAAAAATCCATTCAGAAAAAAAAAAAAAACAAACAAAACAACATTCAGAAAAACACAATAAAAGTGACAAGCCACCAACCACAAATTAAAGGTGGCCAAAAATAACACAACAGAGCTGTTTTCAAAATCATGATATTTAATTTTGTTTAGGAATTTTCTATGGTCTGTCATGTGTTTTCACTGACTATTTCTCTCAGAAGTAAAGCTGTGAGCATAAAAATAAAAATTGATAAAGGTCAGAAATTCTGAGACCTAAACTGGGAATTAGGATGTATGTGCTTTAATGATTAAGGCTTTTGCCCTCTCAATGAAGACATTAGAAATCTTATTTACAGAGTGCATCGCTTATTTATAAAGATCTTTAAAAAGAGGCATCCTGTTGGCAGAAAAATTGGCAGAGAAGTTGTTCAAATTAAATGGTTAGGAGGGAAAAAAAATAAAAATAAAATCACTGCTCGAAACTGAAGGCTTAATCTGCCTTTTGAAGGGCTAGAAGCAATTGATGCTCCTTTATGTTAGAAGTCAAGAACAGAAAAATCTTTAAATATGGATAGGAATAGCTCCTCAATCCTTTCCCAAATGGATATGAATAAACACTGGTGATTCAAGGAAAAGGTTTGTGTTAGGAGTGTGTTCCTGTACCCCAGGAGAGGCAGAGCTGCAGTGGGGCTGAGCAGGTGTTCTCAGTCCACACACACACAGAGTAAACATGTACATATTACACATGTAAAATTTAAAATGAACATCCCTGGCCCAGTCTGCACCACCAGGAACTCAGCACTGAGGCAGGTAAACCACACAAGTGGGCTCATCCTGTGAACCACCCTGGCTGTAAAGGTGAAGGTCTTTTAGTGGGAAATACAAAAACTTGTCAGAGGTTTCTCTGCAGTCTGGCTCTTTGCAGTTACCTCTTTACAACTAACTACAAGTTTTCCTATCAAAAGTATAATTTTCCTTTAACAAGTCTGTGTGTTGTTGAAAATTCAGTACTCTAAGAACAATAAGAACAATTAGAGTTTATTTATGTCTTCCTGGTGATGCTTCTTCTGTTATTTTGTTATTTAACAAGGCACTTGTTTTGTTATAACAATGAAAGTTCTCCTTATTGGAAAAACATTGGAGATGGTGCAAAACAGAGAGAGATGACAAAAAACCTGTCTTTGAAGTTTTCTTAACAAGTGTAATCTGTATAAAATTCATTAGTGACATACCAAAATCCAGGGGTCTTCATTAGAACACTCTTAAGAGCAGCTGAAAATCTCTCATTTAGCCTGTTCCTTGATCCATGCTACCTCAAATCACCTTTCTTTCTATTCTCCCCTCCCCATCCTTCTTATCCGTGGATTGCTTTCAAAGGCTCTCATTATAGTTCCTTTTAATGAGCTGGGTTCCTAATTATAGAGGGAAGACAAGGCAAGCTGACACTGTATAAATGGACACGGAAGAGGGAATGTTATTAAAGCCCTAGGTTCTTTTTTTTTTAAAAAAAAGAAACTTATTTTAAGTTCTTTATTTTCATGATGGCTCTAAAACTAAAAATGAAATATTATCTCCATGCTACCCAAATGAATTTATATAAGGACCCAAACTGATCTCTGTTTAATCCTTTCATTTAAAGTATGTAAATGGTTGAATTTACCAACCATTTTTCCAACTTTTTTCCAACTGTTATCTCATAAACCATTTCAGATTTTTCTTCACGCTTTAATATTTTCTTCTATCCCCCTCTCTTTTCCTCTTCCTCTCACCAGAATTCTGTTTTGGACAGACTGGGATGCAAATTTCCCTCGCATTGAATCCGCTTCCATGAGTGGAGCAGAGAGGAAGATCATCTACAAGGATATGGACACTGGAGCCTGGCCCAACGGCCTCACCGTGGATCACTTCGAAAAAAGAATAGTGTGGACAGATGCCAGGTAAAGTGCTCACAGAATCCACGTGTCACTGAGAATTCCTCTTTCCTCCGTGCAGAAATGTGAACTGCAGTCTAAGTGGAATGTGGCTGTGGACATAAAGAGCCCCAGGCAGGCACGTGTATAATGTGTACATTTATTTAATTCATAATCCAGCTGCGGGATCAGCCGTGGTCCTGGCTCCCTGTGCCTTTCCATGTGTCCTGCCTGACACTCATCCACACAAGGCACAAATTAGTTCATTATTTTTTAAGTTCATTTTGAAAGAAAACCAAATTTTCTGTTGTATTTCTCACAGCATTGAGGTAAATTAAAGCATTATACAAGCCAATATTTCATATATCTAGTTGAATTAATAATATGAATTTAATCATCTATGAAGTTAATGATTGCACTGCAAAAATTCTTCGGTCTTGCCACACTTACAGAGAAAGATTTTTACAATTTTTGCCCAATGTCATAATGGTTGTGTGATTTTTATTTTATTTTTACATAATCTTAAATTTGGGGTTGTCTTGTAGATCGGATGCCATTTATTCTGCATTGTATGATGGAACCAGCATGATAGAGATTATACGGGGTCACGAATATCTTTCTCACCCTTTTGCTGTTTCTTTGTATGGGAGTGAAGTTTATTGGACAGATTGGAGGACCAATACCCTCGCCAAAGCCAATAAATGGACTGGCCAAAATGTCAGTGTAATACAAAAAACAAGTGCTCAGCCATTTGATCTCCAGATTTATCATCCAAGTCGTCAGCCACAAGGTGAATATTTATAGAATAATTTATTACTGAGGGGGGAAATAAATATTCTTTTTATATATAAATATCTGTATTATTAACAGAATAATTAATTGTTCTTCCTCTGAGGGGGGAAATCCATATCCTTTTCATATATAAACGTCTGTATATTATTTTGCCTTGAACTGTTGTATTCAGCACTAGATGAAGTCAAAAGCATGTGGCAGAAGTTTTTATGGGGTACATATATATAAACAGATATATAAATTAGGATGTAGCATTCAAAATAGCAATGCTAAAAAAAAAATCAGTAAGTTTTTGGGGTTTTTTTGTGAGATATTACAAAAAACAGTGATTATTTTGTACATAAACATTGGAAAGTGAAAAAGAACACTGGAGAGTGACCACTAGTTAGTTACAGAATCTTCCATGTCCTCTGGATAAATTTCAGTTTTCTTGGCAAGAAGTTGATATTAATGCACTATTTTAGAATTTATCTCATGAATACTTGCTGTTGGTTTTTTTGTTTGTTTGTTTTTTAATATGGAGAAGTTATATTTTGTTTTTCTTCTCATGCAGGGTTTGTAGTGCTCAGTAAGGCACTTAGACTTTTATGTTAGTAGGTTTTGAGCAGTCTCAATTTGAAAACTTCAGATCCTGACAATTTTTGGATGGCTGTGTAAATGTTCTGGAACCCAGTTCTGCACTAGTTATGCACAGAAAACTATGGCTAAAGCTCTGATGTGAATGAGCAAGTAAAATTCTCACTGCACACTCAAAGGCAAAAGATTTGAGGAATATTCTCTACCAGCACATGGAATAAAAGAAAAGCAATGAGTTACCACTCATCATTTGTTAGTGTGCCCAAACACGGTGACAGCTGTGACCTCTCAATATTGTGACATAAATTGTGAGGATACATTCTTTTCATGCTTTTATTTTGAAATAATAATGAATGTATATTGAAGATGAATACTACTGGTTTTCAGTGGATGTCAAGTCCCTTGGACTTCATCACTTTCTGAAATAAGCAACTTATTTCCCTTCTTCAGAATTTACTTTTTGGGGCAGGGTGACATTCTAAGGTGTTGTCTGACTTGTGCTTAAGATAATACATATGCCCAGCTAGATAAATAGAGGTGGAGAAAATATGCATATCTGCACACACCTTTCAAATAAGTTTTTTTTCTTATTTTTTTTCCATTTTGTTTCATTTCAGGTTTTTGGGTGTTTTTGTTTGTTTGAGGTTTTTTTTGGCAATTTTCTTTTAATTGGTCCCCACTTGAACTTTGGGATTTGTGTTCCATATTTGGTGTTTCTAGAGCAGCAGTATAGCTGCTATTTGCCTTTTCTTGCTGTCAGAAAAAGAACAACTTCTTTTCTGTTTGGACTGGGGCCAGACAGCATCTTCAGAGGGATTCTGTAGCCCAGGGAGACATCAGGCAGTATTCCACAGCCACAGATATCTCGGCCTCCAGGCAAGTAAAAGCTGTGGAAGAGTCTTCAGTTGTTTTTTGACAAAATCAAGAAGTTCAAGGATCAAGTTGTGTAATTGCAGTTTTTATTTTATGATGTAGAAAGCACTGGATTTTGATTTATGATTGGCCTTCTGGGTTAGCTCTAATTGTCTTCCAGCAGAAGCAATTTCTTTCTCCAAGTCTGCAGTACCTTTTCATTTGAGCTAAAGAAATTGTGATGCTGCCTGATTACTTGTTAATTTTTCCTTTGAATTTGTAGCTATTTTTCAATAAATGAACAAGTCAGAGTGCAGGTAGAATCCTAAAATAAAATTAAGAGTAGATTTACACTGCGAATTGTCAGTATGAATAGAGCACTGCAGGATGAGCATTTTGTGTTTTCATCTCCATCTGGGTCACCTACGTGGGTGAAAGTTTATTAGCTTTTAATTTATATCAAGGAAGTTATTTTTGATTGAAACAAAGTAGAGCAGAGCTAAATAAATTCTTGTAGCCTAAAGCCACATTATTTGAGTCAATCTAGGACAGATGCTAATTTAAGGTAGTGAAGTTCAAGTGAGATATTTGTATGGATGGTAAATTCAGCTGTCAGTGAACCACAGGGGTCTGAGGAAGGTTTCTCCCCTAATTCAGAATATTCTCAGGAATGTGAGCTTGAGGCCCACTCATCCTCCCAGCATCAGAGCTGTGTCAGGAGTGCAGTTACAATGGCAAACACAGCGTTTCTAGGAAGATTTTTTAAATTTTTTTCAACTATCATTATATTTTAAAAATCCACTTGCCGCAAAGAACAAGGTGTATTTTAGTCACGAGAAGTTGTAGCAGTGCACAACTGAGGATAGTGATAAGAGGTGTAAATATAGAGCATTGGAAGGATCACAGCTTGAAAACACAAAGCTGTGAATTTCTCATGCCTTTTTTTTTTTTTTTTTTTTCTTTTTTCTTTCTGCATTTCTCCAGGGTTTTTGATTTGAATTAAAATTTAAAACCAAACACATGGCTATGGCATTATTTTTCTTTCTGCAGATTAAATTTTTATTTAGAAATCAGGACAAACAGTATAAATCAGGACAAACAGTATAATAACAGCTGTTAAATATAAAGTATATTGGTACCACTGGGCTCTTTTGTAATTAAAAAATGAACATTTAACTTCATAGCAGTGCTTTGTTACAATATTCTATTGAGGCCCAGATTGCCTGCTGTTTAAAATAATAAACTTTTACAGAAATGTAGCTTAAGATGAGGAGAACTAAAAAAAATATTACTTTGAGGTCTTATCTCAACCTTGTATATGTTGTTTTTACGTCAAAACTAGAACAAAGTTTGGTATATTTATTATAAATAATGCAAAATGTATATACAAATATTTATATATTATTATTTTACTTACATACTTATTATATATATTAACATATGTTTTTCTGAGTTTTATCAAGAATTGTGCTTGGTTCTAAGAGTATTCCTGTTTATTCAATTTCTTGGTGAATATGTAAATTTTTATACTGACTAATTTTTGAAGTGAATGATTAAAAACCAAAACAGAGTGATTAGGGAAATGCATATTTACTTTAGAACTTTTACATCTGATCAGTCCTAACCTGCAAATTTTAAAGATCAGTGTTAAAATAATCAGATATAATCAAGCTTTAACTTGGCTGAGTACTTTGGCCTTAGGAAAAGCAATTCCATTGGAAGTACTGGCAGTAAGCAGAGGATTAAATCTTTAACTGGTTTTAAATATGAGTAGGAATCGATTGTCAGCAATTTGAAAGCACCTTTTGATGCAACTGTAGTGCAGATATTTGAAGGTTTAGGCTGAATTCAAACATTTTGTGCATTGTTAAAGTGTGAGATCAAACTTTGTCTCTCTGAAATCTGGAGCCACAGAGGGACAAGCTCGATATAAAGTTAATGCAGGGGATAAGTTTGCCATAGGAAATAGATATTGAGAGGTTGTCAGAGTAAGTGTTCATTTGTCAGCTGGTGATGGAACGTCTGAAGGGGTTATTTTTAAGGGTTACTGGTCAAGAAAAATAAGTATTTTGTTAAAATGAAGTTTTAGAGAGCAGTCAAGAAGCAATGTGACGACAGTGACATGTGTATATCTGTGCACAGCACTGTGAGAGAAACAGATTGACAAGCAATCAGCAGTGGAAATCAATCAAATAATGAAAAAGGCTGTCCAGTCATGGAAAATGCCAGTTCTGTGGCTGGCTGTGATCAAAAGGAAAATAGATTGGTGGAAATGATTGGGAAAGGAATAAAGCAGCACAGGTAGTGAACTGTGATGCTGTATAAATCCATATCACCCCCACAGCTGGAATACTCACACAGGTCATACACAGCACATCATGAAAGCCTGAAAGGCTGATCAAGAATATGGGACAGGTTTTGGTCTGGGGACAGGTTGGCTGATGCTGCTGGAAATACCATTTATAGACAGGCTCCTCTATGGTGGCAGTCTGTGAAATCAGAAATGGCACAGAAAAGGTGAGAAACAAATGCTCATGAGGTTATTCACAGTAGAAACAGAAGTGTTAGAATGAGCACAAGAAAATAAAAAAAAGCCAAATTTTTGAGAGTCAGAGCAATAACAACGTGCCCTCAGGATAATTAGTTTTTTATTAGGAAATAAAGAGCAGGCTTAGCTGTTATTCAGTGCAAGCAGTATGAATATGAAAGGAATATATAAATATGTGCTGCTAGAAGTAATGGTACTTTACTCCTAGAGTTGTGCATTCATGTGGAAACAAACACATCTGCTTTATAACACTTCTTTTTCCACCAATTCCCAGAATTTTCCACAAATTTCCAATTTTGTGTTCTGTGCAATGTGGAAGAGTTGTGCTGTGAACAGAACACGAATTGCACTGACTCCTCTTGGTGGATGCTTGGAGCACCCTTGAACTACAACACTCTCTTTAAAATGATCATTAACCAGCATATCTTTTATTATTTGTTTTCTTCTGTCTGTCTTTCTTTTTAAATTCTATATATTCCATTCCATGCAGCACTACTTGCATGGAAAGACAATACAGGGATTACTTATTCTTAGGCCCAAAGTAAATCCTTTTCACAGATGGCTGTATGCAGTGAAGTTAAAATTTCACAGAAATTATTGCTCTATATTGGCAAATAAATGAAAGGAAAAGCTTCTCTGCAAAACACAGAACCAAATTTTTTGCAGTCTTGCAGCACCTGTGGAAAAAATGCCCAAAAAATTGCAGGAGGTTGAATCTCTAACTGGTCTCCTGAGATCTTGTACAACATAAAAGATATTCACAATATTTTCCAAACTCTAAGTTGTGTTTTGTTTCTGATACTTCATAGGGATAGATGACTTCAATTTACTCATAGTGTATTAATAATTGGAAAGGCTCCCTGAGCCTCATTAACTTCAGTGTCTTTTCTTCAACTTGACATTTTTTTTTGTCTTCCATATGGAGTTGTGAACTTATTACAAGAGATCACCTCAAATTTTGTCTCGGTGTTCCTATTGATGTAAGAAAACTGATGTTAAATAAACATTCCTCTATTTTATTTTCTGGGAAAGGCTGAGTGGCCTCCAGTGCTGCCAGCACTTAAAAGGGCCAAATTGGATGATTTAATAGAAAAAAAGTAAAAGCCTGTGTTTTTTGTTGTTATTGTTGTTGGGTTTTTTTGGGGTTTTTAATAGAATGATGGCTGCAATTATAATTAACCTGTTTTTCCAAGAGTTTGAAAGCTTCTTTCTTCCCACAGTACAGGTTAGACAAGTAATCAGTTAAAGGATTCAGAAACTGCTGGATGAATTTCAGGAAGTGTGCACTGGTGGAAAAAATAATGGTTCAATGAAATAAACTTTGTCTGGAAATTTTGGTGCTTGAGTTTCAGCTAAATTTTATTTTTTAAGGAAATTCATACATTAGATTGCTGTGGTTATCTAATTACTTGTACTGCAGCCTAGCACAACATTAGAGGAATACATTGTGCACTAATTGGTTTTATTAATTATAAGTTTGTCTTTGACTCAGTCAATCCCACTTCCTTTTTCATCAATGTTAATTTTCAAAAGGTTGTTGTTTTTTTTTTACAAAGGGAGGAGTCACCATTACTTTCTGTTCATGCTTGAAATGTCTCTTCAGCAGTGCTCTGGAGCTTTAGTGTTTATAACAAGGAATGGAGATAATAAGAATGATTTCCAAGTTTTGTAAGACTAAGGGGTCTTCTCTGGTCAACTTTCTTCCTGCTCTTTAAAGCAGTTTTAGCACATCTTATTCAATCAGTGACCTATAGGAAGCAACTTGTGAAAACCTACACTTAGGAGAGGTTTTCTTTGAGAAAAGTAGAAATACTTTGCTGTGGTTTTTTGTGTGGTTCTTTTTCTCCCTTCCAGATTCTCTTTGTGTGTTAGATTTCCAACTAATATTCTAGTAGAGAAATCATACTGAGAGGAAACATTGAATTCACCATAGTTCATCTCATAATCTAAACTTTGACTATTGCTTTCACACAATTAAATCTGTTCTTCAGGTCCTCATCACATTGACATCTTTTTTAATTCCATGTGTCTTGATTAGGTGTGTAAGATTTAAATCTTATGAAAGGGCTGCAAAATTAATGTCTCCCTGGGAAAATTATACCCAGTTGCTTCCTAAAGTTACAATTATAAACTGTGGCTGCCTTAACAAAATATATATATATATATATATATATATATATAATATATATTCTTGGACTAGAATTGAATATTAGCCTATAAAAAATGAGTAGAGCACAAACTCAGTTATAATCACTTAGACTGGGTTTGTCTTCAGACAGAATTTTTCCCTGCTCAGGACTGTTTGACAAACCTGAATTTTAACAAGTGTTTTTACATTTTGTGTGTTTCAATAATTCTGTTTTAGCTCCCAACCCGTGTGCTGCTAACGAGGGCAAGGGTCCCTGCTCTCACATGTGTCTGATCAATCACAACAGAAGTGCTGCCTGTGCCTGTCCACACCTGATGAAACTGTCTTCAGACAAAAAAACATGTTATGGTAAGTTTTCCTCCCACAGCCTGGCAATTGCATTGATTTTAGAGTCAATGGGCAAATTAATGTTACGAATAAAATCTCTGCAGTGCTTTCTAGTGGTGTATTTTAAAGGAGAATCTGCTTTTTTGAGAACCGATGACTTGTTCTAATAGTTGAGGTCTGTGGTGCTTTGATATTTGCTGCCACAGCTGTTTCTTTGTGCTGCTGGTGTGTGTGATATGTTCATAAAATTTATCTCTGCAAAACAGAAAGCTTTATACTGAAACGTGCATCATCCCAACATTCTGAGTCAGGTAAGCTGAATAACAAAAAGATGCTTAATAGCTTAAATCTCTACCTGCTCTAGAGTTGTCTTAGCTTCATTTTCAAGGATTAAAAAACAAAGAGTAAATATTAGAAGTGCATCCTTGCAGGGGAATTTTATGAAAAAACTGCAATACACACTTTTTAAGCTCCAAAAGCCCTTGAAATGTCAAATAATTGTGTGTATTATCTATAAAACCTTGTACTAAATTATCCTTTTTGCTGTTGATTAATAGCATTCAAGAAATAGAAAAGAAAATAATAGTTTGGCATGTCAGAGATAGTGCAGGGGAAAAAAAGGTTACTTTTACTCTTCATTTGCAGGCACTTGCTCGAATCATTCAGTTTTGAGATTAAAAAGAGAGCTCTGCTTTGCCTTTAATTTATCATCCTTCTTCACTAGTGGAGGTGTAAATTAGAGCAACCAATTTGCCCTTTTTGTTCCAGCTGTTTGCTTTTCACTGCTCACATGCTTGCTGTTTGCAAAACTTCCCTTTTACAGTGAATCTGATATTCTGAGATACCAAATGTTAATATCTGTTATGATGTGCAGGTGAAACAGGATTTGTTTGAGTGGACTAAAGAGGGTAAAATGTTTAAAATAACATTTTCAACATTTTTTATTTCGCACTCATAAGACCATATTGATTTAGTGGCGTGGTAACAATGTCCAATATGCAGAATTCTTATATTTTTCTGTGATTTTTATGCTTTGTAACATTACTCCTCAAGTGTCACTGGGCTGCAGGCTTTCAGGAGATCTTTAACCACTCATATAAACACAATTTACACATTTGTCAAGTGATCTCAAATGACTGACTTTGATTTCTGTCAGAGATGTTGTGAAGAAGATGAGGAATGATGTTTTCCCTTTTTCTAACAGAAAGAAAGAAGTTTCTTCTTTATGCAAGGCGTTCAGAAATAAGAGGGGTGGATATAGAGAACCCATATTTCAACTTCATCACAGCTTTCACTGTTCCTGACATTGATGATGTGACAGTCATAGATTTTGATGCTGTTGAGGAGCGTTTATACTGGACTGATGTGAAAACACAGACCATCAAACGGGCCTTCATCAACGGGACTGGCTTAGAAACCATCATTTCAAGAGGTAAACAGCATAGCATTGAAGTAAAAATAATTCCTTCTAGGTAAATGTGTGTTCTGAACATGCTAAAATAGGAGCATGCAAGTCCTGGATATGCATTCCTTGCCCTGGGATTGGATAATTGATCTAAACAATAAGCAAACAGAATTTTCTTTAGGATTCTAGTTCACTTTATTGATTCATAATTCAATTTTATGTAAACAAATTGGAATGTAATTTTGCATTGATTTTGTACAAGATTTAAATGTATAGCAGAAAAAGGAAGCTAATGTCTTGAAGGTAGCAAGAATAAAGATAAAAATCAGGAAAAGCACAGTATCCTGGCATAGCTTAGCACTGAAGAATTTCCTCTATCCTTTGGCTACCTGTGTTGACCTAGCAATTAAATTGGCTCTTCCAGGGTTATTTTCTCTTTCCAGTCCATGTAGATCTTTCAGCTTTGGTACCATTGGTGAAAGCACAACATGGCAGCTTGGTCATTTTGGTGATGCTGGTGTAATGTGGGTTTTGTCTGTGCAGAATATGTACATAAGTATAGAAACTAAATTAATATTAAGTCTATATCTGATTGTTTCAACCTTATTTCAGTAGCTCTGGTACTGAAGTCAAAACCATTTGTTGTCCCTGGTAGCATTTGGTTTTTGTTTCCAATCACTCTGAGTTCCTTTCTTAGCAGCACATGTTGCTCTTCTACTCTGTAATGTACCCACCTGCTTGAAAATAGTAAAAAAAGCTGATTATGTGGAAGCAAATTTTTCTAACTCTGATTCCCCAACAGCTTGGTGGAGAACAAAAGAAATAGCTCAGTTGTGTAAGGTCAGACCTTTTCTGACTTGGAGAACAAGTAAGCCCTGTAGTTGATTATCTGGGGACTTTAGAAAATAGTTAGTTCAAGCTCTGCCCCCTGTGCCATTTTAGAAGAAATCATTTCTGTGTTTGCACATTTTGGGAAATGTTTGGACAAATATGGCAATTTCCCCATTTTGTAGACTGTGAATTCATTTATTTTGTGCAGCTACTTTTTCTTTTCCCCTGCTATCTCAGAGACAACTTTATTAACAATCAGATATGTTTTTCAGTCCCAGTAATGAGAACAAGGCTTAGAATGCCTCCTAGAGATCTTTATATCAGGTATTCAGGTGCCAAACAGAAGTATTTGTTGCTTGGGTTTTTTTGTTCAAAAAGTAGTAGAATAAAAATGTTTATTATAGAAAAATCACTGAACTTGTCAAAGAACTTAATGAAAACAATAGAAATATACTATTCTTTCATATTCCTTTTATTATGGTAGCTTCTGTGGTGGAGATTTTTTTATGTTTTTGGGGATTTTTTGTTCCAGATGTAATTTCTATATAATAAGTTTGAGAAAATTACAATGTTCTGGCACATCAAAACATTGTAAAGACTATTTATTATGTGTAAACTATCTCATTTGCTAACAGTTATATTTTTATACTTCTATAAGAACATAAGAAGCTTTGTAAGCACGTCCTGGCGGGATTCTCGTTGGGTGAAGTCTTATACCAGTGTCACAAAGATGCCAAGTTGTACTTTAATCTTTTTAAGAGTATGAAATGCTTATTTTCTAGTTCTTACATGAATAAAAACCACAAAAAACCCCCCAAAAAAAACTAAAAACCCAGAAGGGTATGGTAGCAATTTAAAATGGGTCAAGGACTGTGTGTTTGGTGTCCTGTGTTGCATTCTGTGAGATTGGCAATCCTCCTAATTCTCAATCATTGCTCAGCCTTATGGACATGCAAACCAGTCCTCAGCCACATCCACATCAGTTTGTCAAGGGCAATAATCCTGTCAGTGGAAATTACCATGTTAAGTTGACAGAAGATGTGTATAAATGATTAACTGCGCCGAATCGTTAAATCACCCTTGGCCTGTTTCCTTCTCCACAAAGATGCCAGCCAATATGAACTCAGGGCAGAGGGGCATGTTGGTACCTAGAGGTGAAGCAGTGACTTTACACCCAGTTATTCAGGCAGATTTTAGCATGGATTGATATTTCTTTTAATGCTAAGGAAGACCATCAAGTTACCGAGTCAGTCATATCATATTTCTGGTTTGCTGTCTCAGGTAATAATGGTGCTGTCAGGTAACCCTCAGCCCCCACAGCTGCTCACTCATTCCCTTCCCACAGCAGGATGGGGAGGAGAATCAGAAGTGTAAAAGTGAGAAAAGTTGTCGGTTTGGGTAAAAACAGCTTAATAGGAAAAGTAAAGCTCTGAACAACAGAAAAGCAAAATAAAGGGTTCATTCAGTGCTTCCCATTGGCTGACAGGTGCTTTGCCATATCCAAGCAGGCAGGGGAGTAACTTGGAGTCTTCAAAGCTTTCAAAAATAAAACCAGTAAACTTCTCCAATGACACAAGTACAAATGAGCTACAGAACTATGTTATAGACCAGTGGTTTTAATTCTGACTCTGTACTGAGCTTTTGTGGAGCTGAATAAGGAAGGAGGCTTTTAGATTTCAGCATAGCCATGTTTTAGAAAGCCACTGAGCAGTAAATGCTTTCTGAAGTAGAAAAACACAATGTAGAAGTTCAGCATCTCTGATTATTTTTTTGGGACAATAGGTTTCATGTTGTGAATATTCAGTGTGATTTTCATGTTCTTATTGTTAGTATATCAGGCCCAGGAAAAAAAAAATAAAGATTATTCATTCTTGGCAACTAGTTAATAAATCCATCTGAATAGAATGTTGCATGGGATTGTTAACAAACTGTAGAATAAATTATTCTTCTATTTTTTTTTCCCCTAACACTGATGAGAACACAGAAAGGATATCAAAAGAGCTGCTTTCCCTCTTTGCAGATATTCAGAGTATCAGAGGTCTTGCAGTGGATTGGATATCACGTAATTTATATTGGATTAGCTCAGAATTTGATGAAACACAAATTAACGTGGCACATTTGGATGGTTCCTTGAAAACCTCAATCATCCATGGAATCGATAAACCTCAGTGTCTTGCAGTTCACCCAGTTAAAGGGTAAGGTATCCATGGTTGTGATAATAAACTGCAGCAAAGCTCATCAGCAGGTTCTTCATTCATATTTAAAATAGGCCATTTTAAACTTAAACTTAAACTTAAAGTGCAAACACGAATTTGAAAGGTTTTGCTGAAAATATTTCAGCTGAATACTTCTTCCCTTAGAAAGCTACTGAATAAATCATGGAACTATTTAGTTGTATGTTTTGTCTCCTAAACTGATGAATGTTTTCTCTACTGACTCATTAAAAACACTGTGTTCACAAAGCAATATTGTAAATACATTAATTCTCTTCTTCAGTAAGCTGTACTGGACGGATGGTAACACAATCAACATGGCAAACATGGATGGCAGCAACAGCAAAATACTCTTTCAGAATCAAAAAGATCCTGTTGGTAAGTACCCTTTTATATCCTGTTTGTTTTAACTGATAGTGCTTTTTTATGGGCATTGTCTTGAACTGATAATTTAAGTGTACAATGATGTTTTTCATCTACAGCGATAAGAACAGGCATAAAGATATGAACAACACTCGTGCTACTGTTGTGTTTCACAATTTAAGTTATTTTTTGCCCATTCCAACTGAAATCTACTGCAGATTTAGTGAAGTATTCCTGACTCTAGGATTACAGCAGGCTGAAGGAGAGCTCATCTGTATTTCTCAATCTTTGTATCATTGTTAGAAAAATGCAGAGGTCAGGGTTTTAGCAAGTCATGGATATGTGTGAGAGGATGCTTTGACTGCAAATGTGGATCCTTCCTCACCAGAACATCAGCTGCATAATCCAAAGATAAATTGGCCCTTAACTTTTCACACAGAGAAAAAAGCAACAGTTGAAGCATGCATTTCATATCATGACTTAGCCTCAGTTTTAGTAATTGGGGATTCATATAGTTGAGGATAAATTATAGCATTTAAAAAAAAAAAAGCTCTTTCTCTGTGTATTTTTAGGTTTTGCTCAAGTCCCTTTTGGTAGATAATTTCACTTTTTAGAGAGTTAAAGTGGTTATGTCAATTGTTGCTACCTTATTAATGGCCTATCAATGAAGTGATGATATTTTAAAGCATTTATTTTTTTTAACAGAATGCATTAGGCAAGCAGAAGTGAAAATGATTTAAAGAATTCAATAAATTTGATATAAGAGCAACATGACATGCATTTTACACCCTAAATTCAATGAATTTTGTAGGTATTACTTGAAAACTGTTTTACTCTTGATATGATTATCTGTCTATCCACTTGAAGAGACAAAATTACCTTTTCATCCAGAGAGAAAAGAGTGGTAAACCCACTAATTTTAAGGTGAAGAAAAAGCACTTTTAATAACATTAGGACAATATTAAGGAGAGTTGTATGCAACACTTTGCACTGAAGATTTTGCGATCAGAGATCCTAAATTGCAATGCTTAGAGTTTCCAGTATCAAACTCTGAATTAAAATATATCCAAAACACCAGTTTCAATGGTTTAAATGATTTCTTAACATCAGCATAAGACAATCCCATGCTCAAAATGATGAAACCCTTATAAAGACTTGGAAAGTAGAAGTCTTACAACATTAATTTAATATTTTATTTGTACACTGAAAAAACTGTCTTTGACCATGCACTCAAGCTCTAGTTCATGCAGTGCTAATTTTGAGTGTTTGGGGAGTTCTCAGGTAGTTTGCTAAAAAGGACAAATATCTGGTTTATTGGAGTTGGATATCCTGGTAATTGATGGGATGTTTTGTTTGCTTGGTGCAATATTTCAGAATTTGAGAAATGAGGGAATTTTCCAATCTGTGACCTGAATTAAGGCGATGGATTTATTTTTCCTGTTTGAATTTTCCTTATCAAAACAAGGGGACAATTTTTCAGTTGCAATATTTTCTATTATTATCAAGAGCATTTTAATTTGGAAATTTTGGGAACTGATACTCTTAGGATGACAGTGTCATTTATTTTTATCTGAACTAGCACAGACTAGTTATGGTTTGCTGGTCCATTCTGCAGTTCTAATAGTCTCCAGTGCTGAGAGATGTATTTGTTGATAAAAGAACTGCTCATTTGAGTGCCATTACCCTGTATTCTTAGGAATTCAGAATCCATGCTTAATTTTATACTTTGTTGGGCAAATCATTGGTTTATTTGAATTCTCTGAGACCAATATTGCACAATCCTCATGTTCAGATTCACTTTAGCAGGTTATAAGGTTTAAGCCAGTCACCCACACCTGAATGCATCATGAATATCTGTGATGCTTATGCCTAATAAACCACTTGTTTTCATTAGGAAAGCAGGACAATTCCTGAAAAAAAATCTAATTAAACATGCTCTGCCTACATTAGAAATAATGTGTTTTTGCAGAGGTTGGTAATAGGTGGAAAGTATTTGGGGGAGAATAATGTGCTAGACTTGTGTGGAAGGAGATAGGAATGTTTTTCATGTCAGTTGCTGTTGGGGAATTGGAATGCCTGTGTGTAGAAGCACCAGTTGAATATGTGAAGTATAAAACCAGCCAGGACAGGGCTGTAATTGATGCACAGCTTGTATTGGGAGTACCCTCACAAACAGATCCCATCTATGTGCAATATCTGGCAGCTGGGCATGGGCAGGACGTATGGCAAATCCCAAATGCTGCCCATCTCAGAGCAGGGAAACCTTCCCACTGGTGTATTCCCTTTTAATCCACTGCTATTCCCAGGGAAGCTCCCTGTGCTGGGCTGAGCCCTGCAGGTGCTGCCTGTCTCCAGGATCCCTGGTGCTCTGTGCTCGGAGGGAAGCTGGCTGGACAAACACGAGAAGGTGTGCGCAGAGATCTGGAGACGAGTCCCTCCTGCCGGCACTGCTCCAGAGCCCCTCTCCAGCGTGTGATGTTTCCTCCTGGGTGAAACCCTTGCAGAGAGGTAGAAGGAAATATCAGTCCCTGCACAGGGACTGGAAAGGTGCTTTTTAGAAGCTCAGAAAGCAGACACTTTTGGCCTGCTGTGTCAAATGTGGATGACAGGGATGACACGATGGCAGCTGTAGAGGCTGCAGCCCATGGCACTGCTTTCTCCTGTCAGCATTTCCAAAACAGCTTTCCACAGGATGAAAAAGTCTACAGCACAATATCTACAGCTTGACCCATGCAGTGAAATACAGAATTTTCTGGCAACTTGTTGCTGGATTCTTAGCATGAGCTCTGGGAAAGCTGGAGCACCAGAGCACATTGTTATGGCAGGAATTGTTATTGTTACCATGCCAAGAATATTTCACTGTGGAGAATCTCCTGCCACCACTTCTTGAACATTTTTAAAGGATTGCAGAAGTCTGAAATACATTATCTCCTAATTCTTTGTGCTTACTTTCAGAAAACTCTATACTTTATTCATTTAGTAGCTTATTTTGCAGGTATCCTTATTTTAATGGTTCTCTTGCTTCAAACTCCAGAGAACTGATTGAATCAAAATGAAAAGTAATACTAGAAATTTATTAGCAGTTTGGATTAGATTTTAGTATTTCATCATCCTGAGCAGGGAGAGAGCAGACTTTTCATAGTTCTGAATCACAAAAAGTACCGTGTTTACCAAGTCTCTGTGTATTCATAATTTTTGAATATGAGTGATGGGTTCTGGTTTGCATTTACAAGTTGTTAATGACCTCGTTTAGGACCTCAGCTTATTCAAGTAATTCTTCATTGCCAGATAATGCTCTTTCATCAGTCAGTCACTGATTTTGGTAACTGCTGAAAGAAATAAAAGGAACAAATCTTTCTAAAAGCCTTTTTTCCTCATTGTAAATGGCCAAGTTCGGTTTTCTCAAATTTTCTTTAAAGTGTAAGTAGATGAATGACTAGATAACATAACTGTGTTTGTATTTATATATTTCTTAAATGCAGTTACATAATGAAAACAGCTTAATAATAAATGAATGTCATCCATTAAAGCCACAGTTAAATTTGTATGCATTAATTACAGGTTTATCAATAGATTATGGGGAGAACAAGCTTTACTGGATCAGTTCAGGAAATGGAACCATAAGCAGATGCAATTTGGATGGTGGTAATCTTGAAATAATTGAATCAATGAAAGAAGACTTAACAAAAGCCACAGCTTTAACCATTATGGGTAAGTCCAGTGATTGGTTTTTTTTTTTTTAATTATTCAAAACTAATTAATAATGAAATACAAAAAGCTTAGGGAAGTTCTTGTTTTTATGTAAATAATACATACAGTACATTCACAGTTTGCAATCTCTAGTACAAGGATATTTCTAAATATAGATTTGTGTATATATATATATTTGTGTGTGTGTATATATATGTATATGGAATGCAGTTAATAATTTGATGGCTTATATTTATTATAGTCACATGTAGAGAATTTTGAAAGGGGAAGGAGTTGTTAAGCTGTTTATTACATGGAATTATTCATGACTTGTTTCTTCTGCTGAATTCTTCCTAATTAGTTCAGGATATTCCTAGTTTGTTGGATTGCCTGGAACTTTGGGAAGATTTCTTTGGGTTATGAATTGATGATTGAGGATTTGAATTTTCAGATGTCTGCTCATATTCCATGTATTAAATTGATTGAAAGAAACTTATTTTTTTTTTGTTGCACTTCAGAAATAAGAAATGTTTAGAATGTTCAAAAAAATCAGAAAAATATATGAGAAAAATCAAAATAACAGTAGCCAAAGGAAAAATTCATTAAAAAAAAATCAGTGAATTGCTGATCACTGAATAATATAAAAATATTGTTTCAAATTTACTTTTTCTCATATGCACCTCCAGCTCTTGGTCCTTGTTGTAGCTGGGACAGTGTAGTAAGAAATTACAGTTTGACTCAGAATTTATGTTTATGCTTCTGCTTTTTTAGAGATGACTTTAGAGCTTTCCATATTTCCTACAAATTAGTGACCTTTATTCTGATTCACTTAAAAATCTCTTATGTTTATCTTGGATATTCCAAAAAAACCCAAAAAAAGTTCAGTTGATAAACAGACTTTTGTTGGGATGAGTGAGTTATCAACTGCCAGTCTTTTAATGACATATTTTATCTGATGGCTTAATTAAATAATAATTATGTACATATAGACAGTGTGCTAGTGAAAATTAAATAAAATGTAATGATTTTTATGCACATGGTGTAAATTATGTCATATTTAAAGTGGTAATTACTAAGTTAGATTTATTATACACCCGTTTGGCCAGTACTGAGCTCTAAATGCTGTCAGTATCTGCTGGAGATGTTATGATTTTATATGTACATTTGTAAACATGAGCAGGTTTGGTGTCAGAAGGAATCCTGAATGTTCATTTGTACAAATTGTTTTTCATTGATTGGACTGTGACTAGAAATAGACAGAATAAATGCCCTTTCCTCTGGGGAGCAGTTGGAAGTCTTTAACAGGAGGTGTAAGGAGTGTTTGTTCATATTGTCACTGAGCTGGTGCTGGTGTCAGGTCTTCATCTGGGATTCACAGAGGCTTCAACAGTGATGGTCCCTCTGGGGCAGGAAATAAAGAGTTTGTAGCTGCCATGTAAAGAAGAGTGTGTGAAAGCAGTTGAATTTTAACACATCCAGAGATGGAAGAATATCTGCTGTGTAGGATTTATCTCATGTACCTCTAATATTCATAGTTTGGGATGCTTTTGTTCGTATGGGTGACAGCAATTATTCCTACCTAAAAATGATGAACCAAAAAAGAGTTTGGGGCTTTCTGTTTGCTTATTTTTGGGATTTTGGAGTCATAGAGGTGCTGAAATTCAGTTTGATATTGCAGTGAGATTCTCCATATAAATCTGCTGGAGAAAAGTACAAGCACAACAGTTTTATCGGCAGCATTGTATGTTCTGATTGAAAAACATGAAAAGTTTCTACATTCATTTCTCCTGTAAGTTTCCATATTGTGGAACATACCATTGTAATATAAATGCCATTTATTTTCCTAAAGAGGAAGGGGGCTGTGCATCAGCTTTTTGCAAGCAGGTTTTTGTGCATGTAAAGTGGGTCAGAACAGAAAATCCGGTGCCATATGAAGCAAGATAAGAGAACTCTAATTGATAAATCGTCATAACTAATAATATCCAGGTAAAGAAGAGTGATTAATTTGTTCTAATGTAAGATTAAACATAGTAGTGTGTGAAAATTTACTACTCCTGCTGATCTATTTGCCTACAAGTTTAATTAGAGGTTTTAGCAGATGAATCACAGTAATTGCAATGTTTATTGCATCGTTTTTGCTCCTATTCCTAAATTTTCTTGACTGCCTGTATCTAAAAACACAGTAAACACAATAAAGCAACATGAATGGAACGTTCCTCCTCTGTGAATATACTGAGCTGTCTTTTTTGTACCATTTTAATTCACCAGTGACTGAAAAGAGAGATGATACCTGTGCCCAAACCCTTAATTGTTTTGTAGGATTAAGTTCCACTCAGTGCTGGAGAGTTCTGTAATCTTCTGTAATATTCAGCTTTCTTTTGCATTATTCTGTCTTCTACATTTAGTGTCTCCCCAGCTGGGAGGGGTGTTTTGGACAGCTAACTTTCTTTGTTGATATATTTTAGTACATAATCTTGTCATATTGTTGGGTTCCATTTCCACTGAAGCACAAAGAGGTGATGGAGTTGGGTATTTCAAAGCTGCCTTTGTACAGCTGTGTCACCAGGTCACAAATTGGTCACTTGTTGATCACCAGAACCTTTATTGGACTCAGGAGCTGAAAGGAAGCGTGGGGGGCACCTCAGTGGATTGAGGGGATGGGTAATGTGATCTGGGATAGCTCTGGCTGCTGTGCCCCCATTCCCTGCCTAGGCTAGGTGCACTGAAGGAGAAAGGATCTTCAGAAAAATTGCTGAATTTCTCATAAATTTGCTACACTGGTGATGACTCTTCAAGCACCTCAGCTGTTGATTTTGAAAATTAATTTAGTTCTTTGGGAAGCATCTTCCCCAGCCATCAGTCTCCCTGTGAGAAAGCACAAGCTCAGAGACTCTCAAGGTGAACCCTGTGTCAAGAGCTAACGACTTCCATCCCGTGGCTGGACAGCCTTTGGCACAGAAAACTCACAGGTCTGACAGCTTCCAGTGGCTTTTGCTGTATCTTACACTTCACGTTCCAGAAGATAGGCACTCCATGGTTGTGTTCTACGATTTGAGCTCAATAGACACTGCGAGTGAGGTCTGTAAAGTTTTGGTTTGCTTCGTAATACAATTTATGGAGTGGTTCAGAGCTTCACCAGCAAAGAGGAGTCTCCTCTAGCATGACCCCTCAATCTCCACGTTGTTTTTATTGCTTTCAATTCCTCTGTTTTAGCATTGCAGTTGAGCTGTTGGAAACCATCTGGAAGTTACCACTTCTGTTTCAGATGTTTGCTGTTGTTTAGTCCTTTCCAGGCTCTGTTTAACATCTTCCTACGATTGCATTCTTTAGTGGAAGCTTATAGAAGGTAATGATAAGACAGAAAAAATAATGTTAGCAAACAAGCTGGTGCCAAGGTAGCTGTCAGGTTTATCCTTAAGGGAAATGGGAACAATGTATAATTCACATCTTTCTGTATTTTGGGTCTTTCATTTATTGGTTTTCTACTCAGCAGTGTCAGTCATCTTTCTTTTTCATTATACTAAGCAAAATTCCCAGTCTTTCGGTGCCTGCTTTTGCTAAATCTTTTGGAGCATTATATAGATGGGATGGAAATTATATTCCATTTGAAAGTAAAACATTTGAATATGTACAAAATGCTATTTTTTTCCATGCCTTTAAGGATATCAAAAAAATATAATTGCTGCTGCAATTCTGTATTACAAAGAAGTTGCTGTAAATCTGTGAACTCATATGTGTTTTTCTGCTCTTACCACTTTTTCTTCAAATCCATATGCAGATGTCAGTGTATGCAACAGCTGACCTTTTTAATTAATCAGTCAAAACCATGTGAATGCTTCATCTTGTGCTTCTCACTGGTAATTGTCTTGCATTTGGTCATGGTAATTTTCTTCTGTTACTATGTAAACTTGACATTTTATTTTCTTCAAAGACCTCTGCTGGTTTATTTAGCCATTTAGAAGTTTATCTGATTAACAGTACCTTGTGTCCTACATAATTTTCAACACCTTCTGCTGGTACCATTTATAAGTTGATATCAAATATTTCTCCTGTTCTGATATTCAGCATTGTTCCATGTGAAAGAACTTCTGAATGTCTTATAGAGCACAGTAAAATTCTTTCCAACAATAATAAAATAAAATACTTTCTATGTTTGTCTTAAGGTTTGAGTTTAATCTACCATTCAATATCTGATTTTAGCTATTTTCCTGGTAGCCAGTGTTTTGAGTGGGATAAAAAGATAAAGATGTATTTGGAATTCTGCATAAAGTCTCATTTCCTGCCTTCCATGTTACTTAATGAAAATGGTTCCTTGACTGTTATTGAAACTGGTTAGAAATTTACCTTTGATGTGAGAGCTGTATTTCTGGACTGGTGAGCAGTCATTATTTCACACGATCTGAGTTGCAAAGGAGCTCACAGCAATATCTGACATCCTTCCAAACTGGTGTGTTGTTTCTTGAATGACAAATGACTCTGAATGAGAAACTGAGCGTTGCTAGAAAAGTATTGATTAGTTACTGTAAGTCTGTAGCTGAGGAGAAAGGGATGCTGAAGGCTTCTGTCAGCAGTTTTGGTGGAGGTATTTCATTGGATTTTGTATCAGGTCCTCACAGAAATACAATTTACACAAAACCACAAAATTCAGCTCATGTTGCTACAAAATAGGAATATAATGTAGATTGCATAATGAGTATATAATTTGTTGTGCATTCGGTCTTTTTTAGCATAAAATAGAGTAACTCCATGTAGTGAATGATTTTATGCATAAGTGCTATTTCTGTTGAAATTCATATTAAAAAAAATTCAATCAGCAATACAACAAAATCAGATATACATAATAGCTTTTTAACGGGCATGAAGATATTAGAAGAATGTCTTTTGAACAAAAACTGTATATAAATATAGCCATCAAGTTGTATTGTCAAGCAATCAAAACAGAAAGTAACAATTATAGTATTTCATTTTAGACAGAAAATGTAGGTTAACGTTACCAAAGTATATTCATGCTTCCATTTACTTTCATCATGCATTAGATGATAAATTGTTTATTTTATTTTTGTTTCATCCTAAATAAAGTTTCAAAGCTAACACCAGAATGCTTTCCCAGTAGCTCAGGTGGTGGGAGCTGTGACTTTGCTGGTTCTATTTGCAAAGTGAAAGGGGCTGCTCTTGGAAGATCAGGAGACTTCAAACACATACACCTTAATTTTCCAAGTCATCAGTCTTCTAATTGCCGTATCACCATTCATTACATTAACATTAATATATGAAATATATCTAGGCAATTTGCCCGGTTCTAAGTGCAGTACATAGTTGTCTTCCATAAATACTCAAACCACCATTAATGAAAACTAATGGCCCATCAAAATTTGCATTCGGAGTACTACTTGAAATCTCCAAAGGACTGTCCACAATGCTAGGGTAGCAATTTTTGGCATTTCAAGTTGCTTTTTCCCAATATGCTGCTGTGCTTAATGCTAATTACCCAACAGAATGGATAAATAAAACAATTTTAATATATATTATAACTCAGTTTCAGCAACAAGCTTGTAATTAGTGCTGGAGCAACACACTTGTTAGCATAATAAATCACTTCCGTTTGATGTTTAAAGGTCCAAACCAGCATTTTTTTTTTCTTTCCTTGTGTGTGAAAGCAAGTTGTCTTTATGCTAAAATGGGTATTTTTTTTGTAAAATCATCTATATTTTAATATATAAATAATTAGTTAATTCTGAATACTAGACATCATAAATGAGTTATCTACTGAAATAATATCAGTAGTGCAGAGAAAACTATTCCAAATTTAACTTAGAATTATGGTCAAAAATAGCCATGTATAATTGCTGATTTCTCTTTTTTTGTTGGAGACTGTGGTGGTGTTTGTTGGTCACCTAGCAGCATCTGAAGAATTAAAACATTTATTTCTTAGGTTTTAGGGCATAACTGGCAAGATTTTGGTCAGATCAAAGAGTCATAAGAGTTTTGACCTCAAGGTGTGTGTACTTCAGAATTTGTGTGTTGTTTGGTCATTTTATTGGTTTTGGACTTTTTTTTAAAATTGGTGGTTTTTATTATTTTATTATTTATTTTTGTTTTAATTTTATTTTTTAACTATACTAAATCAGGATTTATATGACCTTTCTCATTTAAATCTCCCTAGTCCTTGTCTCCTTGTAAAAATCATGGCGTACCATTCTGTATAAGAGAAGAATAAACACAAGTTCAGTAAGAATTTGTAAGTTACATTTTTATTTGAAGGCTTAACCAGGTTTCACGTTAACAAGAATGAAAGTGGAAGGCAAAAGAATCACTTTGAAGAGTACTGTGATACTTCATTTGTGAATTGTTGTGATTTGTCCTTTTTATTGGCATCGGGGATGTAGGAGACTCCTCAACCTCTGCAGGCAGTCAAGTACCTTAGGATTAGTGATGATTTTATGAAGTGCTACTTTTGTCATCACAGGAGAACAGCTCCATGATCTGACGTGTCTGACACCACTGATGGAAATTGTTTAGGCACTCTTAGCTGTGCATGGAAGCTGATGTGGTCTTGTTGAGTAGCTCAGTAAACTAAAGAGGTGGAACATTCAGCTGCTCGTGTAGAAATGGGTTTGGCTCTGTACTATTTACCAAAAAAAAAGGAGAAATGAAAATATCTGTGGTGTGGATAATCAATGGTAATTAAACTTCCTGATTAAGTGCATGCCATGCTTTCATCGATTGGTAAAATAATATTATTTAAATTTAAATATAACAAATTAATTGGAGTTTTTGTTTCTTTCCTTTTCCTGATGATTCAGGCAGGTCAGCCACAGACAGGTCTGGGACATTGTTGAAACCATAGCTAAAGTTGAGGTTTTGCATAAAATATTAAAGAAATGCTTAAAAGAGTTTGATTACTTCTTTGAAATGAAGGATGAGAACACCAAAACCATATGTAATTTTTTTTCTTCCTATACCCCAGACTTACAAAAGAACTAATTTTTTATAGTTCTTTTATAATTTTTGGATATGTAAAACAGTAAGTTCATGTTACTATGCACAAAACACCAGTCATTACCAAAACTATTTAATGACCTTTTCTGATTTTTGGTCACATAGAGGATGTGAAGAACAAAAACTCTTCTTCACATACAAATATTTCATTGAAAAAGTCAACCTAACCTTTAGGATTGTGGGTCATTATCTAACAAGAAAAAAAACCAAGTCTAATTCCCAATATTTCATATATGGATTAAAACACACAGTCACTTTTCTATTTTTTAGGGTTTTTTTTATAATTGACAAAATCCAAATTGAGCCCAGGCACTTCTTGACCTAAAGATTTTTTGATAAAAATGTCTTCAGATGCAAGTTACTGTTAATTGATCATTATTGTAGGATGATGTTTTGAATCAGTCAATTCTAGACTGACTAGTCAATGCATAAAATTATAATATTTTCTTTAAATTTGATCCAAATTTAAATAGAGAGTTTCATTTGTGTCTTCAAATCTTGATATTTGAGTATTTTTCATTCCACAGATTCTGGTCTTATCATATACCTCTGGAGAGTATGCTTTGGATTTTTCCTAGATATTTTATTTTGTGCTGTAACTTTTTAAAGTTACTGCAGTGGAAATTATGTTTTAAATCTGCACTTTATATCACAAAACATTCAACTATGTGGTTCTACAAATTTGTTATTTAAGTATTAAAACCTCAGCATAGGCACAAATTATTTTATCTAAAAAGAGAATTAACTAAAAGTGAAGTTAATACACAATGTTTGTTGGGAAGGCAGTGTTCCTGAAGTTGAAAGGTTTTCAGGTCAGGCTTTTGCATTTGGCTCCTCTACAATAATAAACTTTTCTGTCTGAAATGAAGAGCCCTGAGACCATCTCATCATTCATCTGCGTGGGCTCGAGGAGTGAGGACTCGTGTCAGGGACAATCAGAAAATTGTCTCCAGTCTTCAGCCATTAGTTTACTGAAATTTGAGCTTGAAATCAAAGCTGTTAAATTTTTAATTTTTTAAACTTTGGGAGGCGGTGCCTGCTTTTTAATTTTTTCATGATTTCTTAGTTACTGATTGTAACTTTTTTTTTTTTTAGTAAAAGACTTAGTTTAATATTTCAAATAATTTTGTTTGCTTGTGAAAAAGAATTTCTTCCCTAGGGTAACACTAGAATTTTCACATTTATATGAAAAATAAGGCATTTTTCTATGCAGACAGCCTCAAATCAGCAGTTGTCTCAGCAAAATTGAAACTGGTGAAAACTGTTTTCATGTCTGCAGAATCTTAAGAACACAATTTCTTCAGATTTTCTCTATAGCCTCTTTAGGCAAGTTCCCTTAAAACTGATCTCAGAATTAATCTCAAGAGCTTTTTCCCACTTTAACTCTCAACCACATAGATAGTGATCCTCCTAATTTCTGAAACTTGGAAATTTTACAGATAAAAAGCTTTGGTGGGCAGACCAGAACTTGGCTCAGATTGGCACCTGCAATAAAAAAGATGGGAGAAACCCAACTGTCCTGAGAAACAAAACTGCGGGTGTTGTTCATATGAAAGTCTATGATAAAGCAGCACAGCAAGGTAAGTCACATTTTAAGTATGTTTATCTAATTTTTAGAGTTCACAATATTTTTTCTCTTGTGGTTCTCCCAGTGTGAAGAAAATAATAACTTGTAACTAGTTCTTTGAGTATCTTAATGAATTAAAATTTCCATTCACGAAGTTTCAGATTTCTGAGATGTGTTTTATTTACTGTGTATGTCTATAATAAATCTTACTAAATTGTTTAGATATAAAATATATTCTTCTATTATTTAAATATTATAATAATTGTAATAATTAGGCAGTTAGCATGGCTTTGTGACTTTACTTTGGAGTATGTGCTAATAATATTAAAAAATGGCTCTTTCATGAAGATAACAAGACTAATATAATATTTAATGAATGAATAGGATACAATCAATGATTTGTTTGTGGTCTAGATTAAGATACACTAATATCTGAGATTTCATCATTAACTCAACATGGAATGTTCAGGTTTTTCGTTTGCTTTCACTTTAAAACAGGCAGATTTTTCAGAAAACAGAATTATTTCTATTCTGAGGGGAAATGTGGGGTTGAAATTCTGCACAAATTAAGCATAGAAAGGTATATGAGTTTATGAAATATTTTATGCATATCTCGATTTTTTGAAGAAGTCATCTGAACAAAAATTGGAAATAATAATGATACATCAATAAAAACACTTTCTTTTTAGCCAGGGTTGCATTGCTCAAGTTTTGATTTCTCTTGTCTCTTCTCCTGTCATGTCGTAGGCAGCAATTCCTGCCAGTTGAACAACGGGGGATGCTCCCAGCTTTGTTTGCCAACATCAGAAACCACCCGAACTTGTGTGTGCACAGTAGGCTACAACCTCCAAAAAAACCGCATGGCCTGCAAAGGTAAAATGGCTTTCAACATTTATTTCAGCCAGCTTCAGTTCTAAGGGATCATTGCAATGAGTAAATAAACTTACTTTTGTCATTTTTAGTTAAATAACTATACTCGGTATGCTTGATTGAAGCAGTGACAGAGAAATGTCTGTTGTGGTTAGGACAGAATTATATTTAGCTTTTCATTAATTTGTTCAAATAAATAAATTTCTGTGGTAACTCTGATTTTCTTTTTTTTAATGTATTCAGAAAAGCTGACCATATGAATCACCATTAGTAAATATTTGTTCAAGGCCATAGAGGTTATCTTTAAATTGAATTAAAGGCTACAAGTGTCTGAATGCTTGGGTATCTCATAAATAAAACCAATTTTTTCCTTAAATATTTTTCTTTTTTAAGTTGTCAGAAGTCAGAACAAAGCTTACAGCCAAAGTCTTACTCTTTACCTGAATAATGCCAAACATCCTTATGGTCAAGGTGCCTTATAGTTTTATAAATTTAATATTATTTATTACTATTAATAAAGACTAAGTAATTCCTGAGAATGACTATGTAAGAAGTCTACACAGTAGAATTTATTCCTACTTAACAGAAGGAGGTGTAGTTGGAATTTGATTAATATAACACAAAAGTAGGCATTTAAAATGCTTCACTTTACAGAACTCTCTCTCTGCAAAGGAAATGTGCATAACTGAAGTGAGATGAATCCTGTACTTGGAAAGACAATTTACTGTCCTGTTTTCCAAAAGGTCTTTAAAATTGTCTCCTTCTGAATATGTTCACAAAGCACAGATGTGCACTGAAAATATTCTTAAATTTCTTATTATTCAAACACAATTTTTTCTTAAATTTTAATTTTCATTTCTGCTAATTACCCGATTATAAGGTCGTGTTTGAAATGGACAGTGATTCCCTTCTCTTGATAGGACCACATTTGTAATTTAATTAGAAATGCACTATAATAACTCATGGATATCTTTTCAAAGAGCTGGAGCTGTCACTGAAAAACTGTGGAGCACCATTGGAAAATTATGTCTAATATATGTTAGCTCTTCTAATCTTGGTTATTTGGAAAGTTTCCACTTTGCTCTCATTGCTTTATCTTTCCCTTAGGAATTGAATCATTTCTCATGTACTCTGTTCATGAGGGAATTAGAGGGATTCCTCTTGATCCAAATGATAAAATGGATGCTTTAATGCCAATATCTGGGGCTTCGTTTGCTGTGGGCATAGACTTCCATGCAGGTAAATATTATATATAATTGTTTGTACTTATGGTTAAAACTGCAAATTCTTCCCATAAATGAAATAACCCCTTCCAAACAATTACAACTGCATTTAAGGAAATTGGAAATGGCTCATGTTACAGAGTTAAGCTCTACCTTTAATATTTACAGTAAATAGGAAATTTTGTGCACATGCTGATTGTTCTGGCAGCAGCAGCTGCTCTCTTTTGGCAGAGTCATCGCTGAGAACTTGAGTAGGAAACTGGTGCTTTTACAGAAAGTGTTCATCAAGGAAAAAGGCTTGTTCCTGCTATGACGCTCTTCCATGGAATTTTCTTAGTCCTGTGTGGTGCTGTGCCTAGCAGGTGGCTTTAACAGGTTGGGACAGTTTTCTCCCTGTCCAGCACAGCTCAGCCACATTCCTGCAGGGCACAGGCCAAGTCTGGATCTGTTCCTTCCTTCTGGAAGGAGCTCTAACAGCTTGAAGAGCAGGCATTTCCACCTGGAATACACAACATACCTTTCTATTGTACATACAGAAATAGTTTTTAATTATCACAAACTGCGTATGAAATTAGGAGGGTTCAGTTTTGCATACATGTGAAAGAAGGTGGGAAAAAATTAAAGATCAGATTCTAAAAGTGTTTGGATACATCATCCAGTGCTGTTTGGATATCTTCAAACATGTTAGCAAGTTTTGATGAGTTTTTTGTAAAATAAGTAATCTGTGACCAGGTAGAGACCTGAAAAATACCCTAAAAATATCCTGTGTCTGTATTTTAACCCATCAGCACTTTGGCCAGCCTTCTTTCAAGACTCATTTTATTACCCAATCTTAAATTACCTGTGTTGTATAAATACAAACATTGTCTTCTTGAAACGCACAATTATTTTGTCATCCTCCATTGTTTTTTATTTTGACATAGATTCTGCCTGGGAATTCAGCATTGTGAGACATCCTAGCTTTTTTCTTAAGTGTATGTTGATATTTACTTTGGTATTGATATCAGACCCATTTCTGTTGGCTATGTTGGACTATTCCATCACACAAATATCATTTTTTTTACCAGGTTAGAAGTTAAATTCATTAGATCTTTGCTTTTTTGACCTGCATCTTCACTGATGCTCTTACCTAGCAAAATTTCAGGTTCTCTCAACATTTTACAGTGCCCTCATAGTTGTATATTTTGCTTTCAAATCAGTGACAGCTGATATGTTCATATCAGGGCTATAATTCAGTTATAGCCTCCAGAGAGATAAAAATCACTTAAAAGCCAGTGTCTTTAAGCACACATCTGGGATGGGAAAGGCTTTGTTGCAGAGGTTTAATCTCTTCCTGGAAAGACACAGGAGGGGAGAGAAAAGTGCTGACTGCACATGCTCATGACAGCAATGACAATGCAATTGAGTTTTCTAGGAATTTTAAAAAAATATTTATCTTTTTATAAATTTGAATTATGCAAACTTTACAAAATTATTATGTCTAAGATAGAAAACTAAAATTTGACCTTTTCAATTTAAAATACTAATACTAGGGTTTTATTGCCTTTTTTCATCTCATGTTTTTTGGTTTGGGATTTATTTTTTTTTACCATGGTCATAAGATATGCTAGCTCCTACTTTAGAGAGGTTTATGTGGATTTAGCTAATAAATATCAAATTAATATTTTGGAAGAATGAGATTCTTGACTTTTTGGAAAAATGAAATTTGAGGCCTATTTAACTAATGAAATTAAGTGATTTCACTAATGAAATTAAGTGAGGTTCTCCAACTTGGCTTGATGAAGTTCCAGCACAGGGAACATGAATAGAATTGGCAGCGACAAATGCATTGCAAAGATAAATGTAAATGGTGTGCAGCAGTGAAATCACAAGGGGATACTGTGTTATAAAAAAGTTACAGCTTTCAACCGAATTTCAGCTTCAAAAACAGCAGTTTATCTCATTTGGGTACCTTGCATTGAATGTTATAAATTCATTACTAAAACCTACATACATCAAATATGATTTGGAAAGCAAGTGGAGGTAGTTTCAGATTTCATCTTGGTTTTTTATTTTCCACTTAGTGAGTGTTGCTTTCATTTCACACTTAATCAGGAAGGATTCCCAAATTTTGCTGTTATCTCAGTAACTTAGGTATGCAAAGTGGATAAAATATATTTACATATGTTAGTAGTACAGCATATCATAATTAAAACTAATGACAGTGATTTTTGCAGACATGAACAAGCTACAAGATTCATACACCTTTTTCTCCCCGTGTTTTGATACTTCTAAATTCTAATTAGCAAATAAGTAGCAAAATGCATGACTCCCATATTTGTTTTGACTACTTAAAGCCAGAATTGCCATTTATTTAATTGGTGGTGGGGTAAGGTTCTTGAGCATACCACTATTGTTTGTTCATAAATAACTCTCTTCTTTTATAAATATATCTATCAATCTACACAAATATTTACATATATATAGATATAGATACATATGTATATATGGAGACATAAAATATTTATATCTATTTATATAGGTAATATTTCTATGCTCTCTATACAAATATATAGATATTATATGGATTATATATAAATATATATATATAATATTAATAAATATAAATACACTCACACTATTATGGAATTAAGAGAAGATTTACAAAATATGGAAAAAAGCCACAAAGGAACAAATATTATTTAATATCTCTGCAAAACACCTCACTCAGGAAGTCATCAGCTCATTACTTTGCAAGCAGAATGTTACTTTGCAAGCAGAATGTTGGTTGCAGCTTATTTACAGAACCCTGTCAGTGAAAACAGAGATAATTCTGCTTGAGGGATGTTCTCACTTTGTTTGCCCCACCTCTTTTTTGAGGTTATTATGTGCCACAGAGGGGAGTTTGTGTCTGTGCTTGAGCCTCTTCAGATTCTCCACCTGGCTGTTGAGTTAAATGGTCAAAGTTCTCCCTTTTTTCCACTTTATGGACAATCACTGCAGCAGAAAGGCTGGGAAGACAGCAGAGATGTCTTGAAACACCAAACAAAAAGACTGTTAGTGGAAGCCTGTCAGGACATTTCAAATAAAAGTTGACTTGTGGATGGAATATTTCTTTTTTATTCTTTTGTCAGCACATCACTCTCAAATGTCACTTTTTATTTCCCTAGCTAATTTTTTTTTCTTACACTGTTAAAATTCAATGTGTCTGATTGCTGAAGGAAAAGACTGTATAAGCAGTTTTACACTGTAGCTTTTCAGACTCCTAAATATTTTGGAATAGTGACAAACAAAATAGTATGTTTTTGAAGCATTTATTCCATTAGGGAAAAGGTAAAGACAGCATATTTGTGATTTTTAACAAAGGTAGTAGCTTCCATCTGCTGTCATAGCCCTATTGTGCTACATGTGCTGTTCTAAGCAACCTAGAATTCTGACAGAATTATTTTAAACAAAAATTAAGAAAAGACAAAGGAATGAGGAATTCAAGCTGATAATTTAGAGTCTTAATACATGTTAATAAAGCTATAATTGGAAATACTTACAGTTGCTTATGAGGATACTTGGACTGAAGTAAGTGAATTAATTTGAGTCTCATTGGCATGTGTTTTATAGGAAATGATACAATCTATTGGACAGACATGGGTTTCAACAAGATCAGCAGAGCTAAGCGAGACCAAACGTGGAAAGAAGACATTGTCACAAATGGTTTGGGGCGAGTTGAAGGCATTGCAGTGGACTGGATAGCAGGTAGGTCTGAGCCTGCTCCAGGGCCTGAGAGCATTTCCAAGAGTACACGCTTGCCTCTTCAACCCAGGGTTAGATGACATGGTTTCCTTTCAGCTCCAATTTCTAGCATTGTAAATGTCTGGAAATTACTTGCATCTACATGTTGGATGGCACTTCTTAGATGAGCAGTTTCAATACCAGTTTATGCTATAAAAGGGCTGCATAGGGCTATAAATTACAAATATAACACCCATGCAAATGAAAATACAGCAGTGAGTTTCTTGTTCTGACTTAAACACTTTTCAAGGAGTCTTCCCTTCATGCAGTGACTTTAGGGTATTTTTTCCAGGTAACATATACTGGACTGATCACGGCTTCAACCTGATCGAGGTGGCGCGGCTGAATGGCTCCTTCCGCTACGTGGTGATCTCCCAGGGGCTGGACCAGCCACGCTCTATCGCGGTACACCCAGAGAAAGGGTAACATGTTATTCCTAACATACACAGAGCTTTTCCCTTGCTCTCTGTATCCATAACGTTCTGTAAGTTCTCTGCAAAATAGTTTATTTTTTCCAAGGAAACTGTTTCCCCTGAAGGTTAGATGTTGTTTGGAAGTGTGTTTCAGTCTGAAGTGCCCAGAAAATCCTAGGAAGCCACCTCAGCTAATGAAGGACTTCATGATGTAATCACAGAGCAGTGTAATCCTTGGTAGTTATAAACTCCAGGGTCATGCAATGTCCTAGTGTAACAACCAGGGAGAGTGGCCAGGGCAGCTGAAAGTCATGTGAGATGAAGGTTGTTGGAGAGTAAGGGTTGGCAAAAGTGACATCTGCGTTCACCCAGCTGATTTTTCAGGGCAGGGACTAACAGGAATAGGGAATGTACCTTCCTCTTCCAGCTCCAGAACTCCTTATGAATTCCCTGTCCCTGGAGCTGTTCAAGGCCAGGCTGGACAGGGCTCTGAGTAACCTGGCCTAGTGGAAGGTGTCCCTGCCCATGGCACAGTGCTTGTTTAGGATATTTAAGGAGAATTAGAGGACCACAGATTACTGTTCTGGTAGAACAGTGTGTCTTCTGCAAAGGAAGGAAAGCATCACCTGTTTTATAATATTGTGCCACAAAATGATAACCTGAGATGGCTTCACTCAGTTCCTCCAGGAGAAACAGGAGAAACAGCAGTGTTTTACTAGAGAAGTACAGGGCCCCCTTTCTTTGCAAAGATTAAAACCTTTTTGCCCTCTGCATTATTATTAAACCTCTTCCCCTTTTTCAAGATAAAACTTTCAAAGGTGTTCTTCCCTCGCCTTCCCTTGATTTCACATTCTGCATTTGTCAGGAAGCTGGAGCTGACAGCTGTAAGAGTAGAGAAGAAAATAGCAGTTATTAGAACTCGTTGAATCTGCCAGTTATGCCAAGATGGGAAGCAGGCAGCATTCAGCTGGTTGGAGACATTATTTATTGCCTCTGAAGAAAAAGTGAGCCATGTGTAGCCCTACAGAAGGGTGTCTTTGTCTCCCATCAGGTGTATTTATCCACATTTTTGACAGCTGTTTATGATTTTCTTTAGAGGATTTTTAGATTAATCTAACCTGCTAATTACAGACTGGTTTATGGAATGTCTGTTTTCCTATGGTCAACATTTAGTTCATATCCTGTATTAAGAAAGCCTCAAGTAACCCTCTGATCTCTGACCAGAGGCCTGAAAGCAATTTCAGTTCTGTTTAGAGGTGCTGTTAATAATCTGGTTAAAATTGCATTAAACTTATGTAGTGGTTGTTAAAATCTAGCTGATTAATTCTGCCTATTTTGGCATTCCTCAACTTATTTTTAATTTAAGTCATGATGCAGTTCCATTTCCTAGTCTGCATGAGTTTTTTCATTAGTATAAGTGGTATTGTTTGTTATATCAAGAACTGTGAGGACAGATTCATTTTTCCTGGAGCCAGAAAGCTCCACAATGAGAGCCAAAGTGGGTCGTTTCAGAAGCTGAATTTGATGAGCAAATTATAGGATTCATATTTTTCTCACCCTTATCACATTATTTTTCCTCATTATTTCACATATCTGTAGTCATCTAGTCAAATACAGCTGCTCAACAGCAGATTGGTGTAATGATATCACCAGACATAGGAAAAATGTTTAGTAATGCCCAGAAGATTTTGTATTCTTTAAAAACCAACTAACACATACATTCCACACAGATGAAAGCATTGGAGAATGGTTTTGTGTGTTCTGTTCAATTTATGTACATCATGTTACTAAAAAAAGTTTTAGTGTTCTATGAATATTTGTTTTCCTTCTCTTTAGGCCATTAGTCATATTTTATGCCTCAATTGTTATATGAGATATTTCTTCCTCGGAGTATATGTTAATTTGTGCGTTTATAATATATTTTAACACTGATATACATACATATGTTTATATATGTAGACACATAGGTATTCCCACACAGCTGCTCCATAGGTTATCCATAGGTTAGTGCTCATAAAGGAAGTGCTCTGTAGATTTTTTGGCCTCATTTTGGTATACCTGAAGCAACAGACTGAGAAGTTTATCAAGGTAGAAGTTTGACAAAACATCTTATCCCAAATGAATGATGTGGCAGTGAGTACACAGGATGTTCCCAGTAGGCATTTGGCAGAACGTGAAAAATATTTTCTTCTCAAATAAATTCCTGTCGCTCTACCATTTCCCACAGTGCTTCTCACTACTTCATATCTGAATCATTTTTAAATTAGGCATCCCTTTTATTATCACAGCATTTTTTTAGTGATAGATGCAAGAGCTTCTATCCCAGAATTTTTATTTTCTTAACTTGTTTGGGTTTTTTTTCCAACCACAAAGCTGAATTCTTTAAGGAATACAATTTCATGTGGACTAATGGAATACATTTTTTTCCAACCACAAAGCTGAATTCTTTAAGGAATACAATTTCATGTGGACTAATGGAATACAATTTTAAGAACTTCTTCAGATATATAATTTGAAAACAATGTCTTAACAAAGTCTCCAATAAGCAAGTATTATGATACATTGAATTTCTTAAGACTATTTAGAGACATGAGCACCATGTGTGTTTTAGGTATCCATTTAATGGTAATAGTGCATTTTGTTTGCAATTTTAATTGATTATTTCTACAACATTCTAGGTATTTATTTTGGACAGAGTGGGGACAGACCCCTTGCATAGGCAGAGCACGTTTGGATGGCTCTGAGAAGGTCGTCCTTGTGAGCCTGGGGATTGCATGGCCTAACGGGATTTCCATCGATTATGAGGTTGGTTCCTCTGTCCTCCTGCACACCTTAAGATGTGAAGCATTTGTTATGTTTCGTTAAAGCCAGCTGGTGTTCCACCTTGATGTAATCTTAATAACTCTTAATTAAATACTTGGACAAGCCTGTTGACGTTTCCTTTGAAATTAATCTTTAGGAAAATAAATTGTATTGGTGTGATGCTCGTACGGACAAGATAGAAAGAATTGACCTTGAGAGTGGAGGGAATCGGGAGATTGTGCTGTCAGGGAGCAATGTGGATATGTTTTCAGTTGCTGTGTTCGGAGCTTACATCTACTGGTCTGACAGGTAATTTATTTTTCATAAGTATTTTAAATCTCAAAACGTTATTTCGGTGCCAGGTGCCTCACCTTTGTAGGATTAGCTGTTCCTTAGCAAGGTCGCAGGTGGGATCGCGGAATCCCGCGCAGATTCCAAGGAGAGGGAGTTCTGAAAGATAAAAAGTGCCTCAGTGCTGTAGATGAGAACAGGCTCCTCCACCTCCTGTAAAGTGAACTCTCCACTGCTCTTCAGTCATTTGTTGGGTGTGAATTAGTTGAGGATTGTTGATGAGACATCTTCAACTTTTTTGGCAGAGCACATGCAAATGGCTCTATTAGAAGAGGCCACAAGAATGAGGCCACGGATGCTGTGACCATGAGGACTGGCCTTGGAATAAACCTGAAGGAAGTGAAAGTCTTTAATAGAGCACGAGAGAAAGGTTGGCTGTTCTTAAGGATGCTATTGATTGTTTTAATATCGCCTGCTACTTTTTCTGTATATTAAAGCATACCAAAAATTAAGTAATCAATGATTTTATCACCACTTTTCACTCTTGAAGTATTTTTTTTTTTTTAAGCTAAAATTAATGTACTAAAGAAAACATATAGTACAAATCCTACTAAAATTTTTTGGGGTGTTTCAAAAAACAAAAACACAAATCAAAACACTTCCTATCATTCCAGTTTGACGGTTTTTGTTTTGTTTTTCTTAAAAGACAGTCTCAGGATTGAGAGACCTTGACCTGTGCTTTACAGAGCAGTAATTTCAGGCAGTTTCAGATTTCTACTGGAAAGCAAACCAGAAGTTTTTTCTTATTAGAAATTCCTATCTTCTGTGTCTTGATATGTATTTGCTGACATTTCTTGGGTTTGTTTTTTGTTTGGTTTTGTTTTGGTTTTTTGTTCCTTCTGTGGAAAGAGACCTTGTAAATAATCAGATTTCTGTTATATTGAATTAGTTTAGCAAACTCAAGAGACAAAAGTTATTATAGACTCCTGATGCTTAAACTTTATTCTCCACTATCTAAGAATAATCTTGTTCTTTAACTGTCCTTTTACTTCCAAAATTCTGTTTTTTACAAGACCTTGAAAAACTTGTTTTACTGAGGAAAATTGGTCATATATCTGTCAAAAACAATGATGATTTCCTCAGAAAAAACTGCTACCAGGTAATCCAGACCAACTTTTCTAGACATATACTCAAAAAGAGAGGAAAAGAAATAATGTTAACATGATTATATATATAGTTTTTAATACAAATATATTTCTAATGGTGGTAGCACTCAAAATTTGCTTTAATCACAGCATTATATATCCAAGATTCTGTTTCTTCTATGTAAACCTCCTCTAAAAAACTGCATTAAATATGACATGTAAATAAATCTGCATTTTGAAAGGAAACCTATTTATGAACTAATAAAACTCTCTTTTAAAAATTCTAAATATTTTTGAGGAAAAATAAGTTGCAAAAATATATGCATAATAAGTTTACAATGGATTTTTGCATGCAATTTCAGAGCATCATGTTTTGTGGATAAAAGTAAACCCACACCAAAATCCAGTTCTTTTAACTAGGCTAGAAATTGTTAATGTCTGCTGGCTTGGAAGGGCTTTATATTATAGAATGAGGAAAATAGAACAGTGGGATAAAACAATGCTTCTTTATGTGTAATTTTGATTGATGGATTTATAGACTTGATCACATAAGGAATAGAAGAAATTGTTACTGAGGCTAAAAATCTAATGATGCTAGTTTGAAAAACATACCTGAATGATTTTTTAATACATTTTTCAAATTTTACTAGGGTACAAATGGTTAATGTCATTGGGAGGGGAAGTCAGTGAGCCAGAAGGACAAAAGGGAAAAAACAGGTGAAAAATGTTTTTGGAATGTTTTTCTATCTCACACTATTATATATACACATTTTTTAAGTTTATTGAACTAGAAGTAGTTAACTGTTAAAAAAAAGAAACCAATGTAATTAAATACTTTCCTGACTTTTGTTATTAAAACAAACCCCCCAAATAAAAGTAATAAAAATAAAAACAAATAAACAAAAAAGCCCCAACGCCCTGATGAGCTGTGCTAATTGTGATTAACTCTTTTTTTTCAAATACCTGTTTTACCCTTTCTGATGAATCCAATCTGCAGTGGGACTCGCAAAGATTCCCATCCTTCAGTGCAGTTTTACAGGTGTGCTAGGAAGTGCCCAGACTACCCTGGCTTCAGAGCTGGCCATTTTTAAAGATCTTTACAGCTGGTGAACCATGGAAGCATTGAAGTTTTCTGAGAGATTTTTGAAACTTGAGGATCTATTTCATATATTTTCTCTTTTTCTTCTCAACCTGTTATCCTTCCAAACAGATATTAACTTTTCTAGCCTAATAAAACTTGTAAAGTGTCTTTTAAGCAAACAGAATGTAAAAATGTGTACAGCTGAATCTCCAAATGTTTTACATAACTCCAGAGGACTTCCTCATGGAATTTTTCCTAGGACAACAAAATTAAATATTCCTGCTTTAAAGAACAAGTTACGTCTCATTTGCCATGATTTTTTCTTACAAGGATTTTCAGTTTGAAATGTATCAGTTAAGGAATTCAATCCACAGTACTTTCAGACTTTACATCTTCCCCAACAATTACAGTTTTTTACATGAAAACATTCTATTAAAATATTTTATTTACCTTCATTCTGTAGAAAACTTTCAGAAATGGGAAAATTACTATACTGAAAAAGCTGAGTTGGTAGGTGGAAAGGGCTGTCAGAAACAGAAATTGAATTATCTCAAATAGCTATAATAGTAATTCATAGATAGTCCACAATAAAAAAGAAAATGACAAATAGCTCCCAATTACTGATGATTACCGTTATTTTAAATATTACTTGCAACAAGTGTAGTTACTAATTTGACAGTGATTCCTTAATGGTGTGCAATCGTCAGAGAGTAAGTTTTTGAAGTCAGGTTTAAAATTAAATTAGAACAAAATGTTAGAAAATGTCTTCATTAAAAACAGGGAACTGAATTCATGCAGTATTTTACCAGTCAACACATGAATATTTAATTTGATAGAAAATGTCTTAAAGCAGTACTGTACTCTGATGGTAGCTAAATTTGATTTTTTTGCCAGTAACAGGTGTTTTAAAAAAATAAAGTAAAGCTCAAAGCACTTGAAACATTTTCTTAGTCTTCAGCTGGTTTTGAAAGGATAACTCATTTTATCTTTTTCTATTAATAAAATATGTACAATTGCGAATTGAAAAAGACATTAATTATATTTGCTCATTAATTTTATTCTTTACAATCATTTTTCAGTGTGATTAAAGTTGCATTATTTACTATTTTGGCCTTTTGTTTTCCTTGTGAACACAGTCCAAATAATTTTTAAGAGGAGAAAACCCAAAGCACATGAAAATTAATTTCTGTTTGAGTCAACTAACTATATTTTTATTTATAAAAGACATGTTTTATTGTGTTTTTTCCCCCAGGTACCAACGTCTGTGCCAAGAACAACGGCGGGTGCCAGCAGCTGTGCCTTTATCGCGGGGACGCGCGGAGAGCTTGCGCCTGCGCTCACGGGTACCTGGCAGAGGATGGAATCAGCTGCCTCAGGCACGAGGGTTACCTGCTCTACTCAGGAAGGACCATATTGAAAAGCATCCACCTTTCAGATGAGACCAACCTGAATTCCCCTGTGAGGCCCTATGAAAACCCAGAGTACTTCAAAAATGTGATAGCGCTGGCCTTTGACTACAGCCTGAAGGGCAGGGGCACCAATCGCATATTCTTCAGTGATGCCCACTATGGAAACATCCAGGTTATTAAAGACAACTGGGCTGGCAGAAAAGTGCTAATTGAAAGTAAGTGAAAAACAAACAGACATATTTCCCAAAATGCCTGGTTTATTTCAATAGACTTTACTGAGTGAAAAGTTTGTGATCACTCGGCTTTACAGAGTAAAAAAAACCAATGAAATTTTAACCATAGTTATTATATTTTTAAACTGAAAGAGGGCAGATTTAGATGAGAAATCAGGAAGAAATTCTTCACTATGAGGGAGGGCAGGCCCTGGCACAGGGTGCCCAGAGAAGCTGTGGCTGCACCTGGATTCCTGGAAGCATCCAAGACCAGGCTGGACACGGCTTGGAGCAACCTGGGATAATGGAAGGTGTCCCTGCCCAGGGCAGGGGATGGAATGAAATGATTTGTTAAGGTCTCTTCCAACATAAACCATTCTGTGATTATACATGATTATACAGGTGTTTAGATTTTAGGAATTTATGACATCTGTATTGAGATATGTTAAACTAAACAATGTTGTCAGGATGTTCCCGTTGCTCCCAAGAAAGCATTAAAACCAGGGATTCAGAGTTGAGCTTAGCTGCACAAGAGACAGAAACGTGCAGGGATGACATGGAAGCACAATTTTAACCCTGGTTTTATAAAAAGAGATTAAAAGTATTATATGAAATCCACTGGAATTTTCAACATTTAAAACAGACAAAGAGGGGAAATAAATACTGGTGAAGCACTAATGCAGACAAAAATCGGTCTTTAAAAGAACAATGAAGAATTCCTCATTACTTCATAATAGGTTGCTCTAGAAGAGCTAAAGACGAACCATAAAGCATAGCTGGGAATTATAGTTTTAAGAAATTGCTCGGAAGTGTTTCTACTTGTAGCTTAATATGCCAGATTTCATTTTTCATTAGCAGAGTCAGCACTCTGAATAATTGAATGTCAGATGAAATTCTGTATCCTTGCAAAATCATTTACTGTAGGTGCTTGGGATGTACACGTGAACTATGGCATTTTGTAGAAATAATTCTAAAGAAATACTTTGTAAGTGAGAAGAGGTATAGCATACATAAATATGTTTATTGCTCTCTTTCACGTGTTTTAGACATCTTCAGTTTATGTTGAGTCATTCTTTTTCAGCTGGTATTTTTGTAGCCTTCCATCCCACAGTCTGCATGTGATTTTTCTCTCACTGTAAACAGCAGACAGTTCATGAGGCTGCTTGATATAGTGGAGGTATTTGTTCAGCCTCCACCTCTAAGGAGAAAAGCAGCAGTAGGATCAGTTGGCAGCACTAATTTCATTCACTGGTAGATGTAAAATTCCAAATTTTTTCTTATTTTCACATTAAGAATCTGTGATCTAGAAATCATGCAGTGCAATCCTGCTGAGAGATTTTAGCACTAATGTTTCATTTCAGGATTGAAAAATAGCATATTTGACATTAATTTTGCTGGTTTTCCTCCAAAATTATTAGAATGCATCTGCAGGAAGTTTTCCTTTATTAGGAATATATTCAAAACCACATTGGAAATACCTAGTGTGGTTTTATCAGTTCTACACCCTCTTTCTGCTTCATTAAGTTGAAGTCTACAACACTTCACTGTACTAAAGTCTACACTACTACAAATAGTGCAAACCTTTACTCAGTAATTGACTTAAATAGAGAAAATAGGATATGATACATCCAAGGCATTGTCCCAGGTTTTTTGTTCACTGAACATAAATCTGCTCATAAAAGATCTATTATCAGATGGATCCCTCCCTCCCTGAAATCAGATGTGCCACTCAAATCCAATAGATCCATGAACTTTTCTACACTAAAAACACTTAAGACACGTGGAGCTTTTTGTTAAACAGTTTCCAGCTCACTAAAAACAGATTTACAACTCACGAGCAACCCATTATCTAACATGTTTTTAGCTCACTGAGAACAGATTTACTACCCAGAAACAACCCATTATCTAACATGTTTCCAGTTCACTGAAAACAGATTTACAACCCATACGCAAGCTATTATCTAACATAGTTCCGACTCACTGAATATTGATTTAGAATTCATAAACAACCCATTATCTGACAAATTTTCACCTCACTGAACAGATTTGCAACTCATAAACAACCCATTAGCTAACACGTTTTCGGCTCAGGGAAAGTAGATTTACAGCATATAAACAACTTTATCTAACTTGTTCCAGTTCACTAAAAACAGATTCAAAGCTCACCAAGATTCCTGCTGAGTCCCTGGTGGGGTCCTGTCTTCAACAGGAAGAAACAATGTCAACAACAGCAATAAACCAGTCCAGGATGTGCACACTGTGCCATGCCCTAACACCTTTATAATTTGTTCAATGTAGGGTTTTCTGAGGGTATTCTTTCATACCTCTGAACTCTCCTTCAGTCAACCCGTGGTGGCTTTCTCTTTCTTTTTTTTTCTAAGTCACTTTATCAGGTTAATCTCTCTTATTCCCACTTAAAAAAAAATTATCTTGTTCCTGCCTCTAATTTCCCACAAATGATCTTTTGGCTGATCTAAGTTGTTTCAAAGATTATGTTTATACAAAGAGGCCTTTTTAGAAGTTAATTTTTCAGTTTCTTGGCTATTAGTGTTTTTCTGGTTGTTTTTATTTATTTATCACAGGGAGAAGTTTGAAGTAATATATTCACTAACCAAAGCCTGTCTCAGTGTATCTACAGAAAAGCAGTGTATTGTTCCAGTAGGTTTAGTACAGTGGTACAACAGTAGACAGAAGACCAAAGAACAAGTTAAAAATTACAGAAAAAAGGTTAAATCCAGGAAAAATAAACAAAAAAACAAATGATAAAGAGGGAAAAGTATTAAGATGAGCTACACTCAGTGAGCTGTTTTTTTCTCCTGCCTGTGTAAACAATGGCACTGAGACATTTTGCCAGTGTAGTGTCTTTCACAGCACAAAAAGGAAATGTTATGTGAAAAAAACACTCCTGTTTTGAACCTGAGGCACTCATGCCCAAAGAAAGCAAAAATCTTTTCACTGCTAACATAAAGTGTCAGATCTTATGATGTATTTTAAGGCTTTTTACAGTCTGAATCTTTTAAAGGTGTTCCAATGTGTGCTACTATTCTTCCCAACTAAATGGGTCCAATTTAACTGTCAAAAAGGCATTTATGTTCCCATTTCTCTTACAGAGCATTGCATTTTGTACATTGCATGAGATCCCTTTAGTTTTGAAGCTTTCTTCTCCAGGAAAGAACTTTTTAATCTGTTAAAAATAAATACTTGAATATTGTGGCTTTTCGTTGCATAAATGAATGGGATTCGTGGTAACTGTGTGTGTTGGAATAGAGGTCCAGTGATTTTCACTTTTTAAAGGAAAGGTTGTTGCTAAGTCTAGGATATTTAAATAGTAAAACATAATATTTATTATTACAATGCCAACAAAGTATCTGGTTTGTCAATGTAATTTGTTTCTGTATATTGCTGCATATTAGAGAATCAGACAATCACAGAATGTTTTGATTGGAAGGGACCTTTAAGATCATCTTTGTTCCAAGACCCTGCCAGGGCAGGGATGCCTTCCACTAGACTAAGATTAGTGGGTAAAATCTGTGAGTTGCTATTATAGGTGAAGTTTACTAATTTTATAGTAAGTTTTTTAAAATTAAATTTTATTTTAGAAATGTGTATCCCTGCACATTTAATGCTTTGTTTAGGTGCTCCTGGTGTGAAAATCCAAAATATATTCATGATGGGAGCTGACCCGAACTGATCTTTTAGCTTGGTATGTCCTGAGCATTCCCAAATTCATTACTGAGGAAAGGTGTTCCTGCCTATTGCACTTGAGATTGTTAATTCCTCATGAACAATGTTTGTGACTTATTCAACTTTAAACATTGCCCTTAAATTTTTATTGATGTACACATTTGATATTTTTTTTTTCCATCAGCAGATGTGATTTAGTTGCAGAAAAGGTAAATTTTGTTTAGTGAATTGTCAGGAAAAGGCTGCAGAGGAACACCCCTTTAATTTTATTGTTTGTTTTGTTTTTTTACTCTAAAGGGTAATGTGATCTAGCAAGTATTATTAGATCATGAGGCTTTACTAGGCTATTCTGTCATTAATGCCTCAAATAGCTCTTTTTCAACGTCAACAATAAAAATGTATGATTACACATATTCATTATAAAACTTATTAGGATAGTCATGATATTATTTTCAAAGTGGTAAGGGTGAAGAGTTTGGGGGTTTTTTTTAGAGTGCACACATAATGCATAGAAAGATCATGTGCACTCCTTTAATTAGGAAAACATTTATTCTGTGAAAAATGTTGAGATTTTTAATAATCTAGTAAAGCACTTCCACCTCTATGTGTTAGCTTTCCTTTACAGATTTCTTTCTGCTTTTAAAACTTCTTTTATATGGATTTGTTTAATTACATTGAAGTTAAGCAAACATAATAACACTTCCTAACCAGTAATGATTGGTTGAAACATCCTGGGACAGCTCCAGTTGTACAAAATACTATTGGTTTTCTAAATCGTTGAGTTACCTGCTCTCTTAAGTTTGTGGTGTATCATCAGTCCTTTACTATATTATTCCTTCTGACCCTAAAGAATCCCTAAATTTATTAAAGGAGTAAGTTATATCTCAGATAATGAAGGACAGGATTGCAGGTTTGCATATCTGTTGTGGTTTTCCTTGGTAAATAATCAGGGAACATTTGTGGAATGTTGTCTGGAAAAGAAATGAATTGCAGGTAGGTAGAGATTTTGTCATGAAAAGCTGTTGAATGTTTTGGCAGACACCAAATAGTTTGCAAATATGAGATTTCAGTATTTTTTCCACAAAAAAAACCCCAAAAAAGTGTGAGGTTTTTTTTTTCTGCTTTTAGAATGGTCTTACAGTTCTTTATATCATTCCCAACAAATGCTCATTCTTTCCAATATTGTCTCAGGAAGTTTGAAGGAGTAATAAGGTTGCATCCATGAAGATGTTTGTAGTGTCTTGGACTTGAGCTAATTGTTTCCTTGAAGAACCCAAAGCCTTTGTTCATGCTGTCTTATTGCATTTAATAACATTTTATGTGGGATAGCTTATAGCAAGGGTTTGTTTTCTCAAAATAGAGAAAAAATGGTACAGATGTTTCCTCATTCTATATAATAGGTATAATTTTAGCAAATTTTACATCTGCTGTGAAACTAAATTATGTTCTCAGCTTAAATAGAATAATGTCATAACCGATTATTGCAGTTTATTATCAACTTAGTTCTGTCTTAGAACTATTGTTTAGCAAAGGCTTTCTGGCACTCAAAGAGCAAAGTGAGGGTGAGAATTATGTAAAGTTCTGATTGTGCACTCAGTGAGAGATGTGAGAATAAACCCTTTCCCTCAGGTGCCCCTCTGCTCTCGAGGCTTTGCTTTCACCCCAGATCAAATGGTGACCACCTGGTACCTGTCACCACAATCCTACACAAGCAGAGTGACAGGAACCACGGTCCCCTCCCGCTGGGACAACCCGCAGGCGGAATCCTGAAAGGGAAATCTCAACAGCCGAGTCAGAGGATGAATACTGACCCTTAAAGCCATCAGTGTCCTGATATCAAAGTGCTCTTTATGCTCAATTTTATTAATTTGATGGCTTTTCAGTGTTGAAATAATGATCATGTTGACAGTTCTTGATTTACAGCATTGTTAAAGAAAGGGAGTTTGTTAAAATAAGGAATTAAAGGAACAAGGTAATTGAAGTGGTACAACTGGAAAAGTTTTGACTGTAAACTAACTAAATAGATTTAAAACAGAAGCTAAGAGTTAAAAACCTAGAAAATTGAAAACTAGTGTGTTTATATATATATATCTAAACTCAGCTATTATTTAAACTTTGCCCTTTAGTATTTTTATTTTCTGGTTGCAAAAATAAGGGAGCATGTTCTGAGTTCTTCAGTTATTGATTTGTTGCTCATCTGTTCCCTGAGAAAGTCAGATGAAGATCAGCATGGCAATATTTATAGGCTGCATCTCATCTGTGGGACGCAATCTATCTTCGTTAGCTTCAGTAAAAGTGATAGATAGCATTTGGCAACGTAATGATGTGATCACTCTGGCATTGCCTTTGTAAATCATAGGCTGTTGCATTCTCTTGTGTAGATATTTAATCAGTTATACACCCCATTACTGATTTAATTCAGAACGTCAGTGGCAGGTGAATAATGTGAGTATTTGTATATTAATATCATATTGTATTAATGTTCTTTTCATTTAAGTATGCTATTCATGTGAAAATCATAAACTGTTGCTTCATGGCTAGAATAAATTTAATCAGTGCTGTAGGCATCTAATGCCATCAGTATTTTAATTCAATATGTCAGTGAAACAAATGGGATTCTTTTCATTTCCAGTTTCTTTATGCTTTACCAATTCAGAATATTACATGATGCTGCAAAAATATGAAGCTTAGAGTAAACAAATTGCTAATTTTCAACCTGTCGGTGGCTTTGGGACTAAATCCCCCAACCGTAGCACCAGAGAGGATGAGTACATATTTCTGATGTATTTTCTAGTAACTGAGTATATAATGATAAATTAAATTTAAGGAAAAAAAGTGCTCTGGAATATTCTTTTAGGGGAGTATGAAATAAGTAAATATAAAATAGTATCTGTGCAAATCAGTAATGATATAACACTGCTTAGGAATCTTCTCCAGTGTCCTGTCTTTAGAAACATAAAGTTGCTGAAATGTTTTAGTTTTAAGGAGCAGCCTAAAGTTTTGAGGACTATTTCTAGGATAAATCTGTCCTTGGTCTCTGTTTTATCACTGACAAAAAGATTTACAGGAAGTTGGAGAGCCATCAACAACTAAACAAAGGAACAAAACAAACAAACAAAAAACAAAATATAGAAACATATAAATTAGCAAAAACTGCACTGGTAGCACATCCAGCTCACACCACATGTGAGCAAGAACAGAGTTACTTGTGTTATCCATTGTAAGAATTTATCTAGAAGTTGTATCACTCTCTAAATCTTCTGCCCTTGACTTTAAAATCACCTTATTTATAGATTTCTAAAGCTATTAAATGAGTCATTTCTCTATTGGTTGAGTTCTCAATTCCATAAGTAGAGAATAAAAGTTTATTAACAAATGAAAGAGTGTGCCTGCTGTAAATCCTTTAGAATTAATGCTTTTGGTGGAGTTAAGAAAATGTAATTGGGGTGTGTTTGTAGCAGATATTTTTCTTTTTAATTAATGTTTTTTTTCTTGTCTTGTAGCAATTAAATTTCTCTGATTTATTTTTTTTAAGAGCATGTTTTTTTACTCTGAGTTTTTCTGTTTCAGTTGTTTATTGAACAATTGTCACCTGCAGGTCTTTCAGCTAAACTTTATCTTTGAAATGTTCTTTTATAGCTTGATTTCTTTTATCTCTGCTCCCCTGAGAACACATGCATGCATGGCAAAGGGGTTTTTTGCAAAAATGCACATTTTATTTCATTAAAACATCTTTCACCCATGTGCTAATGTTTTCTTGTCTCCATATATGCCATAACCTTCCATGTAGCTGTTTTCTAAAAATTTAGAAATTCCCATTTTATAAACAGTAACTTGGAATGAAACCTTCTTTTGTCACCGTTCACAGGCCTAAAAATGGAACTGCAGCACGGTGTAAGAAGGGGAGGAAAATTGAGTTTTCCTCTCTAGTAAAGAAATTACTCATACAATAACAAATCTGGTGTTGAAGAGCACTTTCATCCCTGCAGTTGTGTTCTAGTTGATCACATCTTGCTGTGACAGGAACAACATCATTATTTTTTGTCTGCTAAAAAGAGTTTTGGACTACGTTCTGTAATCAGTTTGCTCTCAAATTTCTTGACAGATTCAGACAGGAAACAAAGCTAAAGTTGATAGAAATTCAAGAGGTTACACCAGGAAAATGATTTTTTTATTTTTTTCTGTCATCTTACAAAATAAGAGCAATACATGCTTTGATGGTTTGTTCATTACAAATGCAGTGTAGAATTGGTCAGAAAATGTCAATACATCTGTCATTTTGTAATAGAATCACAGAATATCCAAGCTGGAAGGGACCCACGAGGACAATTGAGGCCAAGCTGTGATTTCACACAGGGAAATCTAATAGTTAAATCATACATCTAAGAACATTTGTTTTAGTTTAGGGAATTGTATGTAGTTGTGAACTTGAATTCAGCCTATATATTTTAATGGAAATCTCTGTCACAATATTGAAAAAGCAGATTATCTTTGAATTTCAGTTGGTGATTTCTAAAACCCACATGACATTTCAATATTTTGAGTTACTTGTAGGTGAGCTGAAGGTACATGGGTTTGTTTTATAAATTCTGTTTCATAGGTAAACAAACTATTTTTACACATATTCACCACCCTTTGAATCTTGTCATCTCATTTATTTTTTTCTGTTGCTTCTTCTTGAATACAACTCATTTTTATTTCTCCAGAGATTTGTCACAAAATGTGACACCAGAAGATGGCCAAATACTTTAACAAGAAAAATACAAAAAACTGATAAATCATTATTGGTCTCATAGTTTTGATTTATTTGTCTAAAAGTTTTGGTTCAGTGTTTGCTCTTTCAAAGTGGTCAAACTCTTCTTGGGACTTTTTGTTCTGTATATATAATTTGCACAGTAAAAATTGCATCTTTCAGAAAGCTGAATGAAATCATAATAGCCAACACAATGTAATCCTAATTATATTTCTCGATTTTTGCCTTCTGTAGCTCATTAATAAGCTGCATGAACCTTCTGGTCTAAAAATATTTGTTTCCAGCAAAATAATAAGTGGAGTTATCAACATAGATATTTCTGTAGTAATTCACAAATAGTGATAGGAAATAATTATTCCTATTTCTCGCAGCCTGTCACTTTTATATATTGGGACTAAATACAGTTTATCTTTTCAGAGCATTAAAAATATGTTTTAGTTGCTGCTTAATATTTTTTTTCCTAGCTCACAGTTTTTTGTGCTGAGTGAATGAGTGTGGTGTCATGGCTTATTAAAATTGTGTATTGATGCTGAGACCTTCAGAGTAGGTATTTTTTCAGTAATTTTCAGGTGTTTAGCAAAAGCCAATACAGTTGTTAACAGCAGGACACTTTGATCCCTATTAATGTATCGTGTCAGTGCTACAAAATACATTGAGAGGTGGTGTTAAATTATTGTCTTGAATAAATGTTTGTTATTTCTAATGCGTTATCTGGGGACACTGTAGTGGCAATATCGTTTAATGATTGTTAGAATTGATAAATATAAGTGCTATTAACAGTGGTCTTGCCCTCTGTGTTGTTTTAATTTAAATTTACCAGAAGAAAATGATAAGATTTTGATTGCAATAAAAACAAACAGCAGAAATGATAAAAACAATTGCAGAGTCAGTCAGCTGAAATAACTGAACCCTGCGAGTCTGCAGGATCAGCTCTGAGGGAAAACACGACCAACCGTTGCCATGAGCAGGAGTTTGATTTTCTCTGTCACCGTGTCTCGCAGATGTGGGCTCGGTGGAGGGCCTGGCTTACCACAGAGCTTGGGACACTCTGTACTGGACCAGCTCCACCACCTCCTCCATCACCAGGCACACCGTGGACCAGCGGCGCCGCGGGGCCTTCAACCGCGAGGCCGTGATCACCATGGCTGAGGATGATCATCCCCACGTGCTGGCCCTGGATGAGTGCCAAAAGTAGGTGTTGCATCTCTCCAACGGTTACAAACCCCAATTCTTGCCCGGTGTCAAGCAACACCTCTTTATTTTAGTCAGCCAATATTGCTGAACCCCACCAGGGCTGATTAGACTTCTCCGTTTAAGAGATAAAAGTTATCATGTTTTATTGTTGGTATCTTTTGTTGTTTTGCTCTTATAAAGGAGTTGCAGAAGCAAGATTGAACATTTTATCTGCTTTTATGTTTCAGATCAAATAATCATTGCATTTTCATGGAATGTTAAAAGCTGATTTTCATAGGAATTAGCTAAATGCAAAATATTGAGTGGTCATTTTCTCAGATGTGTCACTCTTACTGCTCAAGTCAAAACAAAAAAAATCCAAAATTTATTCAACCACTTACAAAAAGAAGTCTGAGTTTCTTGTGTACAAAATAGAGGCCCATGTGTTTATCACAGAAAACAGTGTTGTATAAAAGTATGCAACAATGGACAAAAACCTGCAAAAAATTCTATTTTAGTTCCTGCCCACCACTATCAAAAATACTGTGTTAGTGAGAGGATTTTTATTTCCCTTCAGTATCTCACACATTTGAGGTACTTCAATTTCCTCTGTTAATTCTAGGAGAAAGGCAGACTGCTTTTTCTGCTTATTGTAACTGTCTGTGTATTTTGTGGAATTTGGGGAACATTTCTGCCATATTCAATTCTGATTTGTGATAACTAAATGTACAAAGCTGCATGAGTAGTGGAGCATATTTCCAAGTCTGAATTCATGTCCTGTTAATGCAAATCAAAAGTTTATGCTGCCCTGTAAAATACAATTACCAAGGTACCATCAATAAAGCCCCTAAGCTCTGATGGAGATTGCAGTGAGAGGAGGGGCAGGTTCTGTCAGTCTATGAATTAGAATTCCACCAGCAGCCCGGTCCAAAACATTTTCTGTCATTGTTAACAGCAGCAAGGGGCTGACTGAGCCAGTCCTTGGGTGTGCAGAGAGTTCTATCACTGCTCTAATATGGGAGAAGCTGCAGATTGATTTCACTGTTAAATATTACTAATACACACATTAGCAGAATTAATTTTATATCATTACACAGCGTGTATCTCTCTCTAATGTTAAATTACTACAGAGACAAGATCAGGATTGAACAGATCTGTAAGAGAAAAAAATTGTACTCTTATACAAATTAATGAACTAGGAAACTGCTATAATTTATATGTATAATTTATTTATAGGCTGTTCCATTTTCTTCATCACTATTGATTATTGCAATTATTTATAGATGCCATTCAGAATTGTTTATGATGGCATTTGCTGTTTTTTCTCTGTTGCTCATTTAGTAGAGAATTAAATTATAAAATGTATCTTATGGTTTTGTTTGTTATTTTGATTTTAATACAGCTTAATGTTTTGGACTAACTGGAATGAGCAGCTCCCAAGCATCATGAGATCCACCCTCTCAGGCAAAAATGCCCAGGTTATCATTAGCACTGATATTCTGACACCAAATGGACTCACCATTGATCACAGGGCGGAGAAACTTTACTTTTCAGATGGCAGCTTGGGAAAAATTGAGAGGTGTGAATATGATGGATCACAAAGATATGTAAGTAAAATGCTGCACATACTCATTGTATGTTTGTTTGCATTCATTAGCATCTTCCAAGTAAAATTGTTACAGAAAGATTAATAATTGCCTCATTTTCTCCCTGTATTATTTGTATATTAGACTTCTAGCTCTATTGAAATACAAATAATGCTCAGTTTGCTCAGAATTTCTTTTGTGTAATACTTGAGTGTTACTGAACAAATCTTATCTCTAATATTTTCTAACTCTACATTTTCAGATATTGAGCTGTTCTTCATTACTCTTTCATCATAATATATTTTGGTCCTTGAACACTCTTAGTTTCAGCTCAAGCAGATCTTTTACTAGGAATGTGCTGAAGGCATTTGATCTGTGCTTGTGGTTTTGTTACATCTTTAGCGCTACGTTTCTCATATTTCATGAAATCTTTATTTCAGGGATTTTGTACCTCCCAAAGTTCAGGATAAAATGAGTGAAGGGCATGTTCTGGCTTGTATTCAATTCCCAGCTTTCCAAGAGAGTGCACATCATCTCACTTTGATATCTATTAACTTTTAAAAAGTGCTTCATATGCAATATATGCGATTAGAATTTTTTTTTTTCATCTAAAATGAAAATAATATGGGTTTTTTGAATCTTATCCAGAAGTTCCCCACTATTTTTAGACAATTTTTTTTTTTTCAGAATAAAATAGGAGAGCCAAGCTTGTAAGAGCAGAACTGAAGTACAGTCTTCAGGGATAGGCATGTGCTTTTCCTTTTATAAAATTAACCACAGCTCACTAATACTTTCAGATGCAGTAACTGTATCAGAAACTTGTCAAACCAACCAAATGGATTCTGAAGTTTTCATTCTCTGACTATATACTTATTAACACAAAACAGAAATACAAGGTAATTAGTTAAGTACAGGATAATTAGTAGGTTGTGATTAAATAGTTTAACTTCATCTTTGCATAAGGTATAGCAAAATAGGCATCACAGACATGAAGTAGGATGTGATGCCACTTAGATACAGAAACCATTATTAAAATACTTCTTTTTTAATCAGGTCTTTGGCTTTCACTTTTCAGCAGCAAGAAGAAAAAGATCATTCTGTTTTCTCAGCAATTAAACAGTAATACCCCCAATTTTTTCTGAGCACTTTGCCTCTTGGTTTGGCTTTCTGACAATTTTGCTCTCCTTCTCCACTGCAGTACACAAAAATCCTCCTGAACACAATGATCTTCAGCTCTTCTGAAGGGTTTTTTGGTGCTCTAGTGTGTTACACCAATACATGTTGTGGGATAATCAGCTGATTCTCTTGCTGAAAGTGCTGATCTATGTTCCCACTCTTCCTGCATTACTGAGGATTTTTATAGCAGAAGGAAAAGCCCAGCAGGCTGCTTGGCCTCTAGCAGCACTTCAGCAGAGTGATCATGCTGTAGATGCATTTTTACTGAAACAAGCAATGCCAGAATCCAGCCTGTTAACTGTATTATTGACCTAGTGAAAAATAATATTTCCAGGGCAGTTGTTTTACTTTGTTCATGTGCTGTTCAGCTGGATGAGATCCCTGGTTTCTGTGGCATCAGTCAAGTAATGATTGTTCTGGTGATTCTTCAGGGTGTTTCAGTCATCAACCACATGTCAAAAAGAGTTTAAACAGATTACTCTTTTCCCCAGAATCTCTTCATTGCTCTCTGGTTTCAGTTAGGCTAACAAGGATAGAAATTGGATAGTAGAACATGAAAGGATAATGGTAATGTAATGAATTTTCTTCCAGATAGCAGCTTCTTTCTTCATTCTGCTCACCGCAGTAATCTCGTACAATGAATTAGTAGAAAATCATTTAACAATATTGAACTGACTCTTTAAAGTGGATTGTTAGGGTTTATTGATTTTTGTGTTGAGCTGATATTTTAATACTAGTATTTGCTTTCAGGGAGACTCCTTCAAGTTTGGAATGTTTTTTTGTTGCTATTGTTCCTTTTTATTACTTAGAAGATATTAAGTTTGTTGGGGTTTGGTTTTTTAACAGTTTTTGTTCTGTTCTGCCAGATCTTCTGTTTTAAAAAACAGAAGAGGCATTTTTTAATCTTTTTCTTCATTATTCTTTCCCATTTTCTTACACTTTTTCTCCTGCTCTTACTTTGATTTAATATAGTGGCCACAGCTGGTTTTAGCTGCTTAGTGCTTTAATTACAACATTTTTTTTTTTTTATGAGCGCAGAAACTGAGCCAACAGCAAATAAAGCTGATTTCAAGTTGTGACTTATTTTATTTTTTATATTATTTAAGTTATTTTTCTAGTAAATCATGAGCTACTTTTATTTATTTTTTCCTTTTCTTCTTCAGTATTAAGTATTTTCAGCATTTTACATATAAAAAACTAAAAACATTGTTAACTTCCTGTGAACAATTTTTTTTTTAACATCCAGGCTGGAAGGTTTTGGTCTCAGTTATAATTTTGTAAGCCTATAGGTGTGATTGTTACTATTAATATGGGTTTAGAGTTGTTTCTAGTAATTATAACCTTCATGTAATTGCAGCCTGCCAGTAATAGTAACTTTCAGTTTCTAGGATGTTTGATTTTATTCTGTTGAATTTTTGTATTAAGGCAATTAAAGAAGTTCCATAGTTTCTGTACAACTTCTGTTTTATTCAAATAGATTTTATTATACATCCTCTTCAGTCTATAGAAGAAGTGCAAGCTTTAGTTTTGGCTGTGCATATAAACTTGAGTTTAATAATGACCTCTAAAGTTTGCTTTTCGTGTGTGTTGTTGTATTTATTTGAAATGCAAGTATCATTGAGGGCAGCAGAATAATTGTGGTCAGTTCTGGGATGACATCAATGTTACCTTGAGAAGTGACCAAATAACTCACTAAGGCAGGATAAAAGGGAGATCAGTCAAAGCAGCTGGAACAGAGCAAAACTGTGCAAAATATGAGCTATTTGAAATGTAGAATGTCTAACTGAATTAAAATAAAAATGTGCAAAAAATTCTTAAAAGAGGTTCTCACCAAGTTCTGAGTAGTGGCAGTTAAAAATGATGCAAGTCCTGAATGTGATTCTGTGAACAATCTCATTGGTGTATTCCCTATGAACAAATCAATATTCAGATATGAAAACAAACCCAGAGGAAAATAATGTCAATTAGGAGGTAGATATTTTAATTAGCCTTGATGGTTGGTCTAGGAAAAAAAACAAAAAAGCTGAGCCTACTCTCATAGACAATTTATTTCACCAGTTTCTGTAGTTTCTCTGTAATTATTCTGAATGGCACTAAAAACAATAATAGTAGAGAAACAAGAAAGACCAGTGAAAAATGACATTTTTAGTGCAATAAACACAATTTACTGCCTAGATATTTAAGTTTACTGTGGTTTGCTTTTCCTTTTTTCCTGCCTGTTATGATTGTTACAGGAACAAAAGTTCTTTTCTTGGCTTTTTTTAATCAATTCTTTTTTCTGTGTTTGAAAAGCAGCTGGAATAGTATAGATATTCTTGCCAATTCATGGCACTAGCAGTGAAGCTGTGGATTTTTAAATTTTCTCTGTCCAGCAATATAAATACAGTAATTGGAGCAGGAGTGTTCCATTCTTGATTGTTTTCTCTCACAAATATATAATAAAAAAGCCTTTGTTTCTCAACTTTTCAAAGGTCCACATTTCCTTTCAAAATTCATCTGAAGGCCCAAACCATTAGAAAGAGTGAAATACCCAATTCCTGTTTAATTTGCTCTTTTTCTCCAGCAAATGGAGTTCACTCCCTTGACGTAGATTTGTTGCTTCTTTCAGTAGTTCTGTTAAAAAATGTTAAGTTTGAGCCTAATGAAAGTCATTCCCTTGCCAAAGGCAGTAAAATCCTCTAATCCCTATGAGGCAGATCCCTGGTTGAGACAGAACCAACATTTTCAGTTTGGGACAGTTTATGAAGTATCTTGAAGTCCAGTGTTGGTAGCCTGGTTGAAATTACCTTCAAGAAGGAATTAATGAACAGATAAAACTAATCTCTAAGGCTATGGAGGGCAAGATATTCATGATATCTCAAGATCCAACAAAATTCTAGGAGATTGAAGTGAATCTAACATTATATCAAGTTGTTTTTTATGAAGTTCAAATTTATGTCATTTATGAAGTTGAAAATAATTATCATGGGATTAATGAGTATATAGTTTCAAAGACCCTGATTAGTATAATAGTGGTAAATAAAGATAAAAAAGAGCTGTGTACTTTCCATTTCCATGGCACTGGAAAGTACAAACCTTTTATTAGCAGTTGCCTAATCTATCATTCTGCTGAACTGCAAACAAAGTAGCAGCTGGAACACTGCAAATTCAGCACTGAGGTTTGATTTTCAGTGTCCTAGACATTCATTGCTAACATGGAGAAACAGAAATGCATTGTTGGAGAGGAAGCACTTCTGATTTTGTTACACTGTGCTTGGAAAATTCCATGGAAACTTAATCTTGCTGTTCTTGCTAAGAGTGGTCTTCTAGTTGTCCATTGTATCCTTTTCTATAATTCCAGTTATTTAGAATTTATTTGTCAAAGACAAAATAAATGCAAGAAAATCCATTTATTAAAGATGTCTTGAAAATAGTCTTTATTCAAACTAATCGACAAAAGAACATCACAACAAAATCAGAGTTTAATTTAAATGTACCTTTTTTTGGTAAATAAATTAAATACATAAACATAATACATATCCCTTAAATTATTTCATTTTCCCTAGTCTGTGCAACAGGTTTCCTGGTATTTCTTTATCATATAACTTTTTCTATAGGTTCCTCTTCAATAAAGTTTTAAAATCTGTATCCATAACTAAACAAAGATGGGATACCATTTTAGGTCTTTCATTTTAAAGAATAAAATATATAACTTTGACTTATGTGGTGCTCCGTATAACTTGGTTCTGTCAGACTTTTAATTCAACTAAAATGTTATTTTTTAATTACTGGTATCTCTTTATGGTTGTATAAAGGTTTTAATATTGACTTTAAATTGTATTTGTAACCTTTTCAAGTGTAGTTTTGTGGACACAATTGTACACTGCTTCGGGAATCTTTAGAAAAGCTAAGAACACTTAAAAAAATATTTAAAAGCTTTATTAGGTACTGCTGCCTATTTATTAAGAATTTTGAAAGAGAATTATTAATAATAATCCATTCATTAGGGTTTAAATACTTAAAAAAGATAAAAGTAAATAATATTTTAAGCTGGTGCAATAACTTTATGCACTTTATACACTATAACTCTTTTAAAAAACCCAGTATTTCTGTAAAAGTTTTGTGTTGTCATGATAAAAATAATTCAGTCTAGTTCTTAATGACAATCTAATAAGGGTTTTATATAAATCATCAAAATTACAGTATTCTGTCAGAAATTCTCCGCCTGACACCTCTCCCTGGCTGGCTCCTTTGCTTTTCAGTCATGTTTTTTTAGATAAACTGCTACACAAATCTCAAACTAGAGCTGTCAAGTGCTAAACCAAAAGTTTCCTGGACAACTTAAAAAGCAGAATTCAAAACAGAAAGGATTACAATTAAAACTAAATTGTTTCTTAATTTCTGACAACCCCCAGCCCTCCAGTCTCCTCATCTCTTTACAGGAACCAGATAAAAAATTTCATCTGTTACATAGAGCTTGAAATATCTTCTATAACTGAACTTTGGTATTATTTAATATTAAAACATGGGATGTACTCTTGGATGTGTCTGACTTCCACCCTTGCAGGTGGCAGGGATGGTAGGAATGTCTTTTCACGATTCCTTAAAGTTTTAAAATTGTACTTGGATTCTTGCAAGTTTTAGTATGAATTTAAATTTTAAAAAATTGAAATAAAAAAAGTCACAACTTTCAATGTTATTATATAAATTAGAATTTCAAAGTGCTATAAAGGTGGCCAAAAGCTGATAGAAATATGAAATCTGTATTTTGGTTGCTCAAATAAAACCAATGTCCTTGGCTAGGGCTGTGACATAGTACAGAGACTCCAGGAAATGAAACACAATGAGCAATAGTGAAAAAATGTTTGGTTTTGTGGCACTATTTGGATCTCAGTTTTCCCAAGGCTCAGCAGCAATGACCAGTCCTGTAGTGATTTTATATTCTGTTGTTACAAACTGAGATAAGTCAGGACGGTGCTCCCCAACACACAAAGTTGTGCAGGGCAGTGTTTTGTGCTTTTTAGCCTTGTTTTTAACAATAAAACCTTTCCAACTGGGACAGTTTCCCACTAACACAGAGAAGAATATGGGGCTGCAAAATCTGCATGGCCAGATTTCATAAAGGTCTTTCAGAAACATACATGATTTTTATTTTTTTTTCCTGAAATGTCTGAATATGAATAGTGCAGGCTTTTAAGGGTGTATTATGAAAACTGTCTTACTGGAAATGTGCACAATTAGAGAAGAAATATTTTGCCATTAATATATTCCCATTTATCTTTTAATACTTTTAGTTCTGGAAAAATGTTGGTTAGAGAAAGTTTTTCTCTTGGGATATTTATCGCTGGGAAAAAAATATTTCCTGAAAAAAAAATGATTTGCTGTCCAACCTTCTTTAAAATATGCAGAAATACATGATGTGCATAATGAAGCAGAATTTGTTATAATTTTCTGATTAATGTAAGTAATTTTGACATTCTGTCTGTATAAGTGAATTTAAACATGGACAGGAATGCTCCTATGCACAGGACTAGAATTATTTATGTTAGCAGGTTGTTGAGATACCTTGAACTGGCACAGGTGGGAACAAACCTGGAGCATCCCTTGGTGTTGAATCCTGCAGAGCTGGGGCACTTCCTTCATCTCCAAGGCACAGCTGTAGTATCAAAATTGGAGACTTTTGTTTCACAAAATGAAATTTGGATGCCCTGTATATTAGGTGCACATGGAGAGAAAGATTTCCTACACACCCACAATGAATTATTTAATAATTAAATATGGGATTGACTATTATTACTCCGTTTTCACCCCAGCACTTTTAAGGAGCTGCCACACAGCATCCCCTTGCAAGCACAATGGGCTGGGATCCATCAGATTGCTGGTTCATGGAAGAAATCTCATTGTTAGAAAATCCCTCTAGGAAAGGGGATAAAGCACACAAAGCAGATGGAAAACCATGGTGATCTAAGTAGTTACGTTAAAGGATTTTATTTTTCTAGTTTTATCCCAATTTCCCTATGATAAGTAGCAGATAGACACAGGATTTTTTTCTTTTTTTTCATTGCCTGGGTGAGAACAGTTCACACTTTATAAATATACATAGCTTACTATTTTTTTTCCCCAGAGAAACCTAGAAGGCAATTCAATAAAAATGAGTATTACTTATGTCCATTTTCTAATGGAGAAATATTAAACCCCTTTCACTACTTCTCCAGCCAAAATTAAACTTTCAACTAAAAAGCTGATAAAAAATTGTCTGATTCTTCAGAAGGGAAACTGTCCATGTAAAATTTTTAATTCTGATACATGAAAAGAAAGAACATATACAAATATTTTACAGGAGCTGTGATTTGGATTGGGATCAAATTCATTGTATTTCTAGAATTTTTTTTCAAACCTTTCTATATAGTGACCGTCATTCATTTTTCCTTCTAAGCTATTTTTTTCCTTCTAAGCTTTAAATTACTTATTACTGTGGTGAGATTTTACTTTTTTTTCCTTCTAAGTTTTAAATTAACTGTTACTGTGGTGAAGTTTTTCTGGTTGGGGTGTGTTTTGTTTTTTTTTCAGAACTTTGAAACATGAAATATTTATTGTCTACAGTTCAATTTTCTAATGTGATGATGTGGTGGTGTGAAGAGTGGTGAGCACTCTTCAGTTCTCTAAAGCTCTTCAGTTCACTTTGGCTCCCAAAGACTGAATTTTTAGACTTTCAGCCATGCTGAAAGAACCTCTTCTCTTTTCTCTTGGAGCTGTTAAGCAGGTAAAGTGTTGAGTAGGTATTTTTACAGGCATATTTAGATAAACTGTGATTTTTTTTAATTAAGGAACAGATGCCTGGTTTTCTGAAATTTGGATGCCTGTGGCATCCTTTTAACACATTTTTAAGTGCTGTTATCTCATTTCCCCAGGTGCAGCAGGTATAAAAGTATTAAGTGTTTTGTCTAAAAGCGATGGGAGTCTCATTTTGCACTTTAAAATCTTCCCATTCAGTGACAGCTCTTCCTTTCCTGTTTCTCTTCTGCATTTTGCATTTTAGGTCATTGTCAAGTCTGGCCCAGGTACCTTCCTCAGCCTGGCAGTGTATGATGAGTACATCTTCTGGTCAGATGGGGTGAGGAGAGCCATCCTGCGTTCCAGCAAATACACAGGAGGAGACACCAAAGTTCTCCGCTCCGATATCCCGCACCAGCCAATGGGAATCATCGCTGTTGCCAACGACACCAACAGCTGTAAGCTACAAAGCAGTTTTCTTAACGCCAATATTATTAATTTCAAGGGCTTTATTTAGTTTCAGCCTAGTCAAAAGTTTATGTGGTGTTTCAGAAATCTTTCTGTTAAGAAAAGATGGGGTATAGCGTTTTCCCAAGTCAATAAGTATTACTCAGGATTTTCTGCTATGGGCGTTGAGCTCAGTGGATAGCAGTTAAATACTTTCCTGTCAAATTTCAGCAGTTTTGAATGTTGCAGGTTTTTAAAATTATTATTTTCCAGGTGTTTGTTTATCTTTAGCACACCAGCATCTGAGGGATGCTGACATTTTCATCCGACTGATAACACCCGAATCAATTGCCCGTGAATCTGCGATATGGTGATCTTTGCTCTCAAAGACATTGGCCACTGAAGCAAATTGAATAAAATAGAGTTCATCTCTTTTTGTTTGTCTTTCAGGTGAGTTATCTCCCTGTGCACAAATGAATGGAGGCTGCCATGATTTGTGCCTTCTGACGCCTGATGGACGCGTGAACTGCTCGTGCAGAGGGGACAGAGTCCTGATAGATGATAACAGATGTGTGAGTAAGTAATGGTGGCTGACACGATGCTTTCCTGTGCTCTGAGGCACTCGGCTTTCATAAGACAGTTGGCCCAAGCCATTAATTTTATTTATTCTATGTACTGTAAAAATTGATCTGGCAATTCAGCACAAACCGAGCTTTTAACTCTTTTGTCTTGTAACTATTTTTGGGGGGTTAAAAAGTGTTCATACTCTCCTTAAATTCCTATTATGGTAGTGGGATACTGTTTCTTATTGACAGGGGTTTTTTTACATATTTATTGCAATTGCTGCTGAGATAGATAGAAAATCTGTATGTATCCTTTCCTAGGCTATGTGGGACAAATTACTGAACCTTAATTAAATCACTTTCTCACCTATCTCTTTGTGTTGTCAAACCAGTGATTGGCAGTGGAAGTGAGAGAGGTTCAGCAGATGAATTCACATGCCAAAGATATATTATATATATATTATACATATATAATATACATTCTATTTATAATAATTAAGTGCATTAATAATAGAATAATGTATATTCTATATAATGATATATAGAATATATAATATATTATAATAATATAGAATATATAATATGATTATATTTATAAGAATTATATGTCATTTATATTTTCCAACTTACATTGCAACTCTTAAAATTGCTCTTAGGTAAAACCACGTATAAATTGTCATCTAGGATATGAAATTAGATGTAATCTTCTAAATTATTCTGTAGAATGTTTGCATGAAATGTTGATCTGAGCTATCAGGAAAAAAAGAAGGAAGACATTAAATGATGGGGTAGAGCAGCACAGAAAGGATGGAAGCAAGACAGACTTCAGTTTAGCTTTGAGATCAAAAGTTTCCTTCTTCATAACAGAACGGAATGTGATGCTCAATAAAATTGAAAGTTAGCATTTCCAGCTGAGAAAAGGAATTAACTGTCCTTTCACAGTGTAATTAGGCTGTGTAACTTCCTGCCAGACAAGAGTCTTGAGACAAAGCCTCAGTGAAATTCAAAGAGGGAGGGATGATGAAATGGGTAATGACTGCTCTGACTATTTACTTGTCATCAAAGAAACCGTTTGAAAGGCATTAAAATGCTTTCTTTCTGCAAGATGGAGTTTGAAGCAATCTCTACAAGGGTGTCCAGTTAGACTTGAGCTGTGGGCAGATTATACTATATATACTTTTATTCTTTTCATTTTTTTAAATAAAGATTGCAGTCCAAGATGCTGAGCTAGATGATCTACAAATGTAGCTGAGAATCACTCTCCATAAGATCTAAGTTCTTACAATGCTGGAAAAGAGAGGGAAAAGAGATTAAAATACTTCAATTCAAATGTAAAGGATTAAACAAATCATATTCACGACCAGATTTCACCTTGTTCGGAATCTGTATTTTCAGCACTTCTTCTTCATGTTTGAATCAAATCAAGAAATGCTTTCAATTTATATTGTCTTGGCTATTGCATACAGCCGACACTGGTTCTTCTTGAATTTATGCTGAAGTGATTATAATGGAAACAAGAAAGAAGCATAACAACTGGGTATTATTTCCCCATTGTTCTCCTTCTTGAGTTGTCCTAAATGCTCCTCGTTTCCCTCCACTTTGATACTTTGGTTAGAACCATGCTCACGAAGCAGATGTATGACCCCATCATGAAGTTCATGACCAAACTATTGTGTCCAGTTTGTGATATGTTTTAGTTTCTTAAGTAAAAGAGTAAAAATTTTAAATGTGCACCTGGTTCTCTTCTAAAATAATGGATAAAACATCCACTAGATGAGAAGGGGAGGGTTTTTGTGAATAAAAGAAATAAGTAAAATGGAAGCTGCAGGTTTTCTGCATTGGGGTTTAGGCTGTACCTTTCAAGCTGGGGGTTGGGAAAGCACAGGTGAGTAGAAGAAAGCTGAGCACTATAGTTCCAAAGCTCTTATTAAAATCAGTGCCTGTGAGTTGTTTGACTACATATTCCTTCATGGATATTTGTCAATGTATTTTCTTTTACAGGTTCTCTTTGTAAAAGCATTTAAGTTCTGATGCCATGGTGTGTTTTACTGTTTTGTACTCAGGTTTTCAAAATCCATGTAGGTTAAATTTGAAATGAAGCCAGCATTTTTTTGTCATTTTTGCTAGTTGTAAAAGCTTTTAAAAATTACATGTTAATGTGGTTTATTTTTAGGTAAAAATTCTACTTGCAACATCTATTCAGAGTTTGAATGTGGGAATGGTGAATGCATTGATTATCAGCTGACTTGTGATGGCATTGCTCACTGTAAGGACAAATCTGATGAGAAGCTTTTCTACTGTGGTGGGTATTTCCAGATCTTTCACCTTCCTGTTGTAATTTTGGTGTTATACATGCTTAGATTGCTTCCTCTGTGACTTTTCCATTTCTCCCAACTGCTTGGCTGAGATGCCCAGGAAGAAAATGCCAACACACATTAAGAAAATTGACATGACATGGAAAAAATTACCTGAAAATATATTTTTCTTACCAGCTTCATGTATTAACTGACATATTTGATAAAAAGAATTTCAAATATGTCTCAAACCATGTTTCTGTCTCTAAAACAAAAATAAGAAAAAACATTTCTAACTGGCTTTTTATAGATGGAAGATACCTTACTGTACAATACTGTACAATATTGTAAAATATATAAATGTTAGTTATTAAATTTATAAATAGATTTATAAATACAAGATTTGTTGCCCAGAGAAGCTGTGGCTGCTCCATCCCTGGAAGCGTCCAAGGCCAGGTTGGACAGGGCTTGGAGCAGCCTGGGATAGTGGAAGGTGTCCCTGCCCCTGGCTGGGGTGGAAGGAGATGGTTTTTAAGGTTCTTTCAAAACCATACCACGATTCCATGATTCTGAGAACCAACAGTTTGTCTTTCTATGGATTTGCCATATAATTTATGAAAGACATTCTATTAATTTGCAGTGTGACAGTGAGTACTTCGTCCCATTTAAATCAACTGTACCAAATATTTTGGTACACATTGGAAAAAAACACCAGGAAGAACTGAGGTCCTTTCATGCCCTAGGTCATATACAAGGTGTTGCTTTCTAAATCTGATGAAGGACAGGATGCTGGACTCATTATTGTTGATTAACTAATGCACTGAAAATCGTTATTGTGACTTCTGCAATAATTAGGGCTTTAGTAAATCAGTCCTGAATTTTCAAATATATCATTATATGTGAAATTCATGCATTCTTTAGTAGTGTTCTTGAGCAGAATGCTGTTGGTATTGGTGCTCAGAAATCCAGAAACCTCTCTGCCAATATGTGTTGTGATTTCATTCTCCATTTATTTCTATTTCAGCCAAATTTGGTCTGCTTCATTCTATGTGTTGTCACGTGCAAATATTCTCCCCCAAAAAAGTGTGTCAAAACAAATGCATTTAAAATACATGGGCATTTTGTACCACAAGTTAATGAAAAGTGGGATTTAGGCCTCCCTTTTTTCCTTTTTTTCTTTTTTTGTTCATTCTTTCTCATCAGGCTTTCATTTATTGTTTTTTATCTCTTTATCAATTCAAGTTATATCAGTCCCTATATTGGTCCAAGATGCATAGTAGTTGAACAATATCTGAAGTATTTTTTTCCTGAAGCTTGGAATGCATCACCAATTAAAATCTTTTTCTGGGATGTTTATTTGGGTTGAGCTGTTTCCATGAGGTGTCAATCCAATCATGTGATTTATCTTTGCAGAAAACAGGGGCTGTCGGAAGGGCTTCAAGCCATGCTCCAATCGCCGCTGCGTTCCCAGCGACAAAGTCTGTGATGGTGCCGATGACTGTGGTGACAACTCTGATGAATTTGACTGCAAAGGTAAATGGCACCTTATTTCCAAGGTGACTTGGGAATATTGCTTTGTAAATACTCATTATGCAAATAGGAGTAGCTGGAAAACAACGTGGGATTTCATCATATGATGGGATTGATGTAAAGGCTGATTTTGGCTTGCACCTACAGTCTTCTAGAAGAAGGGTGGGTTTGGCTATATAATATAAAATATACATATGCATTATACATATAATATTTTGTTTTATATGTATAAAATATAAAATTCAGGTGCTGTTTCTTCTGTGAAGAAATGAGAGAGTAACTTTATTGCAGACAAATTGAAAGATGGGTGGTTTCTTCTCTGCATGTGCTTCTTCTCTGAAGCAGCAGATGCTCTATTTCTCTGTTTCTCAGATGCATGGAAATGTCCGTGTCCTTTGCAAAGCTTACTAGAATTGTTCTCCTTTTCATATCAGAATTGTTTTTTGATTTATGTCTTTTAACATGAATATTTATATGCGTGCATCAGCCAATGCATGAAGACCAGCAAGCAGACCACACAAATCCTTAGTTATAATTCAGAAAGGTTGGAGGGGATATTATTCCACAAGATTTATAACTAAAAAGCTAGACAGCTATAGTAATAAGCATCTTTTGAAAACAGCAGATTATTTTTAATCACTTACCTAAATATAAGTAGAAGGAAAACCATACAAACAAGAACCCCAAGCTGGTTTTACAAGAAATAAACCTGAGAGATTCATGGATGCTCCTAAAAATGCTTCTTCCTCCCTCAAATATTGCATATCCCAAAATGAATTGAATTACCTAGAGACAATTTTAGGCTAAAAAAATAAATTAAAAAATGAGCAACTTATAAGGTGTAATAAGCTCAAAATCACATATCCGCTGGAAGGTACAGTGTGTTCTGAATGCCTCAGTCTGAAAGGCAGAAGGCTTAAGCATCATCATGTGTATGATGTGCATCTGAAGAGTCTGTTTAGCACACAAATTTACATCCTTTATAACCATATGTTCCAGACTCAGCGTGCGCCTCGACAGAATTCCGCTGTGCAGATGGGGTTTGCGTCGGGAAATCGGCGCGGTGCAACCAGATCATCGACTGTGCAGATGCCTCGGATGAAAAGAACTGCAGTAAGTTTGTGTTTGTGCCCCCTCGCAGCAGCTGCTCCCTGATTATTCCTTGTTATGTAGCACTTAATTCCTGGGCGTTGCTGCTTGGGATTCCAACACCTGCGTGGGCTCCTGCATTTTAAATTAAATTGTGAAAATTAAACTGTGGGGCTCTCAGTCTGTGTCAGGTGTGTGGTAATTTTCTGTCTCTTTCCAGATAATACGAACTGTGCTTATTTCTACAAACTTGGGATAAAATCTTCAGGATTTATCAGCTGTAATTCGACTTCTCTCTGTATACTGCCAGAATGGATTTGTGATGGATCTAATGACTGTGGAGATTATACAGATGAACTGAAATGCCCAGGTAACTGTGAAAAACTGAAAAAAAACCAAAAAAAAAACAACCCAAAACATTAATTTACCTTTTAAACAGAGAAAAAAGTCCTATTTGGGGAGGGAGTATGTTTCTCATTGTGTTGCAAAAAGTTTATTCCATCAATACTGGTTTAATAAACATGGAGATTAATACAATGATTAATTAAGTTTATTCACCTTTATTTTGTGTTTTCTGGGATTATGCAAATTATTACAAATGAATGCTGATTTTTTTTCTGAAGCAAACTGTAATGTCTAGCTTCCTATTTCCTCCAGGTTAGGCTTGTCATTTATCATTTTTATTTAAGTAAAACATGAGTCATTAAAATGCCAAGCTCATCAGGCATCAGCATAATCACTCAGGAACTTTTATTAGCTACCGCTTTAGTGGGTGGTATTTCTTTTCTTGCTGACTTTCTCTTTTATTTGGTGGAGGCTCTTGGAATTGGCTGCCAGGGTAGAATCCAGGGTTATTTCTTTTGTGATAGTTCTGATCTTCAGCCAGGAGAAAGGGATCATGACAACTTGAGCCCCAGACACAGGACTGAGGTTCTGTTTAATGCTAACCAATGAATTATTCACAATATTCAATTCTCCCCCAATGAAGGAAGGCATTTATGTGTTTGCTTTTTATCCAGAAGCCCTCATTTGAGTTTGAGAATATTAAATGCAAAATGAAAACATTTTTTATTTCTATTTTTTTAATAATTGATTAATTCCAGAGTGACATTAACCTCCTGCTTACCAGTAGTTCTCTTTCCTCTAATAAATAATGTTAAATAAAAATAAATATTTACTAATTATAAATTTTATCAGTTTGTAAAATTAGGCTTTCTAATTTTATGTTGTTCAATGCCATCAAATTTTTGCCTAGTGGTGGACAATCTGATTCCTTCCATTTAATAGTCTCTTTTTCTGTCTGTTAATCCTCTTGTGTCACCAGAAGGTTCTGTTAGAAGTCTCATACACGTTGTGCCAAATTTATTGACAAAAATAGTACCAGGATCCAGAGGAACCTGGGACTTCAGCAGTACTGTCAACCTGTCACTAAGAACTTCCATCAGTTCTATAAAATAGATGCATGTTAAGTGAGAGTTGCCATTCTAATTTCTACATTCTCCAGTTTATCTCTTTATTATGTAGAATTTATTGTATATAACACTTCATTAAGCTCAAAATAGCTTAATTTGCTGTATTTTTAGACAAAGAAAGGGTTTTTTCCATACCAAGGAAAATTTTGAGAGCAGGGTGCTACAGCTTCAGTAAACTAATGTTGCATAAGTACACTAATGTGCATTTTATTCCATTGTCCATTTATTTATATTACTTTTCTCTGAATTCCAAATGTATGCCAAAATGTTCCATCATTTTAATGTGTGACTAATTGCCTGGATCATTCCTCCCTTTACTTGGAAGCGATACCATTCCCACTCAACCTACATGTGATTTCCTTTGCCATTTCATTCAAAACTGACCAGCTCTGGCACATTAAGTTTTTGAGTGTTGTTTCTGTTATGAATATTGTAATTCCCATTAGCAGTTAGCTTCAGTCTCATTGTTCTTACAGAAAATTACAGCAAAATACTCATGGAGGGCAGCTATACTTAGGGAATCCTTAATATGTACCAAGTCATCACAGATGTCCCACTTCTTTCTTTAATCTTTCTTTTTTTATTATTTATTATTATTATTCATACAGCTGTAGAAGCCATAAATGTTTACCCTTCCTTTTAAAAGAGGGGAGGCTGAATTAAAAAAAAAATTCAGTACCCTGAGGGAGTAATGAAAACCATGGCAGAGAGTTTCAGTGGTCTCCAATGCTTGGAACTGCATCCTGGCTTTTCCCAGGACCTTGCTTAAGATTTTAAAAATAAGTCATTATTTAGGCTAATGATTGTGCTTTCATCATGAAATGCTACATGTGGCATGTTTTCTTCCCACACACCTGGTTTCTAAGCATTCATAAAAGTCAATTTCTAAATTAATTTCTGACTCAACAAAATTAAAAAGACAAGGGAGAACGTTTTAATTTCTGACCAAGTCTAAACCTCTGGCTCCAGTGTCTCTGATGTAGCTCCTGTTAGTCAGTGCATGCTTGAGATTTGTAGCTTCTCCCAGTGACAAAAATACTGCCACAATTAAATTATCTTGTAAATGACAACAATGATCTTGCAAATGATCAGAAGGGCAATTTCTTCAGCTGGTGTAAAACAACAAGCAGTGCTGACCTGCCTGACCTCAAAACCTGTAAACTGAACTACTTTCCACTCTCTAGGCCTTTTGATTTAGTTTGAAGCTGTACTCTGATTCTTCTCTAAAAAAAATAAAATTAGCTATTTCAGCTCCCTAAGCTACTTAGCTATCATTTTTTTTTTTTTTTAATGAACACAAATTACTTTTTTTTTCCATTTTTAGACATAAACACTTTGTCCATCAGTATTCAGAAATTTAGCAAAAATGTATTAGGCTCCTAATCATACTAGTAGAGACCATTTTACATTACATTCTTTATTTTATCACAGTTCAAAACAAACCCACATGTGAAGAAAATTATTTTGGTTGTCCTAGTGGAAGATGTATTCTGACCACCTGGCTTTGTGATGGGCAGAAAGACTGTGAGGACGGAGTAGATGAATTGCACTGTGGTGAGCATTTTGTCTTATTTGTACTCCTCTAGTCACTAATGCACTCTGGAAACAAAGAAGTATGTATTTATATCTCAGAGATTGTACAAAAGATCTTTAATGTTGGGTTTTTTTTCAGATTCAACTCTAATACTTCATACTGTCAATAGCTTAAATTCTATTCCATGCCAGAATGAAAGCCCTGTATTTATTATTTTTTTCTCTCTTTAGGATATATTTATATACAAAGTTTTTTATTGCTTTAGTATTTAATAATTTCACTAATTCTTCACAACTCCTCATTACAAGAGTTGTACAGGTATAATGAATTTGAATAAGTGTCTGGAGTCCAGCAGGAAATAGCCAAACTTCAAAGTAGGCATTGTTTTGCATCAGAGGCCATACAGACAAAATTATTTAAAGTAACATCAAAAGTGATGTAAATAAAATACAGCATGAGCTGTGAACTCAGTTAAGGGTCAGATCTTTTCAGATTCTTAAATGTCACCCAACTGAGGCACAAAGCAGGTTGGTTTTACTCCTAGTGAGAGCTAGTCTTTTCAATTTATATGGATTGCCTGAATGGACTATTTTTGTAATGAAATTGTACCAGAAAGCAGTATCAATTTTTTCTATTCTCCATTTAAATAAAACATGAAATTTCAGGTGTTTTTTTTCAGTTTTTTGTGGTTTTTTTTCCCTTTACTTCTTACCATGACTGAACATTTTGTATTATTCACTTCATGACCCAATTCCCACTAGCATGCTTCCATATTTGGTTTGCAGTTTATGTTGTATACTTTTATCTTATAACTTTGAAATTAGGAAGTGCTGCGCACTGTGACAATCAGAATCTTTTCTGTTGGTCACATTTGTCAAGCATAACTTGGTGTTTACATTTCCAGGTGTTATACACTTGTGTACAATACTGTAAACTGAATTAGCTGATTTCTGTGGGCAAAAGGGAAGGGGATTAAATCAATGCTTCTTTCCCCATTGATTCCTTTTACCCATTTTGAGATATCTGTTATAATGCTCTCTTTTAAATTCAGATTCCATTACTTAAAATTCTTTTTAATGTTAATATTATTTTTTTTTTTGTCATCAAAATCAGTTACAATGCAATAAAATTTATTTTCAAAGAAAGAAGTCTGGGAAAAATGGAAGACCTAAATTTTTCAGAAAAAAATAGCATTGATTTAGGACAGTTTTGCAGTCTGATTTTGAAATGCACAAGATCTTTTTTCAATGTATAGCAATTTTTCTTGTGAGAGAAAATAACATGAAATATTTTGAGGAGGGAGTTAGCTACTGGAATACTGGGAGGAAGGCTGGGTTAGAAAATTTGAACTGTGCCCTCTCTGCCCTTCTACCCAAATAAAGCAGCTCACTGTAGCTGTCGTATCTGTCAAATATGCAAACCAGGCTTCAGTCTTTTAAAGTGTTTATCCTCATCCCACTTACAAATTATTTGACAATATTGGATTGTCTTTGGAATGTTTCACTGTTTATTTTAAAAAAAAGTGTTGGTGAATGTAAGTTCTGAAACAAACTGATAACATGCTTAATAAGAAGGTTAGAGTGTTTTAATAACAAGATCTGGAGTGTTTTAATACATGGAAACTGAGAAAGGAGCAGCAACAAAAATATCCTGAACTGTGGTTGAAGCTGCAGGGGAGGCTGTGGTGGTGTGAACCTAACAAATGCAGGTGTCATCCCCAGATTCATCCTGCTCATGGAATCAGTTTGCTTGCTCTGCACACAAGTGCATCTCCAAGCAGTGGACCTGCGATGGTGAGGACGACTGTGGAGATGGGCTAGACGAGAGCGATGCCATTTGCGGTGAGTGGGGTCCTCAGCTCCGCCGCGGGTCACGCCATGCCCAGCGAGGGACACCACCTGTCCCCAAGGAGAGGCTGGGAAGGGAACAAGGACAGCATCTCCAAAGGGTGTGAGGGATGTCCCTCAGCCCTCTCCAACCAGCAGATAGGTTCCTTTTTGTGGGAAGCCCATGATTTGTGTAATTTTATCAATAGAGTTATGAATGGCAAACCAGCCTGGGCAAAAGGACAGCCAGCCTGTTCTCCAGTTCCTACCCTGGAGGCAGAACCCTGTTTGAGTTTTACATTTGAGTGACAGTAGCTCAAAGATCATAAAGTTATTGTATTTTTGGTTTAGGTTTGGTTGTTTCAGTTTTCTTTCCTTAGCTCTTTCTTCTATCTCCTCTAAAATTTTCTATACCATTGTCGCTAAAAGACACAGAATGATTTACATGAGCACGTCTCAGTGGGATGACAGGAAAAGAAGTAACTTTAATTTCTGACTCCAGTATTTATAGATTCTCAACAATGACCAGGGATTGAATAACCAAGTTACCATCTTCCCAATCACACTGGTCATGTGAAACGTCCATCAAAGACGTTTCTTGGAACGAATGTGTAAACATTTATGTTTACAGTTACTTTCTTGGGAAAGTAACTAAAACTATCAAAACAAGATCAGAAGGTTTAGTTTTCAAGGCAACATACCATAAGCATATATTGCATGATATTCCTCTCAAATTCCCAAATCTTTCAAGGTGCATAAGGAATTGAAAATTTTGTTTTCATTCTAAAGCTCAATGGACCGGAAATGTGTTAGTGAATTCTTTTTCAAGGAACAGCACATTGTGTCAAGACATGCTGTCACAATCTAGTGATATTTATACATCAGTTCCATCATTCTCTGTATTTTAAGTTTCTTTTTAAAAAATTCAGCTTTTAACTCTTAAAGATATGTTCCTTTTCAAAAATCCTCTTACCTAAAGTCCATTAAACAAAAAATATTTCTGCCGTACTTCCAGTGTGTTATCACAGTAAAAAATATTGTTGATAACTGGAAGTGTTAAGAAGACAGAGAAAAAAAATCTGATTTGTTAAAGTAGTTGCTTAATCAAAAAAAGATGTAGCAATGCCAGCAGAGGGATGTAGATAGAACATATACTGTTCTAATATGGTAAAATATTAATTATTTAGGACACTTAACTTCTCAAAAAGGGAAAAATCTGCACTGGGTATGAAGAAGGGAAAGTTAAGGCTGTATTTCTTCTTATTTCTTCTCCAACAGTAGTTGGACCTAAATTGCAAGGAGAAAAGAGATCAAAATTACTTCAGATTTTTCAGTCTTTAAAAAACCAGTATTTTTTTAACATTCCAGAAATATCAAAAAAATGGCAAATGAGTATAAGTAAGAAAAAGTTGTTGCTTTTGCATAAGTGATATGGAAAATAATTTTTAAAATATTTTAATATTTTACTAAATTCTAATTAAAACTAGTAGAAAATGCGCTGTCTCCTTTTTAATGAAGTATATTTAACTTATTTAAGAGAATACATTAAGTGATGGATTGTACAATATTTTACTTCCAAATGGAGGAAGTTTAACCCTGGGGTATAATATTATCCAAAAAATATCCAAAAAGAAGATTAGTCAGGTAAATGATATGTTGAGTTAGTTGGATCATAGCTGTCAGATATTTTTCACTCCCACTACTCTTGTACCTGGTACATATTGTTTTCTTCTCTGTGGTCTTACAAAATTTTAGTTTCTCTAATTAACAAAATTTTGGAGTGCCTTTGGCTTCCTGGCTTGGACTTTGGTGATGCAGGGATTATGTGGTTTGCAAGATCACTTCCTTTGTCCAACCAGTCCAAATGTGTAGCCAAAGCTACTGATCAAAACTGGTTTGAAAAATTATTCTGCTGGATAGTTTCTATGAAGTGTGGGAATTTTAAGAGGCTGAATAAATGAAAAGAAGGGAAGAAACAGCAGATGGTCAAAATTTGATTGTAAAACAACCTTAGCCTGTAGATTTATCATAATGTGCAGAATGAAATAATCCCTGAAACTTTAAAATAATCCCCTTTAATCACTGCCAGCCACCATGAAAAGATGGATTAGGATATTCCAGCTGGGGATATGGGATGGTCCAGTGCTGAGGGCTGCCCTGCCATGTTTCCCCAGGCTCAGTGACCTGTGCTGCAGACACCTTCAGCTGCCTGGGCTCCCACGCCTGCGTGCCCCAGCACTGGCTCTGTGACGGCGAGCGCGACTGTCCCAACGGGAGCGATGAGCTGTCCACAGCGGGCTGTGGTAGGATTGCATGTCAAAAAAAAAAAAAAGTTATTTCCATGCTGTTTCATGCTCTTTTCATGTCCACTTTGCTGGTGAGGATTGCTGAGCCACGTGTGAGCACACGGAGCAGGATCCTTCTTGGTTTTGCGCAGGCTGACAGCTGCAGGCTCTGCTGACACACAGCCCAGCGGGACATGGGGATGTGTGGCACGTTCTGCAGTGTTTACTGAGGAAATCTGACACATCAGTGACTCTGCAGTTCTATTGCTTCTCCTGAGGAAAATGCTGCTGCTCATGTCAGGGAGGCTGTGCATCAAGCAGGGAGATGAAAGTTCTGTCTTCAGTTTGTTGTGGCTAATTGTTCAGATCCTGACGTCTCTTGCCCTATAAAATATTACTCCCAGTCTTCCTGAGACACACTTCCAGTAACAGTGTCAGGAATTCAGTAATATTTTCACTGGAGAGGATTTTTTTATTAGTATATAAAAATGGTGCATCAGTATATATATATTGAGTGTTTGTGGACTTCAAAAGAGCATTTGTTCAGGAGCAGACCAATATAAGGACATCTCTTCTTCCCAAATATTCTTTTCTTCAGAGCCAGACCTTAGTTAGTCATAGATAGCGTCGATTTCTGAAGCTTTTCTGTCTTGGATTACAGAAGATTTTAGCTATCTTTACTTCTGTAGCTTTCTTTCTGATGAGTAGCTTTTTCTGGTATTGAATTGTGTTTGTGTGATGCCTTTTATCTGACTAAAAAGTTATGGTTATTTCCATTGAATTCACTCAAATTCACCTCTCATTTCATCTTTGTGTAAGAAAATCGCCTGTTTATCTGATTGTTCTCAATTTCTTTCTTTTTTATTTTTTTTATGTGCTGTATTTTTCTTAGCTCCCAATAACACTTGTGATGAGAATGCTTTCATGTGCCATAACAAAGTCTGCATTCCCAAACAGTTTGTTTGTGACCACGATGATGACTGTGGAGATGGATCAGATGAATCCCTGGAATGTGGCAAGTATAACAAAAATAGAGTAAATGGAACAGTTTCACATTGCTAACTGTAAGGCATTCTTCAGGGTCTGATACTCTAAGGCACTATTGAGAAATTAAGCTCTTCAGTTTTTAAATGGCTTTAATTCTCACTTCTAAATTATGCATTAATCAATACAGATTGGATTTAACTTGGATCAGGGGCTACAGTGGCAAATTATTTCCCATAGTGTCTTATAGTTCCTAATAATATTTAATAATTATTTAATAATATTTAAGAGAATTTTAAAAGTCTGTTCTAGAATTTCTCATTTACTAGGTATATCTTCATTATATATATATTTTTTCTTTGTCTCTCTATATGTGTTTTTTCCTATTAAATAATCAAACACATCTGTCATGATTATCACTGCATTTAAATTACATCAACTATAGCCATATGTGAATGTTAAATTTTCACCATTCACCTGAATTTAGGGTTTCTTGTATGTTCTGAGAGTCTGTTCAATGTACCTGGGCCATACTCAGAAACATTCATCTTTATAAATAATATTTATGGAAAATACACAGCAAATATTCCATTCCAAATGACAAACTGGTGTTGTCATTCCTGGGTTTGTGCTCTTACAATCTGTATTGGTTATTTACTCTTAAATTTGTTCTAGAAATGAGAGCCACAATAGAAAATAGCTAGAAAATATCCTTATATTATAAATATTTTTATTGTGCATACCACCTGAAGGGGGTCTGTGCATAAATGATGTGAGCAGGCACCTAAAAATTGTGAGAAAGAGCATGCTTATTGATTTATTAATGACAGATAATTAACAGGAAATCAGTGAATTACACATTCAGTATCATTAGCAACAACACAACGGGCAAATCACAGCTGCAAAATTTATAGAACTTAAGGGTTTTCTAACACCATTTTATAATTAGTCCCAAAAGGTTCTGAGCACACAGACAGAGAACAGCTATGTGCACCTCCTGCCCCAGCCCAGTTTTCAGTATCTCAATAACTACTTAGAACTAAACAGTCACAAACTTTGGAAATTGCCTTTTTTCTTCATGCTTATAATTTCTTGCTGATGTATTTAATTTATTTTCTATAGCATTATATACACACACGTTAAAAGTGTGCACACCCCTTAAAATACTTACAAATAAATAGTGTTATTTTGTCAGACTTTTGGAAAGAAACAGGAGGGAACAGCAAAAGGAGCAGGAGATTTACAAATTCCTAATCCAATTTAGTATGGACCTGCCTTTAGGCACTGGCTGTATTTAATTTCTACTGGGGAAGCTGAAATCTGCAGCGAGGTTTGTGCTGCGCTGCTCCAATGCAATTTTCTGTTCACTGGTAATCAAATACACACCTTAGTGTGTGGCTGGCATGGTAAACTTGTTATCCTGCAGTTTTAGGAAAGGGTTATGTTCTTTTATGGGAAAGGAAACTGCTTGTAAAGAGTAGGAGTCAAATTCCAAAACACACTTTCCAAGGTGCTGTTGGGATTTAAAATTAAACCACGTCATTGCCCAGGGTTGTAACCTTGCGGTTTCTGATTTGACTGCCAGCTCAGGAACCCAAATCATAGCTCTGTTGGATTGTAGAGCTAAACCTTTTCCATCTTGAGAGACAGAAAAACCCAGGTGCTCTTCAGCCACCAGTCTACTGACCTGACATGAAATTTGGTTTGAAATACAGTCATAAAAGTTGAATTAATTGAATAAATTTCAAAAAGTCTAGACTTTGTTTTAATTTAATTGGTTCTGTTTTTTTCTATTTGTACAATTAAAAGGTTTATTTTCATTTTTTTGTATAGTACTATTCAGAAATACTGTAAATATGAGATTGGTGATTGAAACAGTTTTTTTTTAAAGTTCACAATCATTCACTTCCTTGAATATTTCTTTGATACAAATTTTGAGTCCATTGTAGAAGCCTGCCTTTTCAATGAAATCCTTATAATTAATTACTTAAAACTGAACAGGGGAAAAAAAACCTATAATTGTGACAAGTTTTCCAAGTTTTTCTACTGCTTTGTTGCTTTTAGAACTCTCAGTTAAGCCACTGTGTTCTAAAAAGTGAATGCCTACTTGTGGTTTATTTACTTCATAAAATATATATATTATTTTTTTTGTTAGAAATCCTCTTTTGCTTTGAAAATTTACCCATTCTATATGTTCTGATTTTGTGTCCATCTTAGAAAATGTGTGTTCAGTGTGGTTAAAATGGTTTGGTGTTTGGCATGTTTTACAGGGAAGACACACAGCCATAAGCACACCACAAAAACATTTGTTGGGTATTGTCAAGTTATCTCCTAATAACGAATAAATTAAATAAAATGAAAAAGAAAAGGCATTTATGATGGACAGCTGCATAAATATGTTTCACATCTGTGTGAATTGTATCATGACTTCATGGTGCTGCATAAGAGAATTTTGATTTCTCTCTTTGCTGGTAGCCACTCATGAATGAGCACAACACTCTAAATGGAGCAAAGAATAATTTTCTTCGTGTTGCCCCAGATATGAAGAATTTTATGTTGAAGCTGTGAGAGCAAACATGAGGTGATGATTGGTGGTTGTTTTTGCAGGGTATCGTCGCTGTCGTCCTGGGGAGTTTACCTGTGCTGATGGGCGGTGCCTGCTGAATTCCCAGTGGCAATGTGATGGGGATTTCGACTGCCCAGACCACTCTGATGAAGCACCCATCAACACCAAGTGCAAAAGTTCAGGTTTGGGTGTAATTTTTTTGCAGAACTTGTTTGACCTTTCTTTTTTTGAAGGTAATGGTTTAGGGTTTTAACTCAGCAAATGTAAAACCTCATAACACCTCAGTGCTTTCATAGTGATATTGCTCATATCTTTCAAGGAGAAATGGTTCTGAGCATCCAAAACTTCAGTTCACAAAGTGCAAGCCACCTGTTCCTATGGAATAAAATAGCAGACACTTCCTCAATGTATGCCTCCCGTTGATACTAAAATAAGATGATATTAATACTGTAATTTCCAGAGTTTGTAGCTTACTCTTATGATGGTTGCTGTGTTCCAGATGTTCATCACACAGAAGGAGGTCATAAAAAGGGGATGTAACCTTGCTACCACTTCAAATAATAAACACTGCTTTAATTTTATTAGCAAATTATTGACCAAATTCTATTGACTTTATTGATATTTTCTGCTTACATTAATAAGCTTGAGGTCTGAATGGTTTTTGAGAGGAAATTTAGTCCTAGTCTGCATAAACTGTGCTATTCTGTGCCTTTCTGAAAGACCAATTCTTCTGTCTAGACCTCAGACAGGTCTTAGACCTCATTGCACTGTAGCCAGGCTCTTTATAACAATTTTGATGGAAAACATTCATCTGCTGTGAGGTGAGACAGCATATATTTATTTAAATGTTCCAATTGTTACTTGGAGGTTCTGAATGTAGCTGAAATGATGTATTCAAGTTTTGCCAAACAGGGAGGAACATATCTGCAGGTCATTAGGCAAGGAATGCATTGGAATTCAGTCAATTCTGTTCCTAAACACCTCAACATCCACAGGGGGGGAAACCCATGTTTTTTAACTTTTGGAAGCTAGAACTGTATTTTGTGCAGAGATGATGTAGAGAGTTCTCCATTATATAAAAAAAAATATGTAGGAGGGAGTAATAAGTTGATGTCTTCACCCATTTTTCCAGCAGAGAAATAATCTTCAAAGACACTGAAAAATGAACAGTTATTATAAAGCTATCAATAAGGAATAAATATTCAATTGTTACACAACTTTTTTTTCATTTTGCATGCACACAGCAACTGATCCATGAGAAAACTAATTCCAAATACTAATAGATGACACCAAGTCATGTGTTCTTTTTTGTTTTCCAGAGCAGTCATGTAACAGCTCTTTTTTTATGTGCAAAAATGGCAAGTGCATTCCTCAGAGGGAGGTTTGTGATAACAAAGAGGATTGCAGTGATGGGTCTGATGAGAAAAGCTGCCACGTTAATGAATGCCTCAGTAAGAAAGTCAGTGGCTGTTCCCAAGATTGTCAGGACCTTCCTGTTGGATACAAGGTGAATAATTGTAAAATTCTTTGTAATATAATGTGAGTTTTTAGTTCTTTAGTGTTTAATTACTACATGATTATAATAAAGTCTTACTCTGTGGTACCTCCTTGTAGTGAAGTAGCTTATCTGCCATAATAATATTCAAATTTTCATTTCCTGTAAGCAAACTATTGCCAATTTTAAACCTATGGAAAAGATCATACACTGCTTTAAATACAACAAATCATACTGGTGTATACAGAGCACTGAAAATCAGAGTAAATATTTTACAATACATAGAATGAACAGCAGGAATAGTGCTTTTCTCCAGTCTTGTTTCCACCCACCCCCCTCCCCAAGACAAGAGACTCTTACAGAAATATTTAAACAAAATAATATCCCCTCAGTAGCAGAATAAAACTGTTCATTGTCTGCATGTGAGGATGTTTTTTGAAACCCCTGAATCTTCTCTTTGGCCTTGACAAGTAGAGAGGAACAGCCTGCAGCAGCCTGTCAATAACACCTAAAAACAGAAGAAAGACTTTTTTCAGGGTTTTAACTCTGAAATAACCTTAACTGCACTCCCAGATTTTCATCTTTTCCGCTGAACATTGGCCCACTGACAACTAAATAAAATCTGTGCAGCATGGCATCTGCAGGTATTCAACTCCCCAGAAATGTGAGGGTTGAGACAGAGACTCAGGAGCTGGTGGGTTCAACAAAAACCTTGTTGAAGTGAAGAGGAAACACATCCTGGATCTCTGCAGAAAGAAATAGAGACTACAGGAGGGAAAATGGCACTGTCTTCTGTAGATAAAATTTATGCCCCTTCTCCAAAAGCCCCTCTGCCCAGTTTTATTTTGCAGCTTTCACATTGCATGTGATAAACTTGCCAGGATCATCATCAGATCCAAATAAATGCCATAGAAACAGAATATTCTGAGTTAGAAGGGATCCACAAGAATGTCCACATCCAGCTCCTAATAATCCTTAAGAATTCCTGTGTTGGTTACACCAATTGCTAGGTGACATCAATGATTCCAGGAAAAAATACTGAAAACATGTCTACTTTTACAAAAAAAAATTAAAATAAATTGTATAATTGAAAATTAAGAACTCCAAAGGGTCCATCCATTGTAATTTTTAAGGAAAAATCATTTCTATATTTTTGAAAAGATGTGAAAAGACGTTTACTTTTTCTTTAGCTAAAGTAGAAAGAATAATTGCTCATTCTACAGCGTTTTGTTTGGGGTTTTTTTTGGAGGAAATGGTGCTTAGGATCACATCAGCAATATTTGAAAAGAAAAGTAGATATGCCTCCAGTAAACCAGACAAGCAGCAGAGTAATTATGACGTTACTTGAAAAAATGAGATGCATAAAAAGTTTATGATGCTAACATATTCAGAAGAAAGTACACACAGGTGATAAACAGAATTAAAAATTAATGTATCTGGTTTTCTTTCCCAGTGCAAATGCTGGCCTGGATTCCTCCTGAAGGATGATGGCAAAACATGTGTAGATATCGATGAGTGTTCATCTGGATTTCCCTGTAGCCAGCAATGCATCAATACCTATGGAACCTACAAATGCTTGTGTGCAGAAGGGTATGAAACACAGCCTGATAACCCAAATGGCTGCAAGTCCCTTTCAGGTATTACTATCTAATGTTTTTATAATCCTCAGCTGTATCCAAATAATTTGAGGGGGAAAAAAACTTAGCCCCAAGGTCTGTTTTACCTTTATATGCAAGATAAAAAGAGAGTTACTTTGAATCTGCTACTTTTTCAATATAAAATATAAAATAAAGACTGTGTCTGAATGCAATAAGTTGTATTTTTAGTATGTATTGTCCTCAGCTCATTTGTAGTAAATAGATACAGTGGGTTTTGAAAGTGTGAATAATTAACTTTATTAGAAAAAGTATTAGAAAAGTTAAAATACATCACTTAGTTCTACCTCTGAGTCAGATGATAATAGCATGGTTATGATAAGATTTCATCACCTTTAGAATATTAGAATGTACATCAAAATTCCTCATCTGAAAAGGAGGAACAGGAAAAAAAATAGTAGAAAATGCAAACTCTGTTATAACATGCAAATGTGTTCAGTGCAGGAGCAGAGTAGGCTGGACAATACATTACATTCTACAGTGCAAGAGAGGCAGATACAAAGCTTTTAATACATTTTTAATTAGCACTGGTAATATTTTATTCTAGTTGAGGTGTCTCTCAATGGAGCTAAAATAAAGCCTTAAAATATATATATTTTAGAATTATATATGTCAGTGTCAGAGATATTTCAGTGATGTCATGAATGAGTATCTGAAAGTAAATATTTTTTTTTATAAACTAGAAAGCCAGGGTGGCAAAAAGTCAAATCTGGCTTCAGTTGAGACTTAAAAAAATCAAGGTTTTTATTAGTAGCTATCTCTGTACCATTCAGACCAATGAAATCTCAAAAAGCATCTGTCAAAAAATGCTTGGTTTAAAACCATAATTATTAGCCAGTGTTAATTTGAAAGGAAATGTTGAGAATAAAACATATGGAATGAAATATATCTCCCATTTAATCTCTGACATTAAATTAGGATAAAATACAGTATGGTCCCCATATTACAAAGGCAAAAGAATTAAATTGCATTGAAAGATATACTAATTGATTGCTTTGTTCATTTTTATACTGCATCATTGATCTTTCTTGGAGCATTTGAATGTTTTAAATATTTCTTTCATCCATAACATTGATCAGAGCATGTAACATTTATTTTTCAAACCATCTGTTTTTCAGCATTGTATTCCTGATTTTCCATAAATTAACGTAAAAGCTAGTCTAATATATTCTTTCTCCCGGGGTTTAGATGAGGAACCTTTCTTAATTCTGGCTGATCATCATGAAATAAGAAAAATTAGCACTGATGGATCCAACTACACTTTGTTGAAACAGGTATAACCATAGTACCATGCTCTAAGTTTAACTCAATACTTTTATTTTCTTCTAAAGTTTGCAACTGAAAGAAACATCGTCCTACAATTGGCGTTGTGTGCACCACAGAACAACTGCAGTACCTTCAGAGTTATTGCAATACTTTAAATTGACTATTTTGTCTGGATTTGACATGATTAAAGCTCAGGCAGTTGTTTTGTCAGTCATTCTGATGTACTAAAAAATTATGTTATTTGTGATCCTCTTCCATCACAATATGTTTTGTTCAATTTGTCTATTTCAGTTAAAAAACAATCAAAAAACCCCACCTATTTGGCCATATATTATTTGGGCTACTTACTGTCAAAATCTAAATCTATTTTCAGACAGACAATACCAATATTTATAGTAGTACAAAACATGAAGTCTTATCTTTGTGTAAATCTAATTTTTAAAATAATTACTCTAAATTATTGTAATAGAGAAAAAAAAAAAAACATGAAAAACTGCAAAAATAGAAAGTCACCCAGTAAATACAGAGCTGCCATTTTTAGCAGTCTGCTCTCCTTCTATGCTTCACCTAAGTGTAGTTATTTACCACAGATTAGCTTTCTAAAATATGTTTTAATAAAAATATCAATTTCTTTGAATACTAATGGATCAATTGTAGTAAGACTAGGAAATTATTTACTGCCCATCAATATCATTAGGCTTTTTGTAACTTCTCGTGCTCAGGTCTTCACAGCAGCAATTATGAAATTAACCATCTTGAATGAAACACTGACTTTATTTAAGCAAAGAGTTATGAAAGTCTGTCTGTTCTCCTGAAATCCCTCTGATTCCCTCTCATTTGCATCTCACTGCCTCTCTCCTCTTTTGCTGGTGTACCTGTTCATAGAAGCCTGTGAAAAGAGGGGAGCCAGAGGAAATTTTCTTCGTGGTTGGTGCTGACAGATGGTCCTGAATTCAGTGGGCTCCTCTTTGGTGTGTTAGAGACTGAGCAGCTCCAGCCACTGAACAAAATCTGTGTTTTCCATGTTACATCAATTCACTGTGCTGATAAACACCTCTGCTCCTGAACCTACTGGTCTTTGTTCCTGCAAAGGCAGCACTTGGTTTGAAAGCCAAAGAGGGATCTTTACCAGCAGAACAGGGGGTTGTGTCCCTCCTAAGGACATCCTTGTGTCCTCGTAGTGCCATGATGGATCTGACTTTTTCCTGCACATCTACCAGGTGATGGCAAACACCAGAGGCTCTGGCAGAGGAGCAAACCCACCCTTCTCTCTGTGTATTTGATCTGTGATTACCATTCTAACAGTTGCTCATATAAACTCAGAATAAAGGAGCTGAAAGTAGGAGCTCATTCAGTCTTCTCTGAGTTATGTGCCAGCTTTTTCCTCTATTTTCTTTTTCTTTCTTTTTTTTTTCCTTTTTTTTTTTCCAAATACACATAAACAGTACAACTGTTTGAATTGTGTCTCATGTATCGTCTTTGCTTTCCATTTCCTTCACTCCTAATCATCAAAATCCTCAGGGTTCCAATAGGCAGAGTAGATAATCTTCCTCCTCATTATTTGTGATTTTTATCTCCATGTTTTTAAGTGAGGCACCAAGGGAACACAAATCACAGCCAAGGATATATTGTGTGCTGTGTGCAGCAGAAACAAACCCACAGGTTTAAGATGAGGGACTAAGGCAGCTGATGTTTGAAATCTTCCCTATTCCTTCTAAAAAACAAATTACTTGTCAAATGACAAAGAATTTATGCTAGAGGCGCTTAAGTGAGATATGTATATGATAAAGAGGAAATTATGTCTGGGCAGAGAACTCTGTTACAGACATACAGAAATTTTTTACCTGCAGTTGATGTTCTGATAAAAATTGAAATTAAACTGACCCGAAATAAAACACTTGAAAGCAAAAATGTGCAGGCAGTCAATTCTCTGCATTAGTCTTGATCCTTAGGAAACTTTTACAGTGCTGTGGAATATACAGAGATAAGGTCATACTTTTACAAATTGCTGACTTTGATTTATAGAATGTTATAAAATTGTAGTAAATAATATTTTGTATTTGTTGACCTGTTGTCTCCTTGGTTAAGAATTTGGGCTGGGTGTTTCTCTGTAGATGCAATCATGTTAACAGGAGAAAAAGACAGGAAAAGTGTTTTACAACCCTGTTATGACTGACAGAGCTGCAGCTGGTTTTATAAAAAATGTGTGCATGTATATGATATTTTTGAAAAATGAGAGTGGTCTTCCTATATTGAATTGTTTCAGACTTTTTTTAATGATGATTTGTTCAGCCTAACTACTCTTTCCCTCTACATTTTGATCAAAAGGTAGATCTACAGTAATTACGCAGTAATTGATGGCAGATAAGCCGTGTATCAGTTTCTGTACAATTAAATATTGTTGTCCTTAGTTGTTTACTTTTGAGCTGGCTGGTCCAGCACTACCCTTCCCAGAAATGATTAGACTAAGGAGGGAGGTTGCTGATCTACCTGAGAGCAGGATGCCATTGTGCTGATAAGGGAATTGATTAACTGACCTTGATTTTGTAGAAGGAATACACACCACATCCGTTCCTTTCACCACTGCTGCTCTGTATTTCATTGATAACAATAACCCGGCATATTAAGAATAATTGTGATTTCACAACGTATCAGAGCATTCAGCAGGTTATGGGGCAGATAAGGAAATAAGAGCCATCATCTGAATGCAGCCCCCTTCTTCCTTATCTGCCATTTGGGATGAAAAGCCATTATTGTATAATTGCTCCTCCCAGCCCATTGAAGTGCCCCAGATACAATCACCACTTTCTCAAAATGTGTTGGCTTTGTAATTAGAGCCATAGGAGGTTCCCAGGTGCCTGCTGGATTTCCAGCTTTTTGTATCTACCTCCTCTGTGTGTATCCACACACACAAATATCTAGATATATACTGAGTGCCTATAATACAGCACCTGAGAAGTCAAAATCTCCACATTCAGGAACTAACATTAATGTCTTTTTACACCACCACCACCATTTTGAATTCCTGATTAATTTGTATTACTAAGGAAATTTTTTCATTATTTAAATGTCATAAAGATTATACTATTTCTGGTTCTCCCATCTAGATTGGCAAAGAAATACCAAAGATAGTAATCAGCGGTGAAACTGAGCAAAAGTTGAAAGTACTTACTGCTAAATTTCATTTAAATTAGAGTATAGAAAAACACAGGAGCCTCACATAATTTCATACATCATCTGTATTTTTTGAAGTGCCACAGTTAATTTGTCACCATATTTATTTCTGTTACAGTCTTTGTCTTACTCTGTTTACAAGTAATATATGGAGAAGAGAGGGAAGTGCTTCAGAAATATGCAGACAGTAAAATGATACATTAGGAATATTAAATGTGTTTTACACTCTGAATGCTATCCAGCAGTTTGTGTTCAAACATTTGAATAAATGGACTTTTTTTCTTTCTGTTTTTAGGGGCTGAACAATGTGATTGCAATAGACTTTGACTACAGAGAAGAGTTCATTTATTGGATTGATTCCAGCAGACCAAATGGCAGTCGCATAAACAGAATGTCTTTAAATGGAAGTGACATCAAGGTAATTGGGGATTAATCATGTCACTACTAGAATTAAATTTTTTGAGTGTTTTGGGAAATGCTCCTTCATACATTTAACCCAGATTGTGAGGCTTTGGTGTATGAATACAAACTCAGCAGGAGCTAGCAAGTCCTAGTAGAATTTAATTGCATTTGTATCTTATTTGAAGTAAAGATAGGGACAAGGAGAACTGTATTTAGAAGCTAAATTCCTTATGACTTATCTGACAGTTTACTGAATTGGCAGTTCCATGTGGTTTCCAGGATGCCAAAGAAAAAAAAGAGCTATAATTAGCTGTAAGCTGTGTAAATACACTGGTGTATTATGTCTTCCTATATAAAATTTCCTGTGATCTTCAGTTTGTTTTTGTTTCACCTCCGCTACACTGATAATTAAAATAACTCAATGTCTTTTCTGTGAAGGGTAAAAGTGCACTCCCATTTCTGCACAGCCTGTCTGTTCTGCCTCTGTAGTGGATTAAGTTCACAAATCCACTATTAAGCACATTTGTTGACTTATGTGAACATTTCCCCAGAACTGGTGATAAGCAGTAAGGAATTCTTTGTTTATTCTATTATGTCTGACCTTCTGGAACATGGAGTTAAGTGAGCAGCAACATATCCCATGAATTCTGCTCCCCTGTTGCACACCAATAAACGTGCAGAGAAAAAGGATTTGTGTTTTTCATTCACAGCTTGGTGCGTGGGCTGGAACATCCTCAGAGCACGTCAGCTTTGGTCCTCATGAGTTAGGGTTTGCAACTCACTGGATTCAGTGAACCTCATTTGCATCCTTCAGACCAAAATAATTGTTCTTAAAAACAAAAAAAAAAAAAAGCAAGTGGATAAGCAATTTCTGGCACTCTGATTGCATTGGGTTAAAAGCAAAACAGAGAATGAACTCAAAAGTTTTACATGTGAAGGGAAAATAATAGAAGACAGGCAAGTGAAGGGTTCAAATTAAATTAAATCCTTGAATCATATTTATTGTCTTTAAACAGTTTCCAAAGCGTCCTCCTCAGCTTCTGTCCCTCCTGGATGATTCAGTATTACATAAGGGCTGGCGATTACTCAGACTCTTTATTTCTGATCTTTACTATTTCAGGAAGAACAAAGAATTTTTCTCAGTCAAAAAATGTTCAAATAGCCAGGTAGAAAAATACCAGAAAAAAATTGCTTTCTACTGATTCATTAACAATTTCATTTTTTAAGAAAAGGTTTCATAAAGTTAAATAACCAGTAGAAGAAAATTAGGATGAGGACATGCAAGATATTTTGTTTTTCCATCAATTTGCACAAATGTCATGTTGATGAAAATTTTGCTCATAGAGAATGCTATATTCAAAGCAAAAATAATAAAAATAAGTCCATTTAATTTTCATACAAAAACCTGTTTTTTCTTTGAAAAACTTGGCCCAGATTTGGCCTCTGAAAGCTAAAATAAAGGTGAAAAAATTAGCAAGAATTATATATTGTCTGATAGTCTTCTAGTAACCTTTTATCCAGTGCCAAATTTTTGAGGCTCTTTGACTTTTTTATTACATTGCTATAGTACATACTTAATAACTGACATCATTAAAAATTATTTCAAGTTAAATTATTATAATTATTTACTTATTTAAATTCTGGTGTTATTATTTGTTATCTAGCAAGCATGTTTACTTATTTTAATGTGGTTTTTTTTTGTCACTACAGTTTTTATGTTTATTCCCCTGATATTATTTTAATATCTCCCCACCTGTTGTGTTATGCTTTGCTATAAGTAGGTCTGCTATCGATGTGATAGCAGATATATTGATTTATTGCCTTGGATTCCTCTTGCAGGAGATGACATTTCTTCAGCATAGCGGCTCTGGGAAGCCTGATGGCATCTCATTTTTCTTCTGCCTCTGTTCATGGAGGAGATATTTACAGAATTGAAATGGCAGATTTTTCACATGGATGTGTTCAGATGCTAAAACTGTGTTTTATGGAGAGTCTAGATTCAGATGTTAGTGGAAAATAGAGTAGAAAGCTGGGCCATGCACATTGAGTGCCACATTGGTGATCTCAGTGACTGGGACATGCTAAAGTGACTCTCCCAAGGAGAACTCATCAGAAGGAGAGATTCATTGTTTTGGTTGATGTTCTAGTGTAGTGTTTAGACAGCTAAACCACTAGCTAAACTTCCAGAGTTATACATTTCTGCATGAAATGTCCCTTGTGCCAGTGCAGCAGTTGCTGCAATTACGCATTTATAAACTGACGAAGATGGTGGTGTGAAGGTGTTAGAAAATAAAACATCTTATTCCCATTAGTAAAATCAGTGTATCCTGGAATTGAACTTTTTAAAAAAGATTTTATAAAGTGATAAATTATGTAACAACCTGAGAAGGTGCCTTTGCATATTCATAACTATAAAATTGATTTAAAGCATCTCACCATATCCCTTCTTATCTCAAAGGCTTTTCCATATCTTCAGATGGTAAATAAATTTAAAACTAGCACATTCAGTTATACATAATACAGGTTTATACGAGAAGTTTATACCCTGGTGCACATGCTGTTAGTGATGAAGATAACAGTAAATTAGAATGTACACCACAGTAATAAACCCATTATTAGTGCTTAAGAAATCTCATAAATTTTCAAGTATCACTTTCTGATTTGTGGGGATTTTTTCTGAAGTTCTAGCTGCACAGACCTAATCAGGACTTAATCAAGAATAGAACAGGAATAGGTCAGGATAGATCTCAGGAATAGAATTTTAAAGCCTAGAAGAAATTGGACTCAAATGATTGTGAATATTCAAATATTACTGAACACTTGATATGAAGTCCTCCCTAACAAGCCAGGCTGAGTCACGCCAACATGATGAGATTTGTAATCACATCAAGTTCCAGAATTATCCAAGTCATCAAAAACCCCGAGAATAACACATCCCTGCCAGTAGTCTGTAGGCTTTCCAGTAGGTGACTAAATTGCTTTTCTCTCTTAATAATGTCCTTTCAAAATTTAACTAACTCTTGGGAAGCTCCTCATTCTTCTGCCGCGTGAATGTTGGAAATAAGAGCGCAGTGTTTACTTTCCGAGCAGTGGCTCGCTGAGCGCTCTCATGGTCGCTCTGTCACGGTGACATATGGCACTGCTGGGACATTAAAGTGAAGGATATGCTGATGGAGAGAAACGGGGAGATGAGAAGCAGATGTGCTCAAGGGCGTGCTGTGGGGAGGGCAGCCTCGTCTCCACTCTGCTCTGTGAAACAAAAAATAGAATAGTGAAGAGGAGAAAAGTTGGTTTGGCTTGATTTGCTTGGTTTGTTGTATTGTTTTTTTTCTTTTTACATTAAGAGAAAACTAGAAACTGAAGATGGAAACTGAAAGATCAAAAGTTTTTAAAAAGTTCACACATAATGCAGAGAAGTTGGCAGTTTCCTCTTTACAAGATGATGGTATGCTCCATTTTCCCTTACTAGGAGAAAAGTGTCACATTGTCATTGCTACTTAAGAAGTGTCATTACCTGAGAAGTGTCAGTGTTTAGCAATGAATAATAATTTTCACATGCTGTGTGTCACTGTATCAAATACCCAGTTGCTCAATATCCTGGTACCAGTAGCTCCCAAATTGTTGATCCTCTTCCCAATTATTTAGATGAATAATTAATGTATTTTTTTCTTTTCCAGGTAATTCACAATACAGCTGTTCCCAATGCCCTGGCTGTTGATTGGATTGGGAAGAATCTCTATTGGTCTGATACTGAAAAGAGAATTATTGAGGTGTCTAAACTCAATGGCTTGTACCCAACCGTCCTTGTGAGCAAGAGAGTGAAGTTTCCCAGAGATCTGTCTTTAGATCCTCAAGCTGGGTATGAAGCAGAAAATTTTCAGTACTTCCTATTTAATGCTGATTTGATATTAAAATATTTTAATTCAAAAAAATAGGAAATAATACTTAGTTGTTTGTTATTTTGTTTTGTTTTAAATCAAATATTCAGTGATAGGAGAGAGTTGTTGTGTTGGTCTGGATTCTATTTAAACAAAGAAAAGCAATGTGTTTCCTACCATAAAAATATAACCTATTTAATAAACCTAACTAGTTTTAATACAATAAACCTAACTAGTTTACTAGTTTTGAACTAAAAGCTATTTTCTACTATTTCTTAGAACTAGAATCTAATTTTCTTGTAACTGTACCCTTTCTTCCCTGTAAAATTTGGGAGGGAGGATGTAGACCTTTGTTTAACATCTTTAAGATATGAATATATGGGATCTTTCTGTGGTTGTCTGGGCATCCCTGAGTATGCAAAAATCACTCTACAAAGCTAGTACAGAGTCCCAGTATTTCAGGAAGGCTTAGATATATAAATAAATAGGCATAATAAAGTTACTGTGTTCCTTTTTGGTGTATGTGGACAGCTTTCCAAAGCTGTTTTTTTACATTTTTATTGATAAACATAAGCTTTTGTTCATTTATTTTACTATAGAATTTTACTGGAAATAAAAACTGAAATTCAGAGTTATAATTTGAAATGGTATTACTTGTATCTTGGGGTTTTTCTCAGGAACAAGGAATGCTTAGTGAATTATCCTGCTGATGCCATGCAGTTTGTTTCCAAAGAAAACATTCTCTGTTGGAGAGAGTGGAGAAGTTCCCTCTCTCTGCTGCCTGTGTGGAGCGAGCTTGGTGCCAGGATATTGCACCTGTGTGTTGTAGGATACCTGTAACTGCTCTTAGGGCCACCATTTCCTCCTGCACACAAATTCTGTTCCAGGAGGTTATTAGGAATATGAGCTGCATCTGGATTTTGGAGAGCTTGTCCAAAGCCTGTAGAGCAGAATCAACTTCCCAGCTGGAAAGATCTGTCCTGAGGTTCTGAGTAATGGCACACAACAGCAGCCACATGTGCTAAATAATGGGATTTTTCTTTCTTTATGGCAAACATGCTCAGCATTGTGGTTAAATAGCTTGCTGAGGGGAAAACTTCTCAGCTTTCCAACAACCTTTCTCAGTGTTTCACTCATTTCTAAACCCTCTGTGCAAGAAATTGTTTTAATGTTTTAGAACTAGTATCTCTTGAAACAATTCTATTTGCATTATGTGGCTGTTAACAGCAAAAAAAGTTTTGTAATATGTGTTAAAAAAAAGAAAAAGTAGATGTAATAGCATATTTCTGATAAATATAGTAGTGATGCCGTTTATGCAGGATGTGAGATTAACAGAGTCCTGTTTGGGTGGTGCTTCAGATTCTAATTTCTAAACTCCAAATTCTATCAAGACTCAGCCATTTAAATGTACATTTTACTAGTCCATAATTTAATTTTCATGCAAAAACCTGTTTTTTCTCTGAAAAAACTTGGCCCAGATTTGGCCTCTGAAAGCTAAAAAAAAAAGGTGAAAAAAATTAGCTTTCTAATTAGACTTTTTAATAAAGTCACATCTAGCACCAGGATTCCTATTCAAACCCTTTTCATTCAGCACAGACAGGTCTAGAAAAATGCAAAGTTTTATCTGGAAGGTGGAAATATTGTAAGTACTGATTTATTCTTGAGATCAACTAAATAAATTAAGCATTGAGTCATAGAATGGTTTGGTTTAGAAAAGACCATCTGGTTTCAAACCCCCAAGATGGGCAGGGATACCATCCACTATCCCAGCTTGCTCCAAGCCCCATCCAGCCTGGCCCTGGACACTCCCAGGGATGTGAAACCTCTTTCTCAACGATTGCTGTTTTCCAGCTGCTGTGTTTTGTTTTGCAGATACTTGTACTGGATTGATTGCTGTGAGTCCCCCCACATTGGCCGTGTTGGGATGGATGGATCCAGGCAAGCTGTGGTTATAGAAACACAGATATCCAGGCCTATGGCTCTCACCATAGACTACGTCAACCACAGGCTCTACTGGGCTGATGAAAATCACATTGAGTTTTCTGACATGGATGGATCTCACAGGCACAAAGGTTGGCCAACACTTCAGTTGTTTTGTGTTTTGTTTTCTTTTTGATGCTTTCCACGTTATATATATTTATGTAAAAACTGTCCTTTAAAACTTTTTTCCAACCTTTTTTGAGATTTTTTTTTTCCTTTTATCAATATTTTAAAATCTGTTTTTCATTTCTGTTCTCTGTTATGGATGTCAATAGCTTTTAAACATGCAGTACTATGTGTTTGTAGGAAAAATGTCAACTAGGAAAAGAAGCTCTAGGAACAGACTCAGCAATCTGAGGCAGCCTGGTCAACTTTATACTCTGTCATATACAGACATGTTCTTGATTAAGTTACAAAGTGTGTGAAACTTGCTGTTGAAGTAGTAGGGATAGATCCTCTGTGCCACGTGTCAGAGTAGGGCTAAAATCAGCCTTTTCTCCCACCTCAGAAAGCCTGGAAAAGCCATTAGTGTGCTCAGCATGAAACCAATATTTCAAATATAATTTGGGGCTTTCCTGGTAGATGGGTGAAATAATAACTCTTGAAATACTTATGTAATGAACTAATCTTTATCCCCATGTTTTGCTTCTCACCTGACAGAAAATTAAAAAGCTTGTGTCATTTAGCTATAAAGTATTAAAAAAACCCCAAAAAACTATGCTGTGATAAATAGTTCTCACATTCCAAATTGTATAATTAAAGATCTTTCATTTTAAATCAAATATATGAAAATAGTATCAGTCTAAGTTTTTGTTGGGGTTTTATTTGAGATGAAATTGTTACCTGAGCTCCCTTCTCAAGCCTTACCCAAGCCTCAGCAACGCTGCTCTGTTGGTAATACTTCATGGATTTGGGCTTTTTTAGGCTTTTATCTTGTACTGGGCACCTCCAGGTCTTCTCCAAGCCACAACTGATGAAATAACTACTTTACTTTCAGACTAAAACTTCACCATTAAATAAAAAAAAAACAAAACAGGAAAAGCAAAACAAGTTTTCCAGCCCTTTTATTCATGAATTTTAGGTTATAAATACATCATGAATAATTCAATGGCAGTTGTTTGAGATGGTAGATTGGAGACACTATGGAGTAGCTATGAGAGCTGTAAACATTCCCATTAATCTCAGCATAATATCCATGGGTATTTTTGGGATGAGCACCGGTCAGTTGTAACCTACTCACCTCAGCAGCATTCACTCAGACATAGCCCTGAGCTGGATTCCTGCTGAGAGTCTGTTCTGACAGAGGAAACAAAGCTCCCTACTCTTCTTAATGTCATTCCCTGTGCTGCTATCCTGTTATTTCCATCCTCATAAAATTATCTTCTTACTGTTCTTTCTGGATATTTCAAAGGAAAGAAGTAAATAAAAGCCAATGTGTCCCTCTTAGCCCTAAACTGATTGCAGTGGTCAAACCTTTCATGGTCTTCCCTTTTAGCCTGAGAGTTTCAGAACTTTTCTTTCCCCAAAAATGTCCTCCTGTCACTAAACTCAGGAGATAGCTGCAAAATTCCAGCCAGAACATCTTCAGTGTACATTGCCTTCACCTCCAGCCTGTGGGGTTCTCCTACACAATTGGGTAAAATCAGTTTCAGCTGCTTTATATCCACAGAGTCAATGTCTTCTTCACATGTCTGATCCTGGAGAAGGAAATTTGTCACAGTGCCACAGCAAATTTATCCATAATTGGTACCAGTGAAGTATCTGAGGCTCCAAAAGTTGTAGTGACTTTGTGTAAAGCTGGCACTGTGCTGCTTTTGAGGACACGGCTCTTTGAAGTCCATATGGTGCATAAATATTCATCCATAAGTGAGCTTTGGGAGAAGGATCCTGTGGAATTTAAATGATGTCAAAGCAAGGTTTTCTGCTTAGCCAATCATCGTAGAGGACGAGGTTGGAAGAGACCTCATGGATCATCTAGTCCAACCTTTTCTAGGAAAAGCACGGTCTAGATGACCCACAACCATGTCCAACTTCATCTTAGAATTGTCCAATTCACCATTTCCCTGGGAAGATTATTCCAGTGGCTCAGTGCTCTCATTGTGAAAAGTTTTCCTCGTGTCTCCAATTGGAATCTTCCCAGGAATAACATGCTCCCATCACCCCTCACCTTTTCCATGTAGAGAGGGAGTCTCCTTTTCTTTGCAGCCCCCTTTAAAGGCTGGAATGTGGTGATTAGGTTTGTCTTCTTTTCTTAAGAGTGAACAAGTCTCATCAGTCTTTGCTCTCATGGCAGCTTCAAAAGCCTTGCATCATCTTTGTGTCCCTTCTCTGGATCCTCTCCCTCCTGCCCACACCTAATGCCATTTATCACTTTGTGTTGTCAAGAGTTTAATCAAAACTTCATTATCAAATCAAAATGAAGTTGTAGAAAAGTTTCTGTGTATTTAACAAAACAGTGATAGAGTTCTTGGTGTCTAAAACAAACAACTCCATGGTCCTCCAAGGGGAGCTTTGACAGTTTTGCAGAGTTCACACATAATGATCAATTTGTCTTTAATCAGAGTCTTTTCCCTTTCTTCCTGCTTTCTCCTGGAACAACCAACCAAATAAAATTTTAATTTCTTTGTGATACAGCACAAGACTAAAAATATTTTGGAAGTTGAAATTTAGCCACTGCAAAACAATTATTTTAATAGGGGAAGGAAATTTAGGGAAGTTCAGTGTTTGGAATTGTGATTCCCCCTTGGCTTTCTGATATCTGTAACCCACACTGATAAGCACTTAAATGAGAAAGATTAGCTTTTATCTCTTGTGATAACTGTGTTTCTTGAAGGAGTATTTTTCACATGGATTTCGTGGTCTGTTTTCCTTTGTCATTTTGGACATTTTGTATTGTCAAAGTTAACTAAGGGGGAGATAGTTGAGTTTGCTCTCATTCTTCGTGTTTTCAAATGGAGAGGGATAAAGGCACAGATAGGCAACCACAAAACAAATTCTCATGGAGGAGAGGAAAAAGTCTGAGTGAGAATGCTGTGAGTGAAGTGCTTTTAGTGGAAAACTAAGCATTTTCTCACTTGTTTCTGTGACCTCTGAGGAGAAGGCTGGCTTGCTCTGAGTTTTTTTCCCTGAAACTATGATTTTTGGATCTTAAATTATCTGTTGCAAAGTGCATCAGAAAATGCTACAAAGATTTTAAAAGACTCAGCTAATAAGTAACTTGTTAGAATTGGTGGATTTCATACCATTGAGGGATGGTATGAGACAGCATGCAGTGTTTTGTGCTCCACATCAGATAATTTAGGATAAACACAATAATCTTAAGCTAATTATTGACACGCTGTCTGTTAAACCAGGGAGTGTTTATTACATGCAATGGGAATTTACATGTAATTAGATCTTGCTGTTGACATTATTTCAACAAATATGGGGTTTTTTTTATTTTATTTGTTTGTTTCTTATGTACCTTAAAGCTTTTTGAGGAGAACATCTGCTGCTTTTCTCTTATAAATTTCCTCTGCATTTTAATAGAGAAATGGTCTTTTTATAATTGCCCCAAGAGTCCTAGTAAGAATTTTGAAAACATGCTAACTAGGCCAGAAATCTTAGAGTACCTGGGAGCTCTTCTTGGTGCTGGGGGCAGCGATGACCTTGCTGAGCTGTTTGAAGTTTAATGCTTGGTTATGTAAACTGTCTTTAGAGCTTAGCCAATTCAGCACTGCAGCATTCACAAATGTTATACACTGGAAATGATTAAGCAAGTATTGAAGCACTAATCTGGCTAAGCACTAAGCTGGTTTACTTATGTGAGCTCTAAAAAAAAGTAAATAAAAAATTTCAGAATTTGTCAGACTTAGCTGCTTTCTGTTCCCACCACCCAGAGGAGATGCAGACTTCACAGCTCCCTGGGTATCTGGTTGCTCCATGCAGGTTTTCCCAACCTTCAGGTCTCCTAAATCCCAGAGGTGCCTGCATTCCCCACTTCCCTTTGAAGATGAGCATTTCAGTATAATGAAATTATAAAAGGGAACTCTGACAGTCCAGTTTAGGAAGTACAGAAATTTCTCTGAGATTAGGCCTTAAACTGTGTCAAGTTGATGCTTTATACTGTAAAAACAAAAATTTTGGCACTTCATTCCTTCATTTGACAGGAGCATGGAAATTAAGCAATGGAAAAGTGTTGTACTTTAAGCAAATTATTATTATTATTAAGTTACTTCTTTAGCTGTAATATGGTTAACAGAGAATAACTTTCCTGGAGTACCAATTTGAAAAAAAACACCAGTTCTTGGGATAGCTTCTGCCTGAATGTTTGCAATTCTAAGAATTGGATCATATATATGCAAGTTTTGAAGTAACGAGTACAAGGGGTTTGGAGAGTCCAACCATTTTAATTTTTAGTGCCTGTAATTTCAAAAGTTGCTCTCTGTAAGGAGTTTGTAGGTAGAAAATAAGTATTTGTGTCTAATTCTGAGCTCTGACACCAGAGTTTATGAGAGTATATCCAATAGTTTATAAAATTTTCCTGATGTAGAAGTGATCTACAATGTTGTAGAAGTCAATTCCTTCCAGATTTATACTGGAAGTTTTCATAGCTCAAAAACTAGAGAAGTCTGAAAAGAGGGTTTGTTTCTCAGAGCAGATGAGAAGTAGTTCTGATATGGCAAGTTTTGATATTTTAAGTTTTTTCCAAACTTTTGAGGAGTCTATAGATTTAGTCATTGTAGCCACATCTGATAGCGCAAACTGATAATTTCTCCCTCTCCAATATTGACTTCTGGATTCACTTTGCATGATTGTTCCTATAAAATTCTCCGATCCATATGTCTTCCTAAAGCTGATTACTTCATTTTATTGTGTTCCTTCTCTTTTAAAGGATAATATTCAGGAAAAGTTACTCAGATTCACCTCTATTAAAGGCAGTTCACACAGTGACATTAAGTCCCTCAGTCTCCAGTTTCTGGAGCCCAGTTTATGAAGGTTGACAACAGGCTGGTTCTGTATATTCCACTGGTCTGCTGAAATAGGCTCAAATTAAACTTCTGAAAATAATTCACTATACTTGAAACCTTTTTATGAGCTGGACTTGTGCCAT